CAAGTGTTGTGCTAATGGCAAGTGTTCCAATGGTGGTAAGTGCTGTGTGGCCTCATCCTGTACCTGTGAAGATTGCTCCAAGTGTTGTTCCGATGGCAAGTGTTCCAATGGTGGTAAGTGCTGTGTGGCCTCATCCTGTACCTGTGCTGATTGTTCTACTTGTTGTGTTGACGGCCAATGTTCAAAATGTGGTAAATGTCGTGATACCAAAGCGGGATGCTGTTAAGCATGGTCAACTCTACCTATTCTTCTTTTTAAAGCTTACAATTTTTTAACTGATTAAGCTTTTTTTTATACTGCAATATATAACATTATTAGTTAGTCTGAATTGAATAGATGACAATATTTTTAATTTTAAAATATGTTAGTATTAGAAAATACATTTCTGATGCACTGTAAAATGTTATAGTTCTTTCGTGTATACTTCTTAGATAAATACAATTTGTTTACCATCTGGATTGGCCGGAATTAATATTATTAGCTCTTAATAAGTTAACCGTTTGAAGAATAGATGTTAAAAAAAATCTTCTTAATGAATGGATTAATGGTACTACATAAGTTATGGCAGATTAACATTAAGAAAAGAACTCTAAAACACAAAAAAAATTACACTTAATTTTCAAACGTTATTAATTTTTCTAGTTAGTTTAGGGAACCCAGACAAAGAACTTATTTTTTATTGTTTTGCTCTAAACTTGATATTTTCTAAATATAAGTCAAATATTAAACAAATCACCTCTCCCTTTACTTAAAACAAAAAATAAATATTTTAATATAAATCATTATATTGATTTTACTACACTCAGTAACCAATAATATGATACAACAACACTAAAACTATTTATATATTTCTTTTTGATTAAACATTATTTTAATAGATAAATTAGATACTTCGGGATATATTCATGCATCCCGTCAACGAATTGGAAAACATAATATAAAAATTAATATGTTATTAATAAATTACCATTCATATACACCTCTTCTTGTAGGTAATCCCAGATATCTTGAAACATCATTAAAAATGTCATCGATTTGGTCTGGTGAATAATTCTTGATTTGTGTGGCTAGATCCTCATCATTAGTATCAGTAATTTTCATAGTTTCAAGCTTACCTTCCAAATATTGCTCATATTTTTCATGTTCTTTACCACTCAATGGAACCCTTTCATAAAATTTGGCCAATCTAAACAGTTCAATATCAGATAATTTTTCAAATTCACCTACAGTTCCAGGGAACCAGGAATCCTTTACTGTTGGTACATCTCCGTCTGCGTTCAATAGAGGTGCAATACTATCAGTTGATTTAGATTTTCCTGAATTTGCCATCCTTCTGATAGATCTTTCTTCGATATTATTTAATTCTCCCTGTAGTTCAGCAACCAATTGTACTAAATCTTCATTGGTAGCAACATCTCCGGAATCCAAACCACCTTTCTTACTACCAGAGTATTTCGATAGATCTGATTTTTGCTTTTCAATCTGCATCTCCAGCATACCCTTCCCAGTCTTTCCAATTAAAACATTTTGCTTCTTGACCAACGTTTCCAAAGCCTCAATTCTCTTCTGTAGATCTTGTGTTTCGACGGCACCCATTTTGTTTTTACTCTTATTTTTATTTTAAAATTTAACTGTTGTAATGACTTCCTACTTTGTAAAGTTAACTATGTTACAAAAAATGTCTCCTATATATGCGGGTTGTTATAGAGTTATTCTTTGTTTTGTATTTAAAACTTTCAAAGGGTACCCCTTGCTATTAAACTAAAACTAAATTTCCATTTTCATTAAATTTTTTGAAGGCGAAGCTCAATTCAACCGAGCTGAAAATAGATTAAATAAATTAAATAATGATACAAAATCTATATTATTATAATTATTACTATGAAAATGTATATGCAATTATTGGTAATCCTATTATGATACTACTACATCCATATATGTATATACGCATACGTATCCTTATGTGTGAGTATGGTAGTAGATGTATAATATTAAACCATATCTCTAAAAACGTAGACTACTCAAAGAGTTTGTAACTTTCTTAACGTCCTTTGATTCACGTTCACGATTTCTTCTTTGTGATAGTTTACCTTTACTTACTGCGTCTGCTGCATCTTTATATTTTTGTACATCTTCATTTTTCTTTACTAATTTACGCCCACCAGACTCTAATTCGTAATTATCTAAGAAGTCATCCATTAATGATTCGAAATCGGAACGTTCTTTGGACATATCAAACGGTTGGTATGTATTCTCTTCATCATCAGCTTGTTCTTCCTCATAGTTCTCATAACCATTGATTATACTTTCATACTGGTCATCTAATACTGTCATGGTTTCCGTACGAGCAATAGCACTCGAACTCATTGAAAATCCAGATATATCAGACATTGCACCTTTCTTTTGGCGACTTCTTCTTTTTTTACTACCTTTCACTGGTTTCGATTTAAATGTTGGTAAATCACCCAATGCATCATTCTCTTCTTCTTCTACCTCACTATTTAATCCTGATATATTACCAATATCGGAATTGTTATCAAGAAATTCATTATCTGATTCAGCGGCACTATCCCAATCATTCTTCTTTTCTCTTTGGAACCTTCGAACATCTGTCTGGTAGTCAATATCTTGTAAATCTTCTAAATTTTCTACATTATCAAATTGTTCCATTTCCTTCATATAATGCTCATCTTCATAATTTTCTAATTCGGCATCGTCCCATTCATCATATTGGTCCTCGAAGTCATCATCACCTTCAGCTTCACCACCAGCTAATAATTCTGCAAAAACATCATCTTCATCATCTTCAAGTTCTTCTTGAACTTGTTTCATTTCTTTTGGTTTACTGGACTCTGACTTCTTTTTTTGTTTTGGTTGAACTACGATATCTTCATTAACAACATAAGCTTCATCCTCAAGAGCCTCTAGGACTTCTCTCAATGCTGGATTCATTTCGGGTCTGAAACCTGAAATCTCGTCCGTTACATTTTGTTGATGAGCTAAATATTCGGGCTTAGCCATACCACCTTGAAATACTCTTTGAGTAGGTTTGTTTTCAACATCCTTGTATTCCGGTTCCACAAACATATCTTCAATATTCTTCTTTCTGGAACTACTATGTTCAACAGTTTTTTTAGATGGAATGAAAACAGAATCTGGATTCTGACCCATGGGTCTAAGATGTTGCATGTAATCATATTTTGAATCATCAAATTTAATACCGTATGTTGAAGCATCACCAGCTTCCTTTTCATTCTCCGGAACAAAATGATCATCAGTAGTTAAATCTGGAATTTCCTCTTCCTTCTCTTCAAATTCGGTACGTACTTTGACTCTAGCATTAGGATTCTTGATAGGTACAAACACATGTGCTGATGCACCTTCATCATAATAATGCGGGTCATCATGGGGTCTATGCACAACGGCATACTTTTGAGAGTTTTGTTTTGTAAATTTCTTAGACATTTTCCTGATCAAATGCTATCTGCTTACTTTTTAAAACCGAACTTCTTCTTTCCAATGTATATAAACATTTCCTAGGTACAAGATATATAAAAGGATCATCTTTAATTTTACCTTATTGACTTTATTTCATAATCAAGATTGTAGAAAACGCAGAGAAAATATATTTTGTTAGTGATGCTCATCGCATCGATTTTCCAAAAAATTTTCAGTCACTAAACACGACGCCTCTAACAAATTTACCATCGAATTCGAACTTTTAGACAGATCAACAATGACAATAAAGGAAGGTTTATGATAAAGAAACGAAAGGATAGCATAGTTTATCATTAATATTTTTTGGGAGCTGCATCGCTTAACAGTAGCTGTGAGTTCATAATTATCACAATAACAGTTTAAGATAATATCACTCCATTGACATCATAGGAATTATCTGCAATGTTTATTCTTTCTAAAATTTCGGATCTAATAAGGATTCCACCTGACGAGTTTAAACGTGATACCATTTCTGCAATTACTCATCAGTTAAATAAAAATTATTCAAATAAGATTATCCCTCACATAGGTTTATGTGTAACGATATATGATATTTTAGAAGTTGATGAAGGCCAATTGAAACCAGGTGATGGTTCTGCCTATATTAATGTCACATTCCGTGCTATGGTATTTAAACCATTCGTAGGTGAAATCTTGACTGGTTGGATTACAAAATGCACAGCAGATGGGATCAAAGTCTCAATGCTAGGTTTATTTGATGATATATTTATTCCACAAAAGATGCTATTTGAAGGGTGTCGTTTTCTACCAGATGATTCTGCTTGGATATGGCCAATGGATGAAGACACTAAATTATATTTTGATGTAAACGAAATGATTCGTTTCAGAGTTGAACAAGAAATATTTGTGGAGGTAAAACCAAAGTCACCTAAGGAGAAAGAAGCCGAAGAAGAAGCTGAAATGAAGAGACAACAAGCATTACTTGAAGGGAAGGAAGACTCTTCAATACCAGAAACGACAGTAGAAAAACATCCACCTTATGCTATCTTAGGTAGTTGCCAGACAGATGGGATGGGTTTGGTCAGTTGGTGGGAATAAGACCTTCCATAGCAATCATCTATGAATTGGTAACTTTCAAGAAACTTTTAGTCATTTAATACCCACATTATATATGGATTTTTATATCATTGTAATAAGGCATACACACACACATACATACATATATAGTACAAACTAGTAACAAATTTATAATTCCTCGTACTTCATATTGATAATACATCGATCGATCTGGGGCAACAATCGGTCTTATAAGTCATCTCTGTATTAATATCCTAAATTGGATTCAAAATTGTCTCGCCGTGCCCACTAATTTAAACAGCGTAAACATATTAAATAACAGCTCAGAAATTCCATTTGAAGTTAACAAGTAATTAAAAATTGAGAGCAGTAGTAGAAAGTACCAAGCAATACATTGATAAAAAACTTCAACTGCAGGTCAATTATTCATCACTATCAATTACAATCGAATAACCACTTTTCCTCAATTTAAATTTAAATTCAACGTCCATGTCTGTTAATATTGACGATTTCGAGGAATTCTTAACTGATCAGTTCAATGAAGTTAGATTTGCAAATGACTTGCTTAGGTCGACCAACAATGGGGTAGATAGTACCACACTAGACCTAGAAACTCCTGTAAAGAAGATCAACTATGACCTCAAGGAAATAAATTCCCGTGTTGATACACTAATTAACAAGAACCCAACGATAATGGTAAATCAAATATACAAAGAAAAATCTATCGATGATACCATACAAAGTGGTCTAAAATCAAGTTTGCAATATCTAGATATCTCTTATCAACGTTTACAAGACGATGTCTTGATACCATACACAAAAGCCCAGAAATTACAAACTATACTGAATAAAATTCATCAAACTTCAAATATATTGAGAGATTCTTTAATATATATCCATTTAGCTACAAGAATCCAAGAGATAATGGATGAAGAACAAAAATTATCTATTGAGAGGGCATCACAAGTCACACAATTATACTCTCAGTTACAATTGGCCATTCAACAAGATGTTAATCTTAAGTCATTACAGGTTATCAAAACGTTGGAAATCCAGATCGGAAAAGATTATAGAAGGAGACTGTTAGATTATCTTGTTCTCACATTAACTAAGGAATGTATGAATACATTTAAAATTCAAAATAATAAGGACACCATTAAAATCTTAGCAAAAAATCTCTTTATATTATCACCTCCTGAGTTTTTCAACACCATTAATAAAATAATTCTTTCTCACGTAAACATTAATTCTCAAGTGTTAATGAAAACAATTAATTCAGCCAAAACATTCCCAGAAACATTTGATGAAATTGTTAAGAAGAGTCATTCAATATATGCATTAGAAAGGATATTGGGTGACGTACACGTGAAAACGAACTCAAATTTACTTGCAGAATATTCATCCCAAGGAAAACTCCAAGGGATGACTGTACGTGATTTGTTTTGGTCAAGAATAGCCTCTAACTTCAAGAAAGAGATAGATATATCCTTCAAGAGAGGTGGTCCTGTGGGGAAAGCTTTACAGAAAAATAGAAAAATACTAATTGACTCAATAAACAAATCCATGCTAAAATCAAGCGATAGAAAGGATTACCAAAAACATTCAGATATGATGCTTAGATCTATTTCTATTTTATCTACGGAAATTCGAGTATAAATATTATCTCAATAAAAATTAATGCCAAAATTTAAAAATGATTTATATATAAATAATGCTATATGTTTTGTAATTGACCCCATATAAATAGAGTCTCATACCGTCATGGCATCAGCAGGTAGAGCACCAGCATGTAATAACGGATTCATTTTCTCTTTCTTTTTATTCTTTTTACCACCTCTCTTACGGAATTTCTTCTTTAATTGTTTTCTAAGATCGTCTCGTTTTGCGATATTTAATTTAGCTTGTTTCCTGGCCATTCTTTGATTCTTCCCTGGTTTCCTCTTTTTTGCTTTCTTCTCCTTTATATTTTGTTCTTCTATTGTTGCATTATATGTGTTGATGTTTAGTATAGAATCTCTATATCTCTTGTAAGGCGTTCGGGACATCTCAATTAACTGGTCATATGTTATTCCTGCCTTTTCAAATTCCTTCGTTTGCAGGTCATTGTAAGAAGCAAAATAATAACTCTCGCGTCTCTTTTGTATTATCGGTACTAGATCATCAACCTGTTCAGTAAGATCAACCTTGGTTAATTCTTCTGTTGCAAACAATGGGAAGAATTCAAATCCATCGTTGGCTTCCTGTTCATCTTCTACTTTATTATTATCCATATCATTGATTGAAGGATCTCCGACGTTACTCACCTCAACAAATTCTAATTCTGGGATTAATACATTTTCTGTATCTCCATTGATTGGTGAGGTACCGCCTTCTTGAAATAGCTCAGCTCTTGAAACTCTAAATCATCTGTCGTGTTAGTAATTCTTCATTTAAAAAAGGCCATCCGAACGTGTTGATGAAAATCTATAGCATACGTACATCTTTTGTTCCATTTTTGAATAATTTGACATCGGTTTTCCCACTGGGAATGTATTTATTTATGTGAAATATTCCATCATTTTAAAAGTGATTCGTCAAGTACTTTTATATCATCGACTTTAATCTATGAGAAAATTTTCAGGAAGGCTACAGCCGTCCTTACGCCTAACAAAAAATTAATTAAAAATATGACATCAACAAATTATGATATCTTGTCCTGCTACCTTAGATACAGAGTTTGTAATTGATTTATAATTAAAATAGAAAGTTATTTAAGTATATGATATTGTACACATTCATAAAAATATGTACATGGTGATATATTCTTCAATAATGTACATATTTTCCTCTCTCCACTAAGAATTGAAGACAATTTATAATTTAAAGGGATGAGGAAGTAGAAGAAGTAAATATAATAGAAACATATGTCTAAGCAGTCAAATTGCGGGCTGTGATAGGGGAAACATACAGGTATAACCTATTTGGTCAGCTTTGATTTCATGTTTTGTAAATATTCGCGATAACCTTCACCGATTTGACTCCTATCTTCTACCAAATTACTTAGGGCCCACATTCTTAAAGATCTTAAACTGTTGGTATTAGCATTCTGTATTTCATTTGGAACAGGTCCGTAAATGATATATAGTACTTGATAAGTAATGACCTCATCATTTTGTCTTATCTTGTTGATAATATTTCTAACTTTTTCGTTAAATTCAGAACCTTCTACAACTGGCAATTCACTCTTACCAACAGGAATTTCATAAACAGATTGTTGACCAAATACATCATTAACCAATTCTGGGATAGCTTCACCACCAATCCATAGGAACAATTCTGTACCGTTATCTATCAGATAAAGACCATATTTAGCGAAGAATTCCATGCTGTCATTGATAGGATCAGGTAGGACAATAGAACCATCTTCACCTGGCAGACCAGCTTCATCAGCCATTTCATGTAAAGCGTAAATAGTTGGATAGATTGCCTTGATTAGATATTTTAATGGAGCAGATTCCAAGTAGTTTAATGCATTAGCTCTGTGGTCACTAGGAAGAACAGATGGCATTAGTGCTTGATGTTTTTTCAAAGAATTCATTAACAATGGGAACATTCTTAAATTTGTGCACAATTGTAATGGAACACCACCTGGTGTATTCGAGCTAATAGTTTCCTTCTTGTATGCGTTAAGAATGTCTAAGACACTCTTATTGATTAATTCTCTAGCCTCTTCTATACTGTTATTCATAGCCTTTGAAACAGCCTTTTGAGTGTAGAAATCTGTCATAGCCAATTGATCTGCAGATGCAAAAACTTCTCTAATATTTTCAGTTGTTGGAAGGGCTACAGTAATTACTCTGATTCTACGTTCAGAATTATTCAAAGTTAGCAAAGCGGCAACTTGGACATAACAGTATGGCATGACCAAATTATCGTCCATTGTCATTTCAAACACATATGATTGATCTCTTGGTAAAGTTGACAAAGCCAATAAGTCAGATTGTCTATTAAAGAAATGACCGTAGAATGATTGCATTCTAATACCGATAGAACCACGAGCTCTTAGGACAGCTTCAGTAGAAGTATCCATTGATAAATGTCTAGAGAATTCTGTTGAAAACTTGGTGACATCAGCCATTATGGCAGCATTGAAACCAGGATACATATGAGTCTGACCACCAGTGTAACGAGCCAAATTGGATAGAGATGCAAAATCAACATAACCTGAAGAGGCTAAGAATAAATCAATACCAATTTGGGCTTTGTTACAATCAATAGTGAAATTCTTATAGAACCCATCTTGACAGGACAACAATTGAGAAGTTTCCTTTTGAGTATTTGAAACACCCTTTTCATTTCTTGGGCTTAATTTACCAATACCATGGTTTGGTAATGTAGCTGATACAACAATAATTTTACCACCAGTAGAACGAATTAATTCGAAGGCGGACTTCAAAGCAGGACCTAATGCGAACTTACTCAAAATATTTCCTTCGAATATTTGTGGAATTTGACCTAATAATTTTTCGATGTTTTGTCTGGCAGCAGTCAAAGATACAACCAAATTACCAGGTCTTGGATTATATGGTTCATCGATGTCACATACATCTAACATTTGGGTATTTTCATTGGAGTCATCACTTGGAATAGCGAAGTAATGTAGAGCATTATCGACACACATAATGGAGACTCTAGTTCTATTATCATGGTTTGGTAATTCATCTAAAGTATCCAAGATAGTTCTAACAGCAGTAGATAATAGACCTTCCTTTTGAGCTGCTTGAGAAACATCTAATATGAAAACATAAACAGTAGGAGATGGTTGTCTAACGGTATACTCCTTTGGTGCTAGATATTCCATTACACCACACTTTAAAGCAGATCTTTCGTAACGGTTCATTTGGGCTTCAAACTTGTCCATATCGATTTTAGCCGGGACTTCATTAGCCAGTCTACAAAAGTTACATCTCCACTTATTCCCACCAGAAAGGAAAGTGACAAATGGATTAATATAGATACGACAACGACGACATCTGACGATCAACATACTATCATCTAAAGGTGGAGGAGCATTATCATCATGTAGATGTTGGTAAGGTCTAATTACTAAACCCAATGGCAGTTTAGTTTTCTTCAATAAGGAGTTGTTCTTTGGTACAGCATTCAAAGTACATCTGATAAAATCAGAGGAAGCATTGGCTTCTTCAGATGGAACTAACATCTTTTGAGGTGGAATTTGTAAAGGAGGTGGAGGTAAAGATAATTCAGCGATTGGAGGTGGAAGATCATTTAATAAATCTGTTGGGTACAATTCGTTGTGCTCTCTTGGAACCTTATCTGGATTAAATCCCTCTTGAGGTTGTGCAAAACCTTGTTGACCATATTGTGGTGCATAACCTTGCTGTGGGTAACCTTGTTGTGGGTAACCCTGTTGTTGTTGTTGTTGCTGTTGAGGTTGTTGCTGTTGTGGTTGGTACATCGCGTTTGGATCAACCATACCATTTGGAGCATTCATATTCATATTTCCCATAGCATTAGTAGTTTGGTCAAGTTGTTGATTAAATTGCTGTTGCTGCTGTTGTTGTACTGGAACACCAAATTGTTGATTGAATTGTTGTGGTTGTGGAACACCAGCATTGTACATCTGATCTTGCATTCCCATCCCTGGCATACCAGCCGAAGGCTGGGCAGGCGAGGCCTCGTACTGCTGTTGTGGATATACACGTCTTTGATGTTTGTGTGACATCTCGATTGGCTCTAAGTCAATGTAGAAAACAGTGTGCTTCTTATTTTTGAATCCCTTTAAACTTAATTAGGATAAAAAAAATTTCTGTTTATTATTTCACCAATGAAAATAAAGCAACAAATAACAATTCTTTTCACTTTAAACAATCTTTAAACTTCCTCTTGTATATAATCAAAAAATATCGATTGCAAAAGGTAGCTCAATTGTAATAATGTTACACCTCTACCTCTCTTAACTTTCCAAGTTTCCATTCTTCTCTTTGTTTGTTTGTTATTATTTTTTCTCACTCTATGATTTCTTCCTCAATCCCAATATTTTTTTTTGGACACGTCCATAACAAAGAAACGAATAAAAGAAGTTCAACGAAAGTTAGCTTTGGTGTTACCCTGAATTAATAGCAAAACAAAGTAAATGAGATGGTTTGGATGAAGGGATGCAAATGTTTTATTTAAATGAGTTTGAATGAATATATAAGGAGCTATATATATATATATGTGTGTGCTTATGTGAACTATGTGTAGTCTGGGCATGCACAGTTTCTGCAATCTATGAATCTATGGAAGGTTTCGGGACGTTTAGGTGACTAGGTGCAGTGGGGACAAGTGAATAATGACGTTCATTGTGCACAAGTCCTATCTCTTTAATTCTTGAGATGTTTAGTTCTGATTTTGGAACCTTATTGAAAGAGTCCTTAATTTCGTCGTATTCGTAAAGTGCCCATCTTATCCCTTGTGGTCTGGGTTCTAGACAGTATACGGAATGTAATGGGATATCCAGATCGGTGACTACTTCGAGTCTCAAATTCATAAAATATCCAAGGAGGATTCTAGCAACGACATGATGAGTAATCAGTAAAATATTGTCTTCCAGGCGCTCCATCTCAGTGATGACACTACGAAGTCTGTTACTGACATCCATATATGATTCTCCTCCACAACCGGGGTATCGATATAGCAATTTATCATGTTGTCGATCTTCGTAAACTTGTGGATATTGAGTTCGGAATTGTTCGAATGTTAGACCATCTATATCACCAGCATTAATCTCATCGAGCATTTTCATTTGTTTTGTTGGGTATTCATTGTCGTCAAAGTATTGGCCTGTCTCGATGGATCGTTGTAACATACTTGTCCAAATGAAGAATGATCGACCGCCTTCTTCTTCGTCAGCTTCATCACTATATTCACTATTTTTGCTTGGGGTAGATGGCGCAGATGTATGTTCTTGATGTAACCTTTCTTCAAAGAGTGTTCTTTGTTCTTCAATAAATTTTGTTAGAGCTTGGGCATATTTATCACCACGAGCCGTTAAAGGTGCATCACCACCGATTTTCCCATTAACGTTATCTTCACATTCCCCACTTCTTGTGATCCATATTTGTCTTTCCGATAAATTGAAATTTAATAAATAATACATTGTTAAGGATGCTAAAAATCCTTTAATTCGATGTGATATGAGTTTTGTACCAACATTAATCATCTTGATATATGGGTAGCCTTCAGCATCATCCATAGGTTCATAAACTATATCATAATTTTCTAATCGTTGTTTAAAATCAGTGAGAGATTCATCACGATTTTTACCTTTATAATCTGGACCACACAATTTCAATTGAATATTCTTGTCAATCATTTGTCTATCAGTACATATTGATTCCAAAAATAAGACTTTCAATTGATCATTACGTTGACGTATGCGGGTATAAACGGTTTTCCGTCTTTCCTTTGTTGTATTTGTAGCATCAAATATGGCTACGGATCCATTTCCAGTTAATAAATAATCTAATAATTCATCTAAAGTATCCAATGCCCATTGATCTCTCAATTTAATGTTTTTTTGATCGGATGGATCAAAAAAATTACTATCTTGTTCATTCATACCATGTTCTCTAGTATACCGTCTTCTAGTATTTCCTACATTAAACACTTTACAATGATACATTGAATAATTCAAATATCTAGATACTTTTTTTGTTATAAATGATTTTCCAGTAGCAGGAATCCCCACCATAATAATCACTAATTTTGAACCATGATCATTACGTGATATTAAACCGTCGGGGGAACTCTTAGATTTTGTTAAACCAGGTATATCTAATGTTGTGGGAGTCCTCTTTTTCTTCGTTAATGTAGGTCGTAATCTATCCGGAGATTCTATTCCCATTTCAATAGTATTGCATGATATCACAGGAGAGGTCTCGACAGTATTTATCCCACTACCTGTATTTATAAATATATTACTATTTATTGGTGATGGTGTTGACGTATCGATACCTGTCGGAGTTTGTGCATTGCTTCCAGTGGGCGAGTCACTTGCAGGTCTTCTTTGAAAATAATCATCACCATTTTTCAACAGGGACTCTCGTAGTGCACCTGGTATAGATTTCACTCTTGGAGGAGTCTCATCTTCATATTCTTGTTTATTTGATGTTCCCATTGTTCTCCCTCAAAATATGCAGATGTATCCAGTTATTATTTTGTTTTTTGACAGATTCTTTGTTTTGAAGTATGTATATAGTGTTTTATAAAATGTACAATATTAAACTATGTAGTATTTCGACCTGCCAAGATGATAACAATCACTAAACCCTTCCAAACAACTGCTATCTTATCAAACGTCTGGGTTAAGTACTATTTCAATCAGTCATTCGAAGACTGAAATTTCTCCCTTTGCAGTCAAATCGGCTTCAAAATCCTAAATTCCGTGAAATATTTCCTTCCTCAAAGCGAAAAAAATTGAAAAATTTTGATATCAGAATAGCCAGACAGGTATAGATTGAATATGTTTGACACGTTTGAACAAAGGGACCTTTCACCCCTTGCATGATACATAAGGAGAGGTTAGACATTGGTGCTCTCTTAACATATATATGCTTTGTAAAGATCTTGTTTGTTTTTGAATACTTTTGGGTTGAAAATAACAGTATTGAAAAGGGCAAAGATGGTAGATCTGTTAAGCATTGCTATTGCGCAATGCATGGTTACCTTTTGCATAGTGTACCTGAGGATGCAATCTGTCAATAGATCTCTTATGAAAGCACCACGTAATTATAAAGATAAATTACTTAAAGGAATTTCAAAGGGTGGAAAATTAGCTGGTGTATTTCATTCATGGAAAATTGGTTCCGTAAGGAGAGAACTATTATTAAGAGCTAAGGATGTACGTAATTTTACTAATGAAGGGGATGCTGGCCTGTTAGATATTATGATGAAGGATTCTGACGAAAAAGAAAATATAATTGAATCGTTGAAAAATGATGAGAAAACTGAGAAAACTTTATTTGGTTTCTTTCATCCATACTGTAATGCAGGTGGTGGTGGTGAAAAAGTACTATGGAAGGCTGTAGAGACTACTTTAAAATTTGATCCAAATATTATTGTTGTAATTTATACAGGTGATTGTGATGCTACCGGTGAACAAATTTTGGAAAGTGTATCAAAGAGATTTGACTATGAATTGGATGCATCGAGAATATCATTTATTTTCTTAAAATATAGAAAATATGTTGATAGTAAGACATGGCCACATTTTACTCTATTAGGTCAAGCTATTGGTTCTGTTTTATTAAGTATAGAGGCTATTTTAAAATGTCCACCGGATATATGGTGTGATAGTATGGGTTTTCCATTTGGCTACCCATGGGTATGGCACCTATTAAGAATTCCGATAATTACTTATACACATTTCCCCGTTATTTCTAGTGATATGTTAAATAAATTATCTCATCAACAACAAACTTTGAAGAATAGAGGTAAAGGAATTTATTGGAAGTTATTTATGAAATATTATGAACATATGGGCAGTTTTATTACAATTGCTTGCACGAATTCAAGTTGGACAAATGACCATATCTCTAGAATTTGGACACAATGTAAAACAAATGTAATCTTCCCACCTTGTTCTACTGAAAAATTAGTCCATTATGAAAAAGAAGGTGATTTACCTGCAAAGAGGCTAAATCAAGCTGTGGTACTTGCTCAATTTAGACCAGAAAAGAGACATAAATTGATTATTGAAGAATATGCTAAATATTTGGAGACGGCTCAATATGATGATGTACCAAAGTTAATATTCATTGGGTCGACAAGATCAGATGAAGATAGGAAATATATTGAAGAATTAAAAACTTTAGCATTAGATGAATTAAAGATCCCTAAGGAACGGTTTGAAATAATACCAGATCTTCCATATGAAGATATAAAAAAAATGTTATGGAGTTCTACTTATGGTATCAATGCAATGTGGAATGAACATTTTGGTATAGCTGTAGTAGAATATATTGCTGGTGGGTTGATCCCAATTGTTCATGGTAGTGCAGGTCCATTATTTGATATTGTTATTGATAATGTTGGTTTTTTTTTCCTTGATCCAAGTGATCCAGATTATAAAGAGACTAGTAGTATATTAGGATTTGGTACATTGTGTGATGCTCTCAAAGAAGTTAGTTATCTGGATGATAAAGATAAGAAAAAATTATCAGATATTGCTATTAGGATTGCATTAACTAAATTTTCTGATAGCAGATTTGAGGAAAAATGGATTGATCAAGTTTTATCAAAGGTAAGTAATTAAATACTGGTTGTTTAGTATATCTATACATAATGATATTAGATAAAATATTTTTAGACAGTTCAGACACTTACCATCAAAGATTTAAAGATGAATATATGTATTATATTATTACTGTTATTATTATTATTAATTTTACATAAGGCAAATAAAATAAAATAAATAAAAAAAAGGGTGAGGAATGTTAAATTTATTTGTTACCAGGGTGTACTGTTTCGATATAGAAATTAGGTAAACCATCTCGTATTTGCGAATCATCAGTATCTGGGATGGATGATGTTGTATTAGTATTTGTAGCATTATCAAGATGAGGTGTGGAGTTTGGTAAAGTTGTAATTTCATCATTGTCCATATTTGTAGAGGTATGTACCAAAGTATTATTGTTGTTGTTGTTATTGTTGGTTTCGGTAGATGTGTCCTGCTGTGAAGATGTTTTTTTCGTTAATGTACCTGCTGCACTAGGAGATGTCATTGATGGAGATGCAGTATTTGAAATTGTTGAAGATACTCTTGGTTTCCCATCTGCCTCTAAATTAAATTTTTCAGTAATATATTTTAATTTATCTGTTGATGAAGTAAAACTTGTGAATATTTTTAAATTATCAAACCAAGTCATCATTGATTCATAAGAATCTGTCTTAAATACCCAATTATGACCTCTATGAATAATTCCATTTTGTTTTGCATGTAAAACTAATTTATTTTCAGATGAACCTTTTTTTGAATGTTCTGCTACGGTACATTCATTTAATGCTAATGACATTACAGGTACTAAATCTTTCTTTCTATCTGCAGTTTTAAATTCATGTAAGAAATTTGGAGTTAGTACATAAAAACCACGAGAATACGATTTTAAAAATTTTGATCTTCTATCAAGATAACCAGAATGAATCTCATAAGTCATTGGATCATATTGATATTTATACACAATTTCTTTAAGTTTTCTCATTGGTAAATGTGGTGAAATAAAATTATCATCTCTAGCGATAAAATTTTCCCATTCAAATTGTGGATCTTTATTAAAAAATCCAACATCTAATTTTGAAATTAAAATATCAAATACAAGTTGAGATTCTTGACCCAATAATCTTGCATAAATGGTTAAGGCATTTTGAATCTCCATTACCACAACTTTTTCTAATTCAGCTCCAGAAGTTTGTAAATTATCGAAGGCTTCATGAAGAAAATTTTCTTCAATCAATTGTTTTTTAATTTGTTTATCTAAAATAATTTTCGTTAAAAATGGATCTTGTTTTGGAGTACCATTATATCTTGTCTCTTTTAAAGATTCAACAAATTGTTTCATATCTGATCTTGTTTCTTGTAATTCCTTTGAACATGAATTTTTAAAATCTGATTGTAATGATTTAATTTCTTTAATTTTAACTAATAAATCTCTTCTTAAATCTTCTAATCTTGGAATTACCTCACTTGTTAATTCTTTTGATGTACGTGAGGCAGCTGATGCTAAAGTACCATGATATTGATTTAAAATTGTTGGTAAATCTTGAATTGATCCGTTACCTAATGGTAAAAAGAATTTTTGAACATTTTTATCTTCAGTTGAACTTGGTTGTGATTGATTTTCAATTGAAAAAAATGGAAATTGAATTGCATGTGATAGTCTTAATTGCTGTCTAACAATTTCATCTTGAATTGATGCAGTTTCTGTTAAATATGTTAAAATTGATCTGATAATATTTCTCCATGCTGCAAATCTTGCTGATAAAATTTCTGTTGGTTGTGCGGATGTTGGTACCAATATTACTAAAGGTGATCTTGGATCTTGTATAGAATTTCTAACTTTTGATTTAATTGATGTATTTGTTAATGAGTTTCTACCTTGTTGTAGTTGCTGTTGCTGGGTAGAAATCATTTGTGGTAAAATTGTACTTTGAGTAGTGCCTTCAGATGTCATTGAAAGTAATGGATTAGGACTAGTAGGAGGAACTTTTAATTGTTGTTGAGCAGCTTGAGCTTGAGCTTGAGCTTGAGCCTGTGCCGCTTGTGCTTGAGCAGCTTGAGCAGCTTGAGCAGCTTGCTGTTGCTGCTGTTGCTGCTGCTGCTGTTGCTGCTGCTGCTGTTGCTGCTGTTGCTGCTGCTGCTGTTGCTGCATATTGTAATAGGTAGCATAATCAGTTGAAGTCATACTTCTAGTATGTTGTTGTAAATTTTGTAAATGCTGTAAGTTTGATCGTTGTTGTGATATCATATCTGATACATTTGAAGTCATCGTATTATGATGTGACATTATTAATTTGTTATATGTATATTATTTGAGTATAGTTAAAAAATATAGAAACAAAAAGAATTGTTTTTACCTCCCTTTCAAAGCACACATACATATATATATATATAATTAGAGTAATTTGAAATAAGAAAAACAATCCTAACTTTAGCAAAATATGGTTTAGCAAGGGACCAAAAACCCAAATTTACAGATGTATCTGATGCAAGAATAACGGATTAACTACTCGCGAAGAAGAAAGAAGAAAAATCTATAAAGAGCTGCGCATTATTTATTTATTTTCTAGAAATATTTCGTTGATTCTTGCCGTCTTGGTGGTGAAGGTAAAAAGAGGGAGCGGTGCGGTGGCCTGTGCGGTGGGTTGTGTGCGGTGCTCCTCTTTGTCGTGGGGAGTGATGTGGCACAGTGTCACATATGTATTTGAAGTACACTGGACAACATATAGATGTATATATGTGTATTTGTACATGCATCAAGATGTATAGAGCATCGTGTGTGGGATGCTACCAGGTGGATACGTGTTACAGTAATTTCGATCTCGTATCGCCTTTTCCTGACCGGTGATTTCAGTAGGTTATCTAGTTTAAGGGAGAACACGTGAAGTTTGTGTATCTATATAAGAGGCTGGTCCATCGATATACTTCGGTTATGTATTGAAAGAGTGCTCCGTAGGTGTTATGGCAAGTCATGTGACATCAACAGGTCCTGGTGGTTTGTATTTGTCACCACCAGGTTCACATGGCACGAGATCCCGACTGCTGCTACCTATACTCTGGCAGTTAATAATGAAATGACCTTTATAGTGATATAATTAAGGGAAATTGTTCGGAGATTACATTTCTATCTCTGATCGTGTTGTAGTAAGCCGTTATCACCTTTATGAGCACCAGAAACTTCCACACTGCTCGCATTGATATTTATTTACACATACCCTACATGTTTCTACTTTATTTTTTCTTGGAATGTAACCAGAATACTAGTAGCATCGTCGTGTGGTACCTTTTCGACTTTGCCAATTGCGTTTGAGGCGTCTTGTGAAACACGATGTTGTTCCAGCGTACATCGCTCTCTACGACGGGGCTATAACATCTCACTGCCTTTTGAAATATTTCAATACATTTTTGACATTAAAATGGGAAGAGAAAAAAAATGTGTCAAAAGCAAAAAACAAAAAAGAGCTTTTGCTCTTGCAACATCGTGGTTTTCGTATACATGCCCTATCTTTGAGATCTTGCTTGGTTTTTTTTTGTATTGTTGAGTTATACTTCCATAGCAAATGCTTCTTTCCTGGGATTCTGTAATTAACTATTCTCCTTTTGTTTTTATTGGTTTAATTACTGTTGCTATGCAACGTTCCCCTTTAAAGAAATTGTTTACTAGTTTTAAAAAACATAATTTTTCAACTGTTGCTCCTACTACCACCCTCAAGACTAAGATGACTTTGCCACCTGTGTTAGAGGCACGTAGACCTACTCAATGTCCTGAGTTTGATTACTCAACTCTGTCTAACTATAAAGATTTTACAGTTAAACACACTACATTAAATATGGATATTAATTTTGAAAAGAGTAAAATTTCCGGTAATGTAATTTATCAATTGCATCGTAACAATAGTCACGATAATAAACAGTTGATTCATTTAGATTCTTCCCATTTAATTGTCTCTTCAGTTCAAGTTGACGGTGTCGACACCAAATCATTCCATTTGGAGGATCGTATAGAACCATTGGGTTCTAAATTGACCATTGAACCACCAAAGGAATTACCTTCAGAATTTCAATTAACATTAGCCTTTGAAACTACTGATAAATGTACTGCGTTACAATGGTTGACAGCAAAACAAACCTCAGGGAAACCTTATGTATTTTCTCAATTGGAGGCTATCCACGCTAGATCTTTATTCCCTTCATTTGATACTCCTTCCGTAAAGAGTCCCTTCACCGCTAACATTACTTCTCCATTACCTGTGGTGTTCTCTGGGATCACTTCTCCTGGAGCTGAGGGAACTACTTATACATTTGAACAGACTGTACCTATTCCTGCATACCTTGTTGGTATTGCCTCTGGTGATTTGGTTAGTGCTCCAATTGGACCTCGTTCTACTGTATACACAGAACCATTCCGTTTAAAGGATGCTCAATGGGAATTTGACGGTGATGTTGAAAAATTCATTACAGCTGCAGAATCTATTATATTTCCTTACGAATGGGGAACTTATGATATCTTAGTCAACGTAGATTCTTACCCTTATGGTGGTATGGAATCACCAAATATGACATTTGCTACACCAACATTAATTGCTCACGATAAGTCTAATATTGATGTCATTGCTCATGAATTGGCTCACTCATGGTCAGGAAATTTAGTGACTAATTGTTCTTGGAATCATTTCTGGCTGAATGAAGGATGGACCGTTTATTTGGAACGTAGAATTGTTGGGAAATTACATGGTGAAACTACAAGACATTTCAGTGCTTTGATCGGTCTAACAGATTTGAAAAACTCTATTGATTCAATGACTAATCCAAAGAGATTCTCTACATTAGTTCAATGTTTGAATGATGGTACTGACCCAGATGAGGCCTTCTCTTCTGTGCCATATGAGAAAGGTTTCAATTTCTTGTTTTATTTGGAGAACCTTGTCGGTGGTCCACAAGAATTTGATCCATTTATCAAACATTATTTTACTAAATTTGCAAAACAATCTCTAGATACTTTCCAGTTCTTAGACACTTTATTTGAATTCTACCATGATAAACGTGATCTTTTAAATACTGTTGATTGGGAAAAATGGTTATTTACTCCTGGGATGCCACCTTTACAAAAATTTGATACTACATTAGCCGATAATGTTTATATTTTAGCTAATAAATGGGTTAGTGCTGCGAAATCTCAAATGACTTCAGAACAGTTGTTGAAGGAGTTCCAAAATGATGATATTGCTGAATTTAACGCCAATCAAGTAGTATTGTTCTTAGAGACTTTAACTACAGGTGGACACAACATCACAGAAAATGAATCGTTTAAATGGTCCAATTATTCTGATGTTGCTAGAACATTGTTACAAATTTATAAGAAGGGAATAACTGATTCTCAAAATGCAGAAGTTGTCTTCAAAGTTTATAAGTTTGAAATATTGGCTCATTTGCAAGAATATTACTCAGATTTGGCTGCATGGTTAGGTACTGTGGGTCGTATGAAATTTGTGCGTCCAGGTTACAGATTGTTAAATCAAGTCGACCGTGATTTGGCTTTAGCTACTTTCGATAAATTTAAGGATACCTACCATCCAATCTGTCGTTCTCTGGTTAAACAAGATCTGGGCTTGTAATTATAATGTTAATATGTCTATATATACTAGTAGTCTATTTTCTTTATGTAAAAATATTAAAATAATGAAAATACCACATCTCTTTTCTGGCTTTGATAATGGTCAATATAAAATTTAAAAGTATGTCTACAGGTTAATAATAAGTAATATGAGATACTAATTGTAGATTGAGTGTCAAAGTAGTAGCTCCAAATATTGATAGTTTATATTGGATTTACAGATAATTATGCAAAGAAGTACAAATACTATGAAATTGATAGAACCTCTACCCTACAATTATGTTAAATATCTCTTAAGTGTATATTTACCATTGATCATTGATTTCGTTTTGTTCGACAGTATTTTTCCATTAATTACCATTGCTAATTCAAACTATTCGGTGCATCATGAATAATATTTGTGGGGTTAATGCATCACCTTTCCATCTCATTCTTCGATACTTTAAAATCGCAAGACTTCTGGAGGGCATTATAATATTTCAAAAGATTGTGCGCATCGGTACCACACAATGAGCGTAAAACTGTTATCACCTCTTTATAGATACTCCTCATCTTCTTCTAATTACAGTGGATAAAAAGAATTCGTAAGTAATCCGCTGGATTATCTTCCACTAACATCATATCTAGCCCTGTGAAGGTCACCAAAAATATACTGTTAATGGCGACATTGGACCACTCCTGGGATGTTGGTACCGGCTCATCAAAATCCTTAAATGCCAGATCTAAACTAAGTAATTTATTCAATAATTGCAAAATATGTTTTTCGTTATTTGTTTTCCCTTAAATTAGGTAACCTGTCAAATAGCTTATGAAGAACGGTAATAAAGAGCTAAAATCGGATTTCTCAGCTGTGTTTACCGTGGTAAGAATTAAAACTGATAAAATTCTCAAAAGAACTATAACTTTTTCTTTTTTATTTCTATTAAAAAAGGTCTTGTATCGACGAAACTTATTATTTTAATCAAAATAACGAAAGTTCTTACATTTCGTCAAAACGGGTAGTTTTCTTTTTTTCATCAGTAGTATGATGTTCTATACTATCAAAATTCTATTGAATCTCCAAATATTTATTCAGGTTCATTTAAAAACAATATTACGTGAAATTTCGAAGGATATAGAAAAAAAAAAGTACCAAAATGAGAAAATCATCTATCGCATAGGTAATAGTAACATACACAGTCCTTAATGTTGTTGTTGTTTTAACTAATGTACCAAGAAAGCAGCCATCTAATAGATCTTACTATAACTGTATTATTTCCAAATGTCCATTGAATTTTATTCCCAAATAAAGAATAAACTGTAAAGTATCTCACTAATGGTCTAATTTCTATTGATAATTGTACTAAAGCTCTTATTAATAAGATTAATAGCATTATACTAGTACATAGCATAATAAACCAAGTAATTATTTCTTGAGAGACGGGCCATTTATCTAAACTACTAGTAGTATTTTTACGTTTCCCATTATTTGGTAAAAAATTTAATTTTTGCCAACATTTAACATTATTATTATTATTATTATTATTATTATTATTTTTCTTTTTAATTGATGTACTTCTTTCTGTCCATTTAACACGACGCCGTATCCATACTAATGCATTACCATCATCATTCCTTTGCATTCTAATTTAATATCCATCACCCTGTCTCTCTCTTCCTCGAAATATTTATTGCTATTTAAATACACATACATATAGTGAACGTTAAAACATCTCAAAAATGTGTGTTTACCAAAATACTTTAACGATTCCAGCTAGAAGATTGTTAAAATAACCAACCCGCGCAGGCTTTGAAACTTCTACCAGGCTGAGTCGTCGCGACGCCATTCTTTCCAATATTATTTTCGCAGCCAAAGCAACTGAAAGCAAAAAAAATGTAAAGAGGACAACAAACAAAAACAAAAAAAAAGAAAAATTTCAAAAATAGATAAAAGATGTCAACAGTCATATATATCCAGAAGTATTTCTCGAATAATTTATAAGTAGATATCATAATTTAGTCTGTTCAGATATATCATTCAACTCAGAATAAGGAACTTAATATCAGCAATCATGAATCAATTAGGCAATTTAGCAGTAAGTACTATTTTACGGAATTCTTTACTCTTTCCAGATTAGCAATCGTTTTGTTTTCATTTTACTAACTACTTTAAAAAAAATGATGATGATGATGATGATGATGAGAAATTAATAGTCTCTACTGAGCGGTAATATAATTTTCTGTTTCACCTAGATGTAGGATTTGAAATTTGAAGTTTATTAACTTCAAGTTATTTTACACTCTCTCACTTTCTTAACATTTTAATTTTTTATTTTTAGCAACTATCCAGAATGTCATTGGAAAACTTATCCATGGACAATATTAAAGCACAAGTACACAGCTTACAAAACAAATTATCTTCTTTACGTCCACCACAAGAATTCTTCAATGTTAAGAATATTTCAAAACCAGCTAATTTTTCCGATTTACAATCTCGTGTATCATACAATTTAGGTTATTATTCCAGTAATTATGCTCTAATTGTTGGTTGTTTATCCATCTATACTTTATTAACCAATTTATTACTATTGTTTGTTATTGTCTTTGTCTTTGCTGGGTTCTTAGGGATTAATAAATTAGGAGGTCAAGGTTTAGTGACGCCGTTTGGTTCCTTTAATACTACACAATTATACACTGGTCTATTATGTATTTCTGTACCATTAGGGTTTTTGGCTTCTCCAATTTCTACTTTATTATGGTTAATTGGTGCATCTTGTATGTCTGTGTTTTCTCATGCTTCATTTATGGAAAAACCAATTGAAACTATCTTTGAAGAAGAAACTGTTTAAAAGAAACATACAATCCGAATATTTTATATAAAATTTAGCTTATCATTTGACATTTTCAATTATATATAAAGAATAACAACAGTACAAATACTTCAAAACCAATGATCTTACATTCTCTATTAATTGTAAATTGAGTTACTAAAAAATAGAGATATTTTTTAAACCCTTTGAAAGACAATAACAAACCTTGATAAAAAGGAGTTGTAAATATCTAGTATAGATGGTGATATGATTTTAATTCAGGGTCAGAATTGCTCTATAAATATTCATAAGAAACTCATATATATACATTAAATCATTATAACCCAAATTATCTCCGTCGGATTTATTTTCTGCTTAAACTACCGCACCATCCCGCGGAAGAAAATTCTAAAATAAAATCTCCGACGGAGATAATCTTCAAAATACAAAAGTATTTATCCGGGTAAAGAATTAATCCGACACAGAAACATCTGCAGAAAAACGGAATAGCATCACTCTGCACGATTAGCAAAACTAAAACAGAAAAAAAGGGACCAACCCCGCGCTTCTTTCTTTGGTAATCCAAAGCAATGCTCTGATTAAATAATAATCAAAAAAATTAGCTTAAAATTTACAAATTTATAATCAAATTAAAATCAAGCCAGCAAATAAACAAAAAAGATATTAAAAATATTTTGAGAGATAATTAATATCTTTTTTTTTTTAGTTTGTTCTTTCATTTCTCGGGGGGAAAGAGATAGTCATTATAAAACTGTATTATTGTTTTACAGACAAAGGAAAAAAAAAGGGTTCTCCTTCATTAATTTCTTGACAAGAGAATCGTGTTAATAATTTACATTATTCAAGACCTACTATTCTAATTCTTTCTCTCCCCCTTAAATGAACTCATTTATATAAGACTCAGTTTATTATCTTTATATATAAAAATAAAGTAAAAAGAATAGTATATAAAAAGAAACATTTAAAGAACTAGTAAATCAGCAAAAAAAAATTATAGAAGAAAAATAAAGTTGTTTGTTATTGTGTTTTTAATGAATGAATTTTGAAAAGTTTTGTAATAAAAGGGATAATGGTATTATCAATAATAATGGTCATAAAAAATCAAAATCTTTAGCAAGTATGGTATTCGGTGAAGATATAATTGATGATACACCAGAATCTCACGCAACATTGTCAAAAGCTATTGAATTAAAGATCGAACAAGAACGAACTAAACAACATTATTATCGTTTAGAAAATACAAATAAAACTATTGAATTATTACAATTAACTTCAAAATTAGGAGTATCTGTTGCTGAAATTTCTGCATTATTATCGCCAGTTGCAACACAGAGCCAAATAAATGAAAATATTCCAAATAATAATGATAAACCTCAACAATATAAGTTCCCTGCTGTAAACCAAGAACGTTTAACGGTACCGCCAAAAAGTATGCATAGACGAATGAATTCCCCTGCAAGAATTGGAGCTAATGCAATTGCTTCTTTAGCTGTAGATAACAAAACTTCGGAAAGTACAACTATAAAAGAGGAAGAAACTTCACAGTTTAGAGAAGATGATGACAATAGTAATCAAGCCATTTCACCATTAAGTAAAAAATTACCAACATTTCATAATTATACTACTACAGATAGACATCTAAGACATACAAGAAATATGTCATTACCTTCAATGAATAAATTTGTTAATAATAGTAATAGTAATAACAATATTATTAACACTGATAATAGTTCAGCAATAAATACAACTAATTCACAAAATATACCTGAAACTATGACTTCAATTTTAAGTTTTAACAATACAAGGAATGACCCTTTATTAGAAAAACCAAAACCTGAATCTGCACGTCCATCAAGTATTCGTATGTTAGAGAAATCTGGAAGTCGACCATCTGGACAATCGAAACGAACATCTGGATTAATTCAAAAGAAACATAGAAGAGCTAAATCCGCATCTGGATCCTCGGCATTTGGTGTCATTGATTTAAATGTTATTGAGGATGCTAAAAGGAAAATAATAGTAGATGATGCAAAGAGGAAAACAATTATTGCAAACATTCTTGCTAATGGGAAATATAATCCAAATGCAAATACGAGTACTACAATACCCTTGAATAAACAACCGAAAACGGATAACTCGTCAAAGGAAGTCTCTGAAAATCAAAATAATAATGACGTTGATGAAAAGACTTGCAGTGAGAGTAGTAGCAGATGTGAAAGTCCTGTTCGTTATACCAATCATACCCACACAGTTAATTCGGTACAGAGACTTCTGAACGATTAGTATAATCTTTCTTACGCATTTTTCATATTTCTCAGAAATTTTACTTATATTTCAACACATTTTTTAACTAACTTTATGCATCTTATAAATAGAATCATTCATTCAATGTAATATTAAAATATTACTTTCAAAGTTATTGTGGGCCATTTTTTTTTTTGTGGGCATCTTAATTGATACAATAATTGTTTTAAGAATATTAGTATGTACATATTTAATTTTATTTATACCTTTTTTAGAGAGTTTTCTCTTTGTGTATAATTACAAGTAATGAGAATATGAATATTTTTCATAAGCCTTTTTTTATCATTTCATTTACCAAAAAAACACCAATATAATACATTTTTGGTACTAATTTTGTTTCCATGCCTTCATTTTCTTATTCCATGCATATTTAATTGATTTGGTGACACCTGCTGTAAATACCCCTTTTGCAGTCTGGAGAATACTATATTCGGCAATTCTATTTCTCAACTGATGTATAGAATTATCATACGTAAAGCCTTGAGGTAAAGAGTGATGTCCATTTATAACAACTTCATTCCAAATGGGACCATAATAATATTTGAATTTATCAAAATTTTTAGTTACAATATTAGTAATCTTATTAGGATTTTCACCTCCCAAAGTGTATCGTATATCACCTAAATAACTTAATCCAGCAATCTCTTTATAAAATTGAAATTCATCAATTGTAGATTTATTTGAATTTTGTTTCCGTTTCTTTAATGTTAAGTGTTTGGCTAAAGTTGCTGCATTCCTTAAATTAATTTGATTCCAATATTTTATAGACATATTATCCTTTATAAATTTAACAGGTTTTTGTAAACGTCCAGCAAGATAAAATGTATCCCATTGAGAAAGATCTCTTAAAAGTCTTTCCATAGATACAACACCATATTTCACCTGATGGCCCATAATTTCTGTAAATGGATTGAAATATATACCTGCTCCAAGTTCTTGAAAAGAAGATATCTTACTACTACCTAAATATTTCATACTCGAATAATGATGAGGGTTTTGAATTAAGTTGATGGTATGGAATTTTAAAGGATCTGTAACACCAAATATCATATCAATTTGTGGTTTCTCCTGTGTGTGATCATTTGTATAACCAGCTTGTTCGAATACTCCAGACCCATATCCAATGGCTACTTCGATAGAGGCATTGAAAGAGTTCACGATTGCATTAAGTTCACGTTCTAAATCCTTTTCTATGGCAATGGATTGATTCAATCCAAAATTTGGGGGAAGTTCAGTCATTTTAGAATTATGATCAGTAAATTTAACAGAGAGATGGTTAACTCTTTTAATTTCGTTTTCAAGCAGTGATAGATCTTTTTCGCTTCTTACTTGTGGCATTTCTACGATTTTATCGTTACCAGATGATATAGTTGTCGAGAGATGATCATTTAATAGGTTTGATCTCTTACTAGTTCCTTCAAAATCTGGCGTATTGGATGCCGAAGAACAACTTTGCATAAATGAACGCCTTGACATATTCCTCGGAATATATCTCATTGATATCCTATTGGAAATCGTCCGCACAAACATTATTAAAATGGGACCTATTTTCTGTTATTTTTTATTTTGAGAAAGAAATACACGAAATGTTTTCAACTTAAGGTTATGGCACTAAATATAGTACTTTATCAATACAAAAAGTATGATCTTACTTCGGTAGTTACTATTGTCTTTTAATAAATGTAATGTAGATATATATATGAACAGTTTTTCCACTATACAAGCTTCACTTGGCACTGCCCCCTTAACTTGTTCTACCTTTTATTTGTTAGTCAACTTCTCTTTTAATAGTACCACTAAATGGTCTTAATATTTCTCTTCACTTTCCTATGCTTTCATTAGCAGTAACACCTCTTCAAATGGAACACACAGAAGAATATATATTTATTCTGTATTTATTCGGATTTAAAAATTGTATGTATGTATATGTTGTCATAAAAATAAAATTGAAATTTGTTTATTAAAGAGATCAATCGTGCTTTATGAAAAATAAAATAAAATCGGAAGAGAACAGGGAGCTCATCGCATTTTTTTTTTCACTGCTAAACTGAAAAATTAATAATCCAGAAATAGGAACAAATAAATTTTTCAATATACTGCCTCAAGTTCTTATTTATAAAGTTCAACTTTGCTTATAAATCAAATTTAATTTAGCTTAAACGTTAAAATAATTTTATTTCTTAAGGATTATAAGTATTTAGATACAAATAGTTTATAAAGAAAATTATTTAAAGCCTCTAAAAGGAAATAATGTCTTCTGAAGAAGCAAATAATGAGCCTAAGAAGGTTCCAAGAAGAAGATTTGTCGGATCGAGAAATGGTGATGGGAAAGGCATCAAAACTGTATCCTCTGAAGACGGTAAGGAACTGGTCAGGAAGGCCAGAAGTACTATTAATGGTTCCAGAAGTATGATCACACATATTCCAGAAGAAATCTTAAATGATGAAGAACTAAATGAAGCTATCAAATTATTACCTTCTAATTATAATTTTGAAATACATAAGACTATATGGAATTTAAAGAAAAATAATTCAAAGCGTGTTGCTTTACAGATGCCTGAAGGGTTATTGATTTATTCTTTACTAATTAGTGATATTTTGGAACAATTCTGCGGCGTAGAGACTGTTGTAATGGGTGATGTGTCGTATGGTGCTTGTTGTATCGATGACTACACTGCTAGAGCCCTTGAATGTGACTTCATTGTTCATTATGCCCATTCATGTTTGGTTCCTATTGATATTACTACTATCAAAGTATTATATGTTTTCGTCACTATTAACATTGATGAGGCACATATTATTAAGACTTTACAGAAGAACTTTCCAAAAGGTAGTAAGCTGGCTACCGTCAGTACCATTCAATTTAATCCAACAGTACATAGTATAAAGGATAAATTGTTACATGATCCACCCAATGATCACTTACTTTATGTTATTCCGCCTCAAATAAAGCCACTATCAAGAGGTGAAGTATTAGGATGTACCTCAGAAAGACTTGATAAGAATCAAATAGACGCAATTATCTTTATTGGTGATGGTAGATTCCATTTAGAATCTGCTATGATTCATAATCCAGAAATTCCTGCATTTAAATATGATCCATACAATAGAAAATTCACCAGAGAAGGTTATGATCAAAAACAATTAGTTCAGATAAGAACAGAAGCTATTGAAACAGCTAGACGTGGTAAAGTGATCGGTTTAATCTTGGGTGCTTTAGGAAGACAAGGTAATGTCGGAACTGTGGATAGACTTGAGAAAACATTAGTTGACCAAGGTTACTCCGTAGTTAAAATTATCCTAAGTGAGATTTTCCCACAGAAATTGGCAATGTTCGATAAAATCGATGCCTTTATCCAAGTTGCGTGTCCTAGGTTGTCTATCGATTGGGGTTACGCTTTTAATAAGCCACTTTTGACCCCTTATGAAGCCAGTGTCTTAATGGGTAAAGATGTAATGTTCGATGAATCATATTACCCAATGGATTATTATGAGACTAACGGTTATGGGAGAGGTCAAATTCCTGCTCATTCTTCTTACGTCAGTTGATCTATCTACAGTTAGTTATATTCTTTAATAATAATATTTATTTATATTTTACACCAATTCGGTTATTTGTCTTTGTGTGTGTACGTGCGGCTATGTAGTTAGATAGTTATATTCGATAGGCTATTCTAGACCAAGTAAAGTATGAAATTCAATTGAAGTGAAGTTTAAAATCTCAAGAACATGTTGTTCATTTTCTGGATTTAAATGGATTAAAATTTTTTGGAAAACATCATAAAATTTAGATAATTTTTGAAAACAATTTTCACTTATCTCATCCGCAATGGAAGGTGATGTTAATTTAAACAATAGTTTCTCTTGAATGTCTGTCATTGCCTGTGGTATATATTCATTCAGTTTTTCATGTACATTTTCATTGATTGTACTCAGGCTCATTAATGGATTTTCATTTAATGATAAATACATATCGTAATCTAATTCATCTTGAATGGAATCAATTGGGAAGATCATATTAAATAAATTATTGTACATTCCTAGTCCTGTGCTCTCGAATAGGAATTTCGATTGTATTTCTTTCATTTGGGAAACAAAGTCCTTTAATTTGTCATTCACAAGATCAAATATTGATTCTTGGTCGTTATGCGGTTTTAAGATGGTATTCTTAAATGGTTGTAATCTCGTTTTTATCAAATCAAAGCAATTAATTTCTACTGTCAGCAACGAAAGTTTCGTGTGTTCATTTTTACGAGCTTGTGGGAAGGCATCGTTTAATTGTTTTATTAACGTCACTAAAAATGGTTCTTTTGCAACTGTATCTAACATTTTCTTGTCAAGTGTAGAGTTTCCTTCATCTGAAGAAAACTGATCATCGATATCAGGTTCAAAAGAGGATGGACCTTTTCTTCTTTCATAAAGTTCAAAAAATTCAACTAATTTGTTAAGATATTCTGATAACCAATCTGGTTGTAATAAATCAGAATTTTCTCCATATTGGATTGATTTAATGTTATCAGTTAAGAATTTTGTAAAGCACACTTTAATTTTCTTATTGGAGGTCTTTTTCAATGAATCTAGATTTTTAATCAATTCATTCTCTTTAGTTATACCCTTCTTGACAAACATTAGATGGTATAATTCTAACAGTTGGACGATTTCAAAATTAATAGTGTCACTTTCTTCGAATCTAATAATTTGTTCAATTCTAATCCTACATGTATTTGATATGGATTGAACAATATCATTTAATAACTTAATATCTAACCCGTTTAAAAATTCTGCTTGATTTTCTTGAAGAATAGATTTAGGGGTATTTTCAAATTCTTCATATTGGAATTTAAATAACGATTTCACAAAATCTGCTTCATTTGCAATTAGGGAATGTATGGAAGCCAGTAGATCACTAATATACCTAATGGGGTCATGTGCAGAAAGTACAATTGGTTTAATATCATTGTTCTTCTTCTTATTTATATCAAACTGAGATAAAAATTTATCCAGGAAACTCTTTGATCTGACCGATGTAACTTTGTTGATAAATTCTTGAAAAAATTCCAAATCGTTGGAAAGATAAACCAATGCTCTGTGGAAAGTTTTGGTATTGTAAACATTTTCATATTGTCTATCAAATGTACTCCATTCATTGGACTCAAAATTATAAATGAAATCCATAAGATAATTGAAAATTTTCTTGCTGATTATACCATTATATCTGTTTACTTTTTCAATCAAAGCACCACCGGCTTTATCTTGAGGTAGAGCAAGAAGATATGTAGCATGTTCATTTATTTTGATTACCTTATTCAAAACGTCAAAATATTCGTTATTTATCTTACCATTAATAATAATGTCGTCCTCGACTTGATTCAAGGTGAATTTTTCCTTTATTGCTAGTAACAATTTTTTCTTTAATTTAATAAGCTCCATATCATTTCTTAGTGAATCGATTGTATTTAATAATCTTATATTTCTATTTTTTCCCTGAGATTGATCTTCGGTTTCAGAAAGTATAAATCTAGACTCATCCCTGATTTTATCTAATGGTCCAGAAAACCTTTTCATCCTCCGAATTATAGGTCTAAACTCTTCAAGAACTTTGATGTGTTCTTTTAAGACTTCATTTTCAATATCACTTCTCAATGTCTTTCTACTTAGAGTACCAGTATATTCGGAACTAATTAATTTTTCTTTATCTAGCAAAATATTGCTTTTGTTTTCTTCCAAAAATTTCAAATTTCTCTTTAATTCAATAGTACTCTTATAATTACTGGAGTTATAATCATTTAATATCTTGGAAAGTTTTTTGGACAAAACTAAATTTTTAGTGTCAAGACTCTTCAGATCTACTGATGATCTGCTTACCATATTATTTAAATCGCGTACAATTTTGTTACTATCATGATTCTTTGTGGTCGGAATCTTTGTCAAATTATCATGGCCAATATCTTGTGTAACTTTGCCTTCATTGTCGTTAGAATTTAATGCCTTGATAGATATGGCAGCGTATTGACTCATTTTATCATATAGCGTAACATTTGCGAACTTTGAATCGGAAGAAATTATGTCGGGTAGTTTAAAATTTGTATCCATTGAACTTACAGATGGGTTTCCTGTATATGTTGACAGATTGAGACGTTGCATTGGTTCAGGCAACGAGTCACCAGTAGGTGTTTCGGATGCAATTGTGTCTGCAACACTGAAGTCTTGATAATCTATAAACTCCATGGGTATATACGTTAACAATCAGTTTTGTAGATGTGAATAAGTTCGGTTATATCATGAATAAGACTTGTAACAACTGCTTCTTTCGTATCCAAAATCAAACTCTAAAAGTGTCTTTATAGTACTAAACTGTTATTGAATTATTTCAGCAATTTTCTTCAACGCCGCCGCTTTCTTCTCACCGAACTTTTGTTTACGAAGTGAAGAAAAGATCAAGGACTTCAAAAGTATCAACATCTACAATTGCGAGTTTAAAGAATCTATACTTTTCACGATTAGGAATAATGTGCATAAGTAGTCGATATGTCTTCCATTTCAAAGTTTGATATGTATAAATACATGTCAACCTGTGTGTGTGTGTGTGTGTGTGTGTGTGTGTGTGTGTGTATATATTGGGAATATTGGTTAAGGAATGGAGTAGCTAATTCGACACTTGCTCGGTTGTGACTCCATAGTACAAAACTCCTGTAAGGATTCCCTCTGGTAAAGAGAAAATATGGTAGTTATGAGTTTAAAAAATTAAGCCCTCGCCGGTTCTTATTAATGAATTATGTGATTTCTATGGAATTTGTTTAGATGGAAAATTTATGTTACTTGTACTTATATAAACTTTATTTCTATGTCGATTAACTTACACACATAAAGGTGTAGGTAATATTCAGGTAACATCACAAGTTATTTGGAAGTTGTTTGACGTACGTTTTATTTTTTGTAACTTCTGAAAATATTTTGCTTTTTTAAGTTCATAAGCAATACCTACGTTTCTGGACTGTTATGTGCCAAAATCAGTGCATATCACTCATTTTACTCGAATTCAAGGCAACTCGTATGGAATAATTATTTAATATTAGAGCTAAGCAGAATGGAGGTACTATCTTAATTGCGGTTTCGATATTTTAAATTTGTAAGTATATTTCTATCCTTGTCTTATTGGTTTTGCGGTATCTGGGGCATCTTTTCCGGTAGTTTTGACTGTCTAGTGAAAGTAAACTTACTTCTTACATAATAAATATTCTTAATGCCCTAATTGGCACTCTGTTGAGAGGTGATGTTGTAAACTTAATATGAGTAGATAAGTTACATGGTACTTTCATGTGTGATGGTTTAATTTCCTCAAGATGACCTCGTCTCTTTTAATAAGAAAAGTCACGAGCAAAATAAGCAATCGCGGTATTTAAGGTTGCGAAGTTATGGACCCTATATAAAAATATTTTAGTTTTCTCACAGTATTATACAATTGCACTACCCCCATATGAAAGATTAACATATATCAATATTTTTAAATAGATCTGTAGAGAATCTGAGTTAGAGTTTTTACTCTCAGTTGATTCTTTAATTTCTTGTTTGTTAGTTAAATGTAATTCGGACATTTTTTGGTATGATAATTGATCGGTTATTTTAAATTATATAATCTTCAAATTACTTAATCATAAATATTTCTTATTTTACAATAATGGCTTTATATATACCATTAGTTTTTCTTAAACAACTCACCTGCATATATTGCTGGTTTGTTTTTATTTTTTATGTTTTGTGCTGGTTTAAATATTTTTGCTGGTCTCTTTACAATATTGCTAATTATTTCTTTACAATATTTTTGGACTAAGTGTCACAGTAAGTTACCCTTAGTTTCTGACATATACCTTCAATAGTAAATCCAAATGCTATCACTTTGTCCCACTAAGAATGTATAAATGTTAATGAAAAGGTTATAGTCACCTTGAGCAGTCTATTCAGCAAGAAAAACGAAAAACAAAATATTTAAGTTTAAAATTATGAGCTATATTTAATGTAACCATTTTTCTCGGAAAACAAAAATTATTAGCTTTTATGGCCAAGTTGGTAAGGCGCCACACTAGTAATGTGGAGATCCTCGGTTCAACTCCGAGTGAAAGCAATTTTTTTTGCAGCTTTTCTTGTTGTGTGTCACATAAAAATATGCTTCTTTATCGATTCAAAAATGCTCCATGTTAGGCAGTAAGATAGCATCTAATTTAAAATTATGTTATAAATATAAGGCAGTTAATTAAGCTTTTCCATTTTCTAAAATTATTAATGGTTACATTGAAAAAGGGCAATTCTTTCGTATACGTAACATATTTAATTAGATATTGTAGCTATTTGCACATATACAGATGGCCTACGGAGTGGACGAAATTGTTGTCTTAGTTTGGTAGTATTTTCTATTGATTTACTCAACTTCCGACATAACTAGTACCTGTCCCTGGTGTTTTACTCACAATACAAACGTTGAACAATTACATTTGTATAATTTTAAATTAAAAGAATAATTTTCAAATTACACTTTAATTACATTTCATATTATTAGTGTTACATTCCGAGAGATGATTTTATATATATATATATATATTTTTTAGAAGTGCCCTGCATAGTTTGGAAATATATAACACATTTTTGTTGCTACTGAGTTTGGTTATCGGTTGTACTTATTACTTTTATGAATACGCCTTCGTAGGTCTGGGGAACTTACATCTTCTTTCATTCTGATCCTCAAATTGCGTGGTACATACTTTTTTAGAATTTAACTCTAAAAAAAAAGTAAAGAATTCTACGAAGTATGATATAAAATAAATCGTAACAAAATTAGGTAGAATTGTGTCACCTTGGATTTGATGTTTGTTTTCTTTCTAGACTCTGTTCCAAATTTCGTTATGCATCTAGGAGTAATTCATTATTATATGATTGTGTCATTTGTAAATTACGATTTTGTTGTTCGAAGGTTTGCTGAAGGACTACTTGGTGTTCTAAAACTTGATCATGCAAAGCTGTTGCGTGTATACCTACTTGATTTGATGTTCGCTGATCAAGTACATAGTTGCTATTCTTTTTTGGTAATAATAATTGTTGGGATACTGGATTTGATATGTGAGAAAGTTGTGGGCATGGTTGTGTCAAGGTTGGTAACGATAGATGTTGTTCTTGCTGTGGATGAGTATAGGATTCCATGATACTATCCGATTGATTCTGTGCAGAAGAGGTGTGTCCTCTGTTTTGGATTTGAGGAGGGTGAGTAGAAAATAAAAGATTATGATTAAGTTGACGATGTGGTATGTCTATATCGGATGCACTACCTTTATTATTTAAAAACGTTTTTGAATCACTACTTTTATTATTTGATACAGGGATACTGGATGTGTGAGTTTGGCGACTTCTAAGTACCTGGGTGTCACTACCAAATGAATTTCGATTATTATCGCAATAATTCAAACTATTTTCTGGTCTTAGGGAATATGTTACATCTAAATATTGTAATGGAGACAAATTGCTGCTGGAAAAACTAGATATTGATGAGCAATCGGAAGTAAAAGGAGAACTGCAGATCTTGCTTTGTTCAGTTGAGGGCTGGGGCTTCTTACATCGGGGGTGTTCATAGTGCATCGACAGAAGTTGTTTTGAAATAGGTCGAGGATGGGTATGTGACACCAGGTGATCTTCTTGTTCAGAACCGAGTTTTACCTTAGTGTTGACTGTGGTAGGATTTTGTATTTCACCATGTGTGCCAGAAAGATTTTCTATCAGATTGTGAATAGATGGTAGTTTAACTGGATGATGATCATTTTTAGAATCGGCGGTTTGTATGGTCCGTACCATTTCGTTTTTCATATTATCCTTCTGAGGAGTTTCATGCTTGATAAGTACATTTGTGTCATCATTTTTGACTTTAGCTTCAGTAAATTTACTTTCTGGGGAAATAGGACCTTTCAATTTTTTATCCCTACAATTCTTTTTAAATGATTTCGGTATTGATTGATTATTGGGGATATTTTGCCTCTTCCTTGGGATCGTACTATCACTCAAAACTTTCCCCCCTCTCACTAGGGGGGGTGGAGAGCAAGATGACACAACAATAGATTTCATAACCTGTGAATTTGTTTGTGTTTTTTGTGAGTTTGATGGTTTTTTCTTACAGTTTGGTTTATCCTTCGGAGTTTTCGACATTTTTTTTATTGTAAAAGAATTGCATGTAATCAGAAACATTGTCATTCTTTCTTGACAAAGTGTAACAAAATCGTTACCAAAAAGTGGAACCAAAAAATATCTAATTGGATAGCAAAACCCAGAACATATCCTTCGCGCAACTCCAATAGGTATCCAAATTCCTTGAGTCTCTTTGGGGCCCTTAATGATATTCTGAACCAAAATAGGATAACTCATATTTGCGAAAACAATTCTCCAAGGTGGTATATTGTGATTTTTTACTAAATTTATCACAAATTTCTTAAACGAAATATTGTTTAATCTTGGGGAGTGCTGTGGGATGAAAAACTGACGGTAGTTTAAATTTGAAGTATAACTGTCTTGTTCAACTTTAACACTTATTCTTGACTGTCGAGGTTCTTGACTAATATCGTTTGTATTGTCAATTTTTCCTAAAGGACTTGCTAGTAAATTGTTACTTTTATTATTATTATTACTCTTATCCATTTGTACTGAACTCGATGATATTCCAGGTGAGATGCAGCCGTCTTCTCTTAAAATGCATCTTGCCTCTAAATCATCGAATTTTCTTACATTATTGGGCATAATAGCATGATACATTTGTCGGCAATATCTTTGTAGTTTTCCATTCTGTTGCTCATTAGCTTCTATCCTCTTACAACTTATTAGTCCTTTCATGATATCCTCGTAAATATTTAAAATGGTAGTCATATTGACGTATCCGGTGTTGTGATCCCACATAATGTAGTCATTTGGTTCACTTGATGAATGGCTGTGGTTGTTTGAAAATTCATCTGATTGATTGAACGATAGACTACAATCCATCAATTGTCTTTTCAAAGAATCTTTATTAAGTTGTAACTTATTTTTAATCGACACAGGAATTTTCTTTAATGACGCTTTAGAGAGGTCGAGACTACCATCTAGAGGACAAATTTGTTCTTGCTCATTTTTCAAACGTATTTCATTATTATCCCTAAATCTGGTATTTATTCTCAAATTTGGTAGATGATATTCACAGCAGTTTAATTTTACTGTTTTTGTATTCTTATTTATTTTTATTTTATTGTCTAATACTTCGCAGTTTACCTCGTTATGTTGAGGACTTTCATTACTTTTTATGATATTTTTAATCGCGATGTTACTGTTATTGTTGTTGACATCAGTAGTAGAATTTGATAAATCGTTCAAATTTGAAATTGTAAAATTTTCTGAAGTAACAAAAGAGTTGACGACATATTCATTAGTAGAAATATTTAATTGTTTAAGATTAAGTTCTTCTATAGATGTCTCAGGGGTTTTAATTGAATTTTGTGAATAAAACTTTTGATATAAAGCGATAAAAAAAGTTCTTTGATAATCATCTAATGGACTGTCTGTCAATCTAATGTTATCAAATTTTAAAGAATATGCAGGACACTTAGAATCTTTAATTCCCATCTTTTTTTTCTTGAGACAATTTACGTCTTTTATTGCTATTAATTTTAAATTGTGTTTTATGAAGCGTTCTAAAAGATAACTGTCGTTACAATATAAATATTAATTTATATCGATATTGAAACTTCTATTATTTTTAGGAGTAGTTGTATATAATTGTATTAACATAATAAAGTACCCATCGAATAAAAACATGAACCGTTAAACAAGATTCACTGTAAGAAGATAGTGTTAAATTTGATTATTTGTTGTTTGGTTTTGTTTAGTGTCAGGAAATTATGACGCATCTTCACAAAGTAGTACAGTATATAATAAAGCAATATATTAAATAGAATTGGAGTCGACTATGGGTGATAGTTTACAAGATTATACAATGTTGTTGCTTATTACATTTTTCAATAAATTTTCAAATTTTGTGAATACAGTATGATTAGTTGGATTCCGGAAATTTTAGTTTTTGGTATTAGAAGTTAATATTCACAAACTTCCTGATTCAAGATGTTCATAAATAGAGTAATAACTTGTTCTTTCTATAAAATAAATACTTTAAAATATTTCATCTAAGGTATTCATAGCTTCTAAACAGTTCACTTTTCTACATAAAAATTAAAACTAGAATTTACGTCGAAAGGTGAATAATTTTTTGGGGGGGGGCGTTACAACCCTAAAAGTTCCAAATTATTTCACATTTCCCCCCTCTTTAATTCAAATATTTATTTGACGTAGTAACATCTTTTATTACTTCTGTGTAGATTTTCTACATCTCTGTAAAATAATTAGACGTTATAAAGTGTCACAAATATATGTCGAAGTTCTTCTTTTTTTTTGATTTCTTAATTATATCAGCAAAAATTATTCTGATTTAAAGATTAGAATGTTTGTTAATTATAAGTGAACATTGACTTGTACTAACACTAATACAAGCAACGTAATCACAACAACAACAATAATATAACATAAATAAAGAAAAGAAATTTCACATCTTTTCCTTCCTCTTCTCTTTCTTTTTATTATAATTTGAAATGAGTTTAATGAAGTTGAAACCTCATAATTACAATGTAAGGGATAAAAATGAGAGTAGACACAACCCCATTAGTATTCCAAATAGTCGCTTAAGATATTATTTATCATTATCCTTAACCTTTGTTTTACTGATTCTGTTGTTTCTAAAACAACAATTCATTAACTTAAAACAATTAACTGGCTATGATACGTTATATGGAACTTCGAATACAAAAGTTAATGACTATACTATAACCAATTTCCATCAACAAGATATATTAACAGTAAAAACAATACAACCATCCACAATTGAACCATCGCAATTTAATGAATGGTTGACACAAGAATTAAGAATCGCTAGGTACAAAATATTAAAGAATATAAAATTCACAGGTAATGAAATGGATTGGGATACCAATATCCCCTTGGGTGTACTTACAGCTTCTCCATCAAGAAATTCACCAGATTATTTCTATCAATGGACTAGAGATAGTGCAATGACTCTTAACGCATTGGTTTGGGATTATTTTGAAAATTATATGGACAATGAAGAAATTACACAAAATACACAAATTCATAATATTATGCTTCAATACATTAACAATTCAATTGTTTTACAAAGATTAGAAAATAGATCAGGCAATTTTTCTTTGAAAGGTAAATATAAAGGTTTAGCAGAACCAAAGTTTAATATTGATAGTACTGCTTTTAATGAAAATTGGGGCAGGCCACAGAATGATGGGCCACCTCTACGAGTAATAACAGTCTTAAATTATTTACAATTACTAGAAGGGAATAATTTATTAGTTGATAATTTTTTAAATTCAGAAAATCATTATAAATTTACTAATGAATTAGATATATTGTCCGATCTAATATATTACGATTTACAGTTTATTGTCTTAAATTATGAAGATAGTAGCTTTGATCTTTGGGAAGAGATTGTAGATCGTCATTTTTTTACTACATTGGTACAATTTTATGCATTAGATAAAGCTATTGAAAAATGGGAAACTTTTCAATTCATTCATGGTAATTTTCCAAATAGCGATAATGATTTATTAGGTCAATTAAAAAAGACGCATCGTATTCTTCACGAATATTTAATATCTAAGGACAATTTCATAAATCCATATAAAGGATATTTAGTCGAATCGCCCAATTTATTGAATACAAGATCTGGATTGGATATTGCAGTTATTTTGGCATCAATTGTCTCTCATCCTTCTCAAAATACTAGTAACTTCAATCATTTAGTCCCATTCGATGTATATGATTCTGGAGTACTAAATACATTATATTCGTTAGTGAAAAGTATGTCCATCCTATATCCAATAAACCACCCCGTTAGTAACCTAAATGTTGGTGTTGCATTAGGTAGATACCCTGAAGATATATATGATGGAGTTCAAACTAGTGAGGGTAATCCATGGTTTATTGCTACGACAGCTGCCGCTGAACTGGTCTATAAGTTAATTGAATCATATCGTTTGGAGGAAAAGCCAATCGTAATTAACTTGTGGAAAACAAAATTTTGGAGTTTATTTTTCCAAAAGAATTTTAATACTCCTTGGGAAAAAGATGTGATTATCACAATCCCATATAATTCAATGGCCTTTAACGTAACATTAAATAATTTGTTCAAATATGGTGATTCTTTCTTTGAGGTAATCAGAAAACATATGAGTAATGAAGGTGAAATGAGTGAACAATTTAATAAATATACTGGGTTCCTTCAAGGAGCTAGTGATCTAAGTTGGTCATATTCTACATTCCTTGATGCAGTAAGGGCAAGAAATAGGGTACTCAAATCAGAAACCCAAATCAAAGTTTAATAATGAAAATAAAGTCCAAGAGGCAAATTTGGGAAAAAATATTTATCATAACATAATTAGAATTCATTTATAAATATAAATAAAATTATTAAATGTGAAATTTCAATAACTTTAGGTAGTTAGAGGACTTGATGATTGTATCTTCTCTAAGTCGTATGCATCGATTTCATCTGTCATTTATTCTACCAGTAACGGTTCACGTTTCAAATAAAGGCATTTTCTTGCTAAATTATATATTGTTTTTTGATCAACTAATCGGGGTCTATTTCTTGAAAACAGAAGCTTCATTTTATCTTGGCCTCTGACAATTGCAGCTAAGTAAAATATAACTTGGCATTCTCTTACAAATCCCTCATTGATGATAACATCTACTATTCTATCTCTTGGGACAAATATTGTCCGTGGGGAGCAAATCATGTTATTGAGTGTGTCTGGTAACACACTATACCCACTTACATCTGATGTTTGAATTCCATAGTTTTTAAATATTGTCAATGTCTCAATTGTAGGGTTCTTTAGTGTCATACAACTGGTGAGGAACATCAATGATTTAACCGCAATAGTATATGATGCAAATCTTTCAAAGAATGTATGGCTGGATAACATGATCCAACTATTGAATATAATAACTATTATGCAATTGATAAATTGCTTTTTTCGGAGTCCATTAGGTGTAATTTGAATCTTCACATAGTTATCGTTTATTTCACGTTCTATTTCAATCGTGTACTTTTTTCTTCTTTCAGAGGTAGTGTTCGTAAAAGTTGTCTGGGTCATTGTTCTGCTAATATATAGTTAAAATGATCCTCTCTCGATGAATCAGATGTTGAATGTATTTGTATGTTAGAATGTTATTTTTTCGCACTCCTTCATCATACTAGTTCATTAACATTCATAGGTGATATTACTTCTATAAAAAGATGGTGATGATCCAGTTATGAAACATATGTTATGATTTTTCGGTGAACTAAGCGAGACAACGAAGCTTTAGTATTTTTTTTTATTATCAGATTCCTCTCGAATATAACAATTCGCAAACCCTTTTTAAGGACACATAGTGCTAAAAAAGCCGTACTCTTCATCATTAACCTATTGCCATATCACATTTAAGTTGCACTAAGTATATGTATATAGTTGCGATATCATTATAATATTACATACTTGTTTCGGGAAGATATATATTTTCTTTAAAATAGTATCTCATTTGATGTCTATTAGATAGGAAGAGAGGCTAACCGAAACAATAAACGGCATACGACGTAATATTAAATTTCATTCCTTACAAATGATAATGCTAGTTTTTATTATCTTTTTTGGAGTCTATTTCTATTTCTTTTCATTAGCATCCTCTTCTTCTTGTTGCTCCTCTTCTTCGGCTTCGGCTTCTTCACTATCATGCTCACTACCATCATGCTCATCTTCACCCTTTCCTTCTCCTTCTTCCTTAACTGTCTCATCCTTAATCTTTCTTAATTTTTTAACATCATCAATGGTACCAAGGACAACCTCTGATTTTCTGTATGTATTTAAATACCTTTGTCTGAAACCACCAGAAGATTTCTTATCCATGTCACCATCCCTTTGTATATTCATATCTTCAATCTTGGCACTTTCTCTTGCTTTTTCAATTTCTTGAATATTCTTTTCATGATCAATTTGCAGCTGCGCTATCTTCTTGTTGAAGTCATCAACAGTTCCAAGTTCTTTTTGTATATCTACACAATAAACATCAAAATCTGCAGGTAATTTGGCTCGCAAAGCTAGTTCAATCATTATTGGATGTTTCCTCTCTTCATTGACAAACTTGGCTTTCACTTGTTTTCTTGTTCTATATGGAAACATTTGAGAAATCAAGTTGAAATCGGTACCCCACATAGCTAAGGCTTTATAAAGTTTAATAATTTCATCTAAAGTCCAAGGATCTGTGTATGTACCTTTACCATATGAAGCATTGTTGTATAGATTTTCGAATGGATTTTCATCAACTTTCTCTTTTTGTGCATTCTCTAAATTTGCATTTCTGTGTCTATCAACCACAGTCGATTCTTCATCTAAAATCATTTTACCATCGGCACCAATCTTCAATTGCATTTGCTGACCTTTAGGTGCTCCAAATTCTGGTACCTCAGCATTTAATAGTTTTTCCCTTTTCTTCTTCCGTTCCTCTTTTTCGAGTTCTTCTTCTTCTTTATTTAATGACTGCAGAGACTTGAATTCTTCTCTTGCTCTTTTTCTTAAATTACGACGTTCTTTCCTCTTTAAAAGATTTTGTTTCTCTGCATTTCTAGCTTTATCAAAATTTTCTGAAATTTGACCTATAGGCAAAGTCTTCTTACAAAGTTGTTCCATTGTGAAATTGTCTTCATCAACCAAATAACGAGCAGAATCAGTGATTGTTACATCAGCTGGTACTTCATCAATACTTCTAACAAGATATGTTTCGAAATATTCTCCATCATTAGGCACTGTATCCGTTATAGAATCTTTCCTTTCTCTGTTATTTCTTAAAGTATCACCATCTTCCTCTCCATCTGAATTAGTCTCCTGTGGAACAAAAATTTTAGAGATTACACTACTCTTACGTCCTGACTTTGATCTTCTTGTGGCTGGTGGAGCAGTTCTAGATAACCTACGTTTTTTAATCGCATTTAAAGTAGCATCATCTTCATTTTCAGATAATAGTTTATTAATGCTTAATATTTTCTTTTTTTTAGGATTTTTGGAAATTGTAGATAATCTTCTATTAGTATTATTTGGTCCAGTTAGAGAAGGTTTCAACAATGGACTCCCTAGAGTACCGCTTAATGATGGTAACCGACTAAACCTTCTTTGATGCTTATCAGATGGGCCAGAAACGGATAATCGTTTCCCATCAGTATTTATAATTTGTTTAGGATCTATATCTTCATTTTGTGTACCTTTAGCTAATGGGCCCTCATCAACATCTACTTCTTGAGTTGATATTTGAGTAGCAACTAAAGTTGCACTATCATTTACTACACTCTTTGAAATTTCGTCTTTTCCAGCATCATCAACTTCCTCCGAAGCCTGGACGGCAGTTATAGGAGTCGCAACAGCACCCACTGTAGGTAGGCCTGAAGCAGCAGTTCTACGTTGCCTCATTTTAGGAGCAAAACGAGTTCCACCTTTATTGACAACACTACTCATAATTTAAAATGATCTTGTTGATATGTTTTTTTTGGGGGGTCCCTATATGAACGTAATGATATTATATCTCTATACACAAATAGAGATCACTGCAGATATATTTATATATATGCTATTCTGGCAAGTATTTACTCAAAGGTATAATATTTTAGATCATCGATGGTTAAATAGGATGTGTGAATGATAAACAAATGTGAAATTCTCTTTCTTTTATTATTATTATTATTATTATTTTTGTATGTCCGAAGCCTTTCACGCGCGTGCTAAATTTTAGAGAGTTTTTTGGTCACGTGAATTGTCAGATATATAAGCATATATAAACATAAACAACAAGAAATGCATTGTATCTCTGTATTAAAATATTAGTTATAGTATTTTCAAGAAGTGAGGCGATCATTAATATGGTGTGAAACGAGGTACATGTACTGTTTTTTTGTTTTTCTTGGTCTTTGATTTCTTTTTGTGTTTCTTGTGTGTGTCTTCAACGGCTGAATTCGAATCATTATTATCCATAGCGATGTCTCTTTCGGTATCAAAAACATTAAATTTACTTGAATAATCCCAGAAACCTTCCGGTATTGTCAATGATCTGGTATTGGCCTTCCAGCATTTTACATTTCCGTCTTCACCACAAGAATACATCATTTGTGAATCTTGAGATGGAATAAACACATCTCTAATTACATCATCTCCGTGAGCATTGTTAATAGTTATCGATGATTCTATCTGTGGATTTTCCGCGACTAGCGGTATAATAGTCATACTACCTTGACCTTCTTGCGATTTACCTGTAGCAATATAACCAGGGTATATATCTACTACATAATTACAATTCCAACTTTCTCTAATATCTCCAAAATCCAGTGGTTGTGGCTCTTTCAATTCATCTGATTTATCATTTAGTTCACTAATGGCAAATGTTTCCATATGTGATAAAGTATATATTCTCCTAGGTGAAATCCATCCACAGGAATGGATTGACGCATAATTAATAACTTGATGCAATGCATCGTCTTCTTCTTCTTCAGTTAGATCATAAATATTTGTATAACCATCTGTAGAACCACTTAAAAGTATATTTTTATCCGATGGATGGAATTTGATGTCAGTAATATCATCATGATGAGAGTCCACTAGTGCCCTTGAAGGTATGTCAAAATTTCTAATATCATATATGAATAATTCTGCATCCACACCACTTAATTCAGTACCACATGCTAATCTATCATCCCTAGAGTCTAAGGATAAAAATGGTGAATTTTTATCATTATGCAATGTAGCAATACAATTTTTACTTCTAATATCAAAAATTTTCACACTATCAAGTGATGCAGTTGCAAATAATGATTCATTATTGAAATCATTATTAATAATTTTCAATTTATTAATTGGAACATCTCCAGTTTTTATCGTTGTTATAGTCTTATGTGTCTTCCAATCTAATAAATGAACTTCCCCATTACTTAAACTTGTTAATAGGCCATGTTGGTATAACGGTTGTAGATTCATACACCAATTATTGGCTCCGAAATTAGCATTTTCAACCAATTGATAGCCAGCCATTATATATTATATTGAATTTATACGTATTATATCTTGATTCGAAGCTCTAATAGCTTTATGCCTTTTTTTGAGATGAGTTCCTTTATTGTTATATGTATATATAAATGAAATTAACTAATGTTTTTTTTTTAATTTTTCACTCTTTGCGTTTTTCAGCTATCTCGCTAGAACAGGAAATTATATTAAAAGGTGACAGAAATTAAGAAGGTTTCGTCTATAGAAGAAGAGCCTGTGATGTGGAACTTTCAACTTGGATATTCCTAACCATCCTGATTTTAAACTATTTTGTAAAAAAGAATATTATTGTATTAATAATTAAAGAAATGTCGATATATTGTTATATTAATGTATATAAAAAGTTTATGTGTAAACTATAATAATAATAATAATAATAATAATAATAATAATAATAAAATGTAAGAATATAATAGTAGTTGTAGTTGTAGTAGTATAATGGAAGAATATTAACAATAAAAAAGAATATTGGTAATGTACAAAATTAATTTAACAAAAGTCACTGAAGAATTAAAAAAAAAAAAAATAATTAACAAAACGAAAGAAAACTCAACGTGGTTGTTGAAATTGATATTGATAATAATGTTGTTGCTGTTGTGGTGAAGATGGAGGTGGTTGTTGATAGTGTTGTTGGTGTTGGTGTTGAGGATGAGGTTGTGGATATGGTTGAAATTGTACTGGTGGTTGTAATGGCATTTGGTACTGAGCTGCAGATATATATGCTTGAGGAATAATTCTTGGTAATTCTCTGTTATAACTACGAGGAACATGATTAGTTGTAGTAGCAGTTGCAGTGGTAACAGTAGAAAACGTTGATGGATGAGGATGAGGTACATCACTTAATTTTGGAGTTCCAATATATGTCATATGTGTATCTGGAGCAAAATCATATTTACTGCTTGGTTCAATTTGAGATACTTTAACCTTCGGAGGATAAGAATATCTATGTCCACCTGTATTATAAAGATTCGTAGCAGCAGATAAAATATTAACATCAGGAGTTTGTGGTGTAGTTAAATTACTACTTTGATTACTCGTTGAATTACGACTTTGAATTAAATTTCCATTACTGTATCTTTCTGTACTAATTATTGGTGATCTAAATTGATCTATTGAAATTCTATTATTAATAGGATTCATTATAGTTGTTTGATATGGTGGAGGTAAGTAAGTATGTTGTTGTTGTAGTTGTTGTTGTTGCCTTTGATTGATAACTTGAGGAACTAATGGTTGAGGTGGATAATGTGATAATTGTTGACCAAAAGGTGCAAAATGAACATTTGGAACAGAATTTCTACCTTGCATTGGATAATTATTATTATTATTATTCTGAATTTGTAAATTTTGATTTGGTGGTGAAATATGTTGAACACTACTGATTATTCCTTGAATTGAAGGTAATGATTGAGTACCTCTTTGTTTAGAATTAGCAATATAAACTCTTGGAATATTATTTTTATTAATGTTAGAAGAATTTGGTGTTATAGGTGGAGGAGTAGTCACTAGATCTTTAGTTGGTGTTAAAATGATACCATTATTTGAAAATGGATCTCTTAATGTTGGTCTCTTAGTATCAGGTTCCATATTTGATGAAGAAGTAAAAGAAGCTTTTCTTTTACCTTTTGGAGACGAAGTATTAGAATTTTTTGGGGTATTGTTGATCTTTCTAATTGATCTTTTTGAACGCATTGGACCAACAAATCCAGTTCTTTTTCTTTCTTCAAACATTTTTTCAGAATGATATTCAATAGCTTTATACCATTTTTCACATTCTGAAACAAAATCAGGTCCAAATAAAGGAGTTAAAAGATATCTAATTGGATAACAAAATCTAAAACACATTCTTCTTGCAATTCTCATTGGTTGCCAAGTACCTTGAATTTTAATAAACCCACCACGAATTCTTTTTCCCAAATCATTAATATTTTTACCATCAACATTAATATTTTCAATTGGAATATTTTGATCATTAATTAAATGATTTTTAAAATCATTACGAACAATTTCACATAAAGTATCAGAAATTTCATTCCAATGTAAATCAGAATAATTGATTTTATTACTACCATCAATTGAAGTCTTTTGCTTACCATTAATTTGAATACCAATATTTGATAAATTTGCATTACTTGGATTTGTTATTGAACGTCTTTTTCTTTGTTTACCATTTGAATCTTGATATTGTGAAATATTTGAAATTTCATTATCTTTATCATCATCATCAATATTTAAATTAATCGATTCATAAAATGCAAAAGATGAAATATATTCATATTCACGAATACATTTATCTTTAATTAATTTATTTTGTTCATTTGAAATATTTCTTCTATCACAAAGAATTAAACCTCTAATAATATCTTGATAAAGTCTCCAAATACCTGTTAAAAATACATAACCGGTATCATATTCCCATAAAACTGTATTATTTTTACTAATAAGTTTATTATTTGATGCATCATTATGATCTAATTTAGTTACTTTAAATTGTTGATTTTTAGTTAAAGTATTCATTGCGACTGTAACATTATCCTTTGGTGTAATTGATTTAATTTCATCATCTTCTGATGGTGATGAAGACGATGAAACGATATTTGATGATTCGGTGGAATTTAAATCATTAAATACAACATTTGCATCTAACATATTTCTTAAACAAAATTCTTCATTAATTTTTAAATTTTTTTTAATTTCAACTGGAATCTTTTTTAAAGTTTCTTCTGTAATAATAAATTTTTTTTTATTATTATTATTATTATTATTATTATCTGTTGATTCATCTAAATAAATTTTTAAATCAGGAAATTTGTATTCAAAACATTTTAAAGTTTCATTACCTTTATCTTTTTTAATTGATGATTTTCTTTTAAATTGTTTTGAAAGAATGTCTTTATTACTGTCTGAATTTTTTTCAAATTCTTTAATTTTTAAATTTTTAATATTTGTTTCGTCAGTTAAATAATTTGGATTTTCAAGATCTTTTGCAATTGATGATCTATAAGTAGTTGATTTAATGTTTAATTGTTGATTAAATAGATCATTAATTGAAATTTTTTTGGCAACATCATTTGAATAATATTTTTCAAATAATGTTGCAAAAAAAATTCTTTGATAATCATCTTGTGGACTATTTGATAATTTAACAGTCTCAATATCAAAATCAAAAGTTGAATATTTCGGTGGAGGTTGTTGTAATTCCATATTTTAAAAATCAAATATATATATATATATATAGAGCACAGTTTGATATAATTATTTTTTTTCCCTTGTGAGACCGATAGTAGTTAAAAACAATTTCGAGATTCAAAGAAAGAAAGAAAGCAAAAAATAAATTTATAATTAAATCGTTTGTTCTTTATATAAGTAAAAGTTTCTTTACCTTCAAAATAAACTGAGATGAAATCTTTTATAGCCCAGAGGAAGAGAGTGGTGGAAATATGTAACTACCTTCTTTTACCTCAATATATTTATTTATATATCTTATTACCTTTAAATTAATTGAAAGCAAAATATTTTTTTTTACAAATCTCAAATTTAGTTTGTGATTACTAAACTATACGGTGCAAAGAGGGGAAATATACATAGTTACGAATATAAATATGGCAGAAGGACCCATGTTAAAATGTGTATTTACTAATTAAGGGAGATTTCTTGCTTTTTGTGTTTTCCCTTTAAAAGGCGTGCTGTTTCTGCTTTCTGCGTGGTTGTTTCTGTGTCACACGTAGACGTTTCTTTGGGTGTTCTATGTGGTTGCTCCTGTCAATATGTTCAGCAGCAAGAGAGAGAGAGAGAGAGAGGGTTGGGGGGGAGAGATCTTTTATCTTTTGGGAGAGGGCTTTAGGGGAGCCCTGTGTTTTACCTTTTCAGGAATGTAGAGGTGCCTTAAAACGTGCATTGTAGAACTCTATTTACTAATTAAGACTGTGGGTGGGTAGATATATAATAAACAGACTAATCAATTTTTTGTCTTCTTGTACAAAGACGTCCTTTTAGGGGAAGAGTCGGCGGCGATTGTTCTTTGTCTAAACAAAGGAGAACACACATTCTGGAAACGATGTCTGAAAACGGGAAAGCAAAGCGAGAAAGGCTCAGAAAGTAGACATTTATGCTGTGTTTTGTTCTCAGAATGAAGAAGTTGGAGTAAAATAAAATCCACATTATTTTCTCCCCGGCCTTAAGATGCAGAGAAAGTACATACCGGAGTTATAAATATCATTTAGCCATACGATGACCTTGACGTAGAAAGTAAAGGTAATTTGAATGGCAACAGAGGTCTAACCCTCAAAACTCTTTGAAAAAAAAAATTGAAACTGTATGCGACGCTCTTTCTCTCTCTTTTTTTGTTAAATAATTCATACGGCAACGTTATTCAATTTTTTATTTGTGTATTTATCTTATGTGCACGGTATAGATGCTCCCATCCACACACAAAATGTATTTCTCGACGTCACACTTTCTACTACCTACAATCAAGAAAGAAAAATGGGTGCATAAGGTAAATAGCTGAACAGAGTCGCAGAACAATTAATTAAGCTGCGGTAGCATAAACGCAGCACAGGAATGTTCGAGACAGCCCCTATTGGGCAGCCCATATGAAAAATGTGCATTTGTTTTTTATTGCGCATATGGCACGGCTTTGGTCGCACGGCTGTCGTCTCCAATAGTTCCCAATACTTCATGGCAGTGCCGCCGTAGAGATATGATATTTGGATGTTATCGCCACTCGTCCCGCCCCCCCCCCTTTATTTGTAATAATCATTACATCATTCGAGATTAGGAAATTCTTGAAGTCTCGACTCGAATTTTATTACGAAATTGCTGCACCTGCTCCCTTTTGGATCAGAAATCGGAGTTTAGGTGGTGGTGTGGGTGTCAATAGCTTTTTTTTTGTCTTTCTTCGGCGCTTTGCGTGCATTTCCTTGTTTCTCGTGGAGATAAACCACCGTTTCAAATAAACTTTTGTCTTTCTTTGCATAATCATGATGTCAATCTACTAATGTGAAATCTATGGGTTGAGACAAATATACATATATACATAACCCTTAAACACTCAAAACAGCTATTTTAAACGTTCATAGTTGATATATTACACTCACTCCAATATATCACTACTATTAACAGTGGAAGGGGAAGGGGAAGGGATAGTGCGGTCACTTTGAACGATAGTGGCTTTTAATTTTCCAAAAACTTAAAAAAGAAATATGTGAGAAATGGTCCCTAGCGGGATCGAACCGCTGATCTTGGCGTTATTAGCACCACGCCTTAACCAACTGGGCCAAGGGACCTTAAATTTCTGGAAACTCCAAAAAAGAGATAGGGTTATGTTGATGCTAAGATTATCAATTTGTATGGCGGAGTAGCCCTAAGTCCTCTTAAGGATATCTACAGGCACTATTTGAGTAAATTTTGTCTCTTATACCATTTAAAAGATTATAAGGTTTAGGGGGAATATAATGCTTGTGTGTGAGGATGTGTCGTTTACTAAGGATGATGCTATACTTGGCTTGATTGTTATGGTTTTCTTGTTGATTAGACTTGATTGATTCTTGCTAGTCTTGATTGGTGTCTTTCGATTAAAAGACAGAGATTCAACAATGAGAGAAAGCAGAGTTCTCTCATAGAGAAGTGCTCTCAATCTCAACTGACTGTGTGATGTCCAGTGGGACATGTCCCTCGTTGCTTAGAATCGTTATACTGGCGTGTCCTCCGTGTAACTCCGCAACTAATGAGCATGGTCGGTTTGGTTGGGTTGGGTAATTCACCAAGTTGTGGGTACTTGCAAAACTGTTCTTTCTGAGTGTCATTCTCATTTAGCTGTCCTTGTCGCCAAGGATGCTAATGTCGTTTAATAAAGTGTCAGTAATGCCTAATACGGTTTACTGGTCTTACTCATGTGATAATTCTGTTGTAAGATGTTATACTCGGTGAGTAAAGGGCTAACAAGGATTAATCGACACCCGAAGTTGTTATATTTGCCGAGGCTAGAGGGTTAACCTTGTTACCAATTCCCTTAATTATTTATATATTTATTTGCACTGGTACGTTGTTACGTGGCCACTAAACATATTTTTTTATTGTGTTGTTTATATATGGTTGTATAATTAGTATCAATTTTTGTAATTTATATCTATCTACATTTAATTATTGGAATATCGATTTGAGAAACACAATTATTCATTTTATTAAATGTTTGTTAGTCGTGTATAATGACTTAGATATTTTTGGTGGCTCAAGATATTTGGTTTGTACGGGATTTTCTTGGTTGCGGCGCATGGAAATGTTTAACAAAAAACCGAATGAAAAGTCACATTTTGGTTAGAAAAATGTATGTAATAATAGAATAATATACAGATATATTTTAAAAGGTTCAACTCTATACTTAAATAATAGTTTCTATTAACTTTGATAAGGTTTAATCATTTGTTTTATTTATTTTTTTTGATACAGTTTTCATTGGTTTACTTTCAAACTTAACTGAATAGTATCCAGTTGTTTTTCTCTTTTTTTCACTGAAATTGGGTTTTAATAGTTGTTTTGTGGATCCATTTTTTTTTTTTTCTTATTAAAGCTGACATAACAACTATTAATCATATATTAATTATAATAAGATGAATCAACCTCAATTGGATAAATATCAACCAGGTACTACTTTAACTGTGGGATCTCATAGCATACGTATCATTAAATACCTAACAAGTGGTGGGTTTGCTCAAATATATAGTTGTGAATTATCTAAACCCGATGATTATATTCATTCAAGTTTTGCATGTGTTAAAAGAGTCGTTGTACCAGATAAAGGAAGTTTAAATGTTCTTAGAGCAGAAGTAGAAGCAATGAAATTATTAAGAAATAATTCACATGTTGTATCATATATCGATTCTCATGCAGCTAAATCACATTATCATAATGGATCATATGAAGTCTTTTTATTAATGGAGTATTGTGAAAAGGGTGGTTTAATTGATTTTATGAATACAAGATTACAAAATAGATTACAAGAATTTGAAGTACTTAATATAATTTTACAAATTACACAAGGTGTTGCTGCAATGCATTCTTTAAATCCACCATTAATTCATCGTGATCTTAAGATAGAAAATGTTTTAATATCAAGTCAAAATGAATATAAAGTTTGTGATTTTGGTTCTGTCTCAGGAATTATTAGACCACCTTCTTCACAACAAGAAATGGCATATGTTGAACATGATATATTGAAAAATACAACAGCTCAATATAGATCCCCTGAAATGATTGACCTTTATAGAAATTTACCAGTTGACGAAAAATCAGATATTTGGGCATTAGGTGTCCTATTGTATAAATTATGTTATTACACAACACCATTTGAAAAAGGAGGTGAAACAGCAATTCTTTACTCTAGATATGAATTCCCACAATTCCCACAATATAGTGAAAATTTGAAAAATTTTATTAGATGGATGTTATTAGTAAATCCAATTGAAAGGCCTAATATTTATCAAGTAGCAGAACGTGCATCTCAATTGTTAGGAGTACAATGTCCAATTAAAGATTTTTATGCAGTTAGAAATCATTTACCTCATGTTGCTAGTATGCCACAATTAAATATAATGGGTCAAAATGTAAATGCCCAGAATTTAATGCAAGCACAACATATGGCAGTTCACATGGCACAACAACATATTCCAATACAAGTATCTCAAATCTCTCAGCCATATGTAGCTACATCAGATGAATTGCGTAGTAAGTTGACCCAAGCAAGAACACTTGATAATTTATCTTCTGTGGTGGCTCATGATGTTAATACTTCACCAGGTTATATTAATGAAAGTGTACAAACGTTGGATAAGAATCGTAAGTTACGTCTTTCTAAATCTGTTTCAGATAATATACAGGCACCGATTGTATTGTCACCGGTATCCACATCATCAAGTGATGAAAGCAGTTCAGATGAAGATAAAATATTAGAAACGATAAATTTACCTCCAAGAAGGAAAACCAATATAGCACCAATATACAATAAAATGGATCCAATAATATCAACTTCTGAAAAACGTCAAAATGAAATTGACTTAGAGAAGAAGATTAAAAAGGCTATTGAGTCATCTCGAAAGGAATATGAGCAAAATAAAGAGATTATGGAACCATCAAGAATTGAGGAAAATAATTCCTTATTTGGTGATGAAAATGAAATTCATGTAATGACAGAAAATGAGAAAATAGATCAAGTTGATACTAATAATAGCCCGTCTATTGCTAATAATATTAAAGCCTTTAATAGACCTCCGACAGTACCAAAGCATGTCCAACCTAAAAAGAAAATCGCCAACGAATTGAATGAGTCAATGATAGATCAAAATATTCAATTAGAGACTGAAGATAAAACGGCAAAGATAAGTGAGGAGCAAAAATTACAAAATATAAAGACAAAAGAAATGCTGAGACAAAAAATGAGGGATAAATTGAATCAATCAGGTAACAAGTTAGCTTCAAAAGATAAACCGTTAACTAAGAAAGTAGAACCTGATGTAATCAAACAAACTCCAAAGGACAAATCCAAACCAATTATTCCACCTAAACCAGAAAGGTTAAAACCTAAGAAACCTGCAAAGCCAACATTCTTATCAGGTAATGCAATTGTAAATAAAGTTTAGAAATAAGTGTTATAGATTCCACCCTTCTCATACTGATTTTTTCTTTTAGGTTGTAATAATTAGTCGTTAAATATAATGCTGGCTCATATGACGATTTAAATTCATAATGTATAAAATATTATATTTTTAATACATATATCTATAGAAGATACGATTTATATATATACATATTTGTCTTGTTGGAATAGAGATTGATAATGCTTATTAGGTATGCGGAGAGTTCATTTGTAGTTGTAATAATAAAAATGCAGTTGTGATTGGGAGATAAAAATGTGATAATTTGGTAGAATGGTAAAGTTTAGTTTCACTCACTATCACTCCATTCTTCAAAGGAATCGAGTATGAAATCTGTAGCTTCCTCAAATCTTTCTTCTACTATATTATTAATCCCATCTGTTTCACATCTCAATACTCTACCATATTTCTTACGAGGTTTCTTATTTTCATTATCACCCCAACATGAATGATTCTTGTCGGAAAACACTAGAGAATTCTTAAAGTACCAATCTGTTAATGATTCATCAACTAATGGAACCAACGGTTTTAATTGTTTACTACCAATAAATGATATTATCGCTTTGACATTATTTCTAGTGTCTCTGTGACCCATTAGATGTATAATTCCTGAACTTGCATCACCAATACCAACAAAGGCTATCTTTTGAACATTTGTTGAAAATTTAATATAATTATCCCATAGGTATAGTAATACTTCTTGTGCTGTAATCATTGCAGAGTAATTATCTTGTTCAAAGAGGGACTGTGGAATATTGATATCAATAAGACCATAATTTCTTTTGACAGCCCATTTAATAAATTGTAATCCACTATCGACAATGATTGATGAAGAAGGCTCGATTGTACCCGTAATAACATTTCTAGCGGCCCATATATCTGGGGTATCATGAACCACTACTACCAATGTAGAAGCATCATAGACGTTTTGAGAACAAAAGACAGTATCTTCGGATAATTTTTGATTTACTAATGGTAATGTAACAAATTTATAATTATCTAGTAACAAGTTTTGTAATTGTTGTTGACGAATAGCTGTTTGTAGAGGGAAATTCTTAGATAGAATAGTTTCTGTAATTGGTTCTTTAAAATCACAACCTGCATTACCACAATTACGTTTGAAACATTTCCAATATTTAGATTGTAATCTAATAATCTTATCTACCATTTCTAAAGCTTCTGGTTTAGTATCCTTTGTAGGTTCGGGTAATTCGTCAGGTGGCTCGCCGACTAAAACTTTTGTCACGGCAAGGGCACTCTTTGCAATAGAATCCAAATTATAACCACCTTCTAGGATCACAGCTAAGTTACCTCTTGCCAAAGACTTCATCATGTGAGTCATATGACCGTAGCAACTAGGAGTGACATGACATTGACCAATGGTATCACCATCAGCGGCATCAAATCCTGAGGAAATGATCACTAGATCAGGTTGAAATTCACGACCCATAGGCATTACAATTTGCTCAAAAGCCCACATATATTCAGCGTCCCCAACGTTCCCAACTGGCCAAGTAATATTACAATTAAAACCTTCACCTTTACCTTCACCTGTTTGATCATATTGACCATGAACAGTCCCAGGATAATATTTTCCAAGTTCAAATCTGTGTAATGAAACATATAATACACGATCATCGTCATAAAATGCCTTTTGAGTACCATTCCCATGATGAATATCCCAATCCAGAATCATAATTCTACGAACACTTTCAGGATAACTCTTAAGAATATTTTTAGCAGCCACCGCAACATTACTGAATAAACAGAACCCACCAGAAGATTCTGGTTCTGAGTGATGACCCGGAGGTCTCACCACCGCTAAAGCATTTTTAACTCTACCTTCAACGACAGATTTGCATGCCTCTATAGCACCACCACATGAAGATTTCGCACTCGATAAAGAATCGTTGTTATAATAAACAGAATCACCCTTTTCGGTCTCTTTCAAAAGTTCCTCACGAGACATCTTTTCAGTCTTTTCCAAAAAGTCTAGATGTTCCTTTGAGTGAACCTCTAGGATTTCTTCTCTTGTAGCCTCTCTGACAGGAATCTTTAACATAAGGTCACCAATTTCGTCTACACCACTTAACATAGGGTCATTAATTAAACCATTTTCCGCTAAGATCTTATAGATACGATAGATACGACGAGGATCCTCTGGATGTGGGTCGATATACTCAAAGTATGAGGTGAATATCTTGGCATGGTATCTCATTCTAACATCATAACAAAGACCGGTCTTAAGAGGTGTGTAGTGTATACGGGGTTTTGTAACAGGAACAATTACCTGTCTCTTCATCAGACCACCATTAGTATTAGAAGCTATACCTTCATCGGATGCATCTTCTAACTCCCGTTTCACAGCTGTATTCTCGACGGTACTCATTATTCAAATAATTAAACTGTTGTTTTGTGTGTGTGTGTGCAATTGATAAAAACCGGACTGTATTAATTATAGAAAGGTAGTAATAAAACAACAAAAGAGAGCACAGATAACGCGTGTGTAATGTATATCCAAGTGTATTGTAAACCCACTGAGTATCTGTTATTGATAATTTAGTTTCAGTTTACAAATGAAATTGGTTCAATGTTTAACCTAGTCCACCTTCTTTCTGTAATATGTAAACAGAGTTAATGAAAGTTGATTGTCTTTTTTAGTCTAAATTGAATTTTTCGTTTTTGACTTTTCGGCCGAAATTCTCTTTTGGAAAATTTTTCACTTTTTTGTTTGTGATGACAATAACTCTTACTTATAAATGTGAAACTTATGAGATGAGATGAGATGAGCTGGGATGGGATGAGCTAGTAAAATACGAGTTCAGGGGATTGAACAGGTTCTGAGATCGAGGGAAATGGACTTCTACAGAGATGCCACATGGGTGCTGGAGTATATGGAGCAGCAGGATGCTAAAGGTCGGATCTCCGGGTCTTTGCAAACGCTCGTGTTGAAATCGTGCAAAGTGTATAAGATCAAGAGTAACCCAAAGCATATATATGCCGTCTTGGATTCATGCTGGAAGTATAAACCTTACCTGGAGAAGGTTATGAAGAAAAGTGGGATCCTGGATGAAATTCCAAAACGGAAGGGTAAGCCAATGTATACTAGACTGACTTTGTTACTATTATGTCATGATTTATTATTATCTAAAGCCAAGAGAATTCAGATGGGGAAACATCCCATCAAGTCATATGTCTTACAATTTAAGACAAGGTTAAAAGCAGAGATGGTGAAATTGAAGTTGAAATTGAAAGTTCGGAGTTTGTCCGAATTGTTCGAACAAGATGACTTGGAGAATGATGTTACACCTGTAAGATGGATTAGAATTAATCCATTGAGATGTCCCGAACATGACATCGAATCTGTTCTAGCCGAATTGAATAGAAAATTCCCAACTAGAGTGGATCGTTGGCAAGATATTAAAGCAGGAACGATATATTATGATGAATTTGTTCCTCATTTGTTTGGTATCCATCCACATGATAAAATAACATCACATGAATTGTATAAGCGTGGGAAGATTATTATTCAAGATCGTGCTTCCTGCTTCCCTGCTACTATCTTGAATCCGACAGCTAAGGATATTATTATTGATGCATGTGCTGCCCCAGGTAATAAGACTACGCATGTAGCTTCCTATATGTTTGGTGGTGAAGGTATTAAGTCGAATGCACGTGATGTTAAACCTCAAATCTTTGCATTCGAAAAGGATCCAGAGAGAGCAAAGATCTTGCAAAAGATGGTAAAGATAGCTGGCTGTTCTCAAAATATACAGGTCAATGTCGGTGATTTCACAAAACTGGCTACCCCTACTGCATTTAAAGGTGTCACTGGGCTTATTGTAGATCCAAGTTGTTCCGGTAGTGGTATATTTGGTAGGAAATATGTTGATTCTTTAAATCGGAGAAAAGCTCAATCACAGCAGAATAGTAATAATGAAGAAGATGTTATTCCTGATGAACAAGAAGATGAAGTAGAGGAAGAAGAAGAAGAAGAAATTGGTGAAAATGGTATGCCAAAACATGTTTCAAAGAAGGATGCCTTAGAGAGAAGACTTGCAAAATTGTCTTCTTTCCAATTTCAAGTAGTTAAGCATGCAATGAGTTTCCCTCAAGCCACTAAAATCGTTTATAGTACATGTTCCATACATGCTGAAGAGAATGAACGTGTTGTAATCGATTTGTTGATGGATAAGAAGGTTCAAGAACAAGGTTGGACAGTTAGTAAAAGAGACTCAGTTATACCGACATGGCCACGTAGAGGTCTAGTTTCAGAGTTTCAAGAAGTGTTCAGGGATGACCAAGAACATTGTGAACAGATCGCTGGTGGTTGTATCAGAGCCTTACCAAGAGAAGATGGTGGTATTGGATTTTTTGCTGTCAGTTTCGAGCGAACTTTATAAGAAGTTAATAATCAAACCACACATGTATAATACCTTTTCTAGCATACATTTAATATAAAAATAAAGATAGAATATATACTGAGCATCAACCATTTACATTGGTGTTTTTGTTTAAATAAGTTCATTTTTTTGGTTTCATTTGAGTGTTGGTCCTCGAACCCATTTTTTGTATGGCAAAGCAACTGGGGAAAAAATTTGTTCCTTTGGCAATGAATGCATTCGAAATGACAAGCATCAAAAGTAAAAGAGAGAAGATTGTTACAGGAATATTATTAAAAGATCCATTTTTATTTATTGTAGTAATAAGTATATAAACAAATATATCAGTCGTTTACCATTTATTATAATTACGGTAAGTGAAATAGCGAGAGTCGAACTTATGAGTGTAGGAGAACCCAGAGAAGTTGAAGAAGATCAAGAACTACGCAACACTCCTGCAGTTTCAACACAAGATGTTTCAAGTTCTGACTTGAACAGATCGGATTCTGATGAAGATGAAGATGATACTGAGTACAACTCCAATGTTACGGATAACATGGCTTATTATGATAGAGCTGTAGAAGAAATTCGTCAAGGTGATATCTACACATGCATGATTTGTACCGTTGAGATGGATTACAGGTGTCAAATGTACGCTTGTGATCATTGTTATAGAGTATTTGATTACGATTGTATACGTGAATGGGCTTTGAAGTCTACTGAAAGAACTATCGACAAGACATGGAAGTGTCCAAATTGCTCCCATGTTAACAAGAAAGTACCTGCAGCAAATAGAGCAACATGTTGGTGTGGTAAAGTAATTAACCCAGACCCAAATGAATTGAATCCAAATTCATGTGGACAAACCTGTGATGCAAACATTTGCGTGCATGGTTGTTCTAAGATGTGTCATTTAGGACCTCATCCAGAATGTAGTAGATCAGTGCATATTCGTTGTAAATGTGGTAGGCATACTAGAGAGATTACATGTTCTCAGGCAAAACAATTCAGGGGAAAACATAAGTATCAATGTGCTGAAGAATGTGGATTATTATTACCTTGTGGTATTCATCGATGTAAGAAAGTTTGTCATACGGGACTATGTGGACCATGTCCAGAAACATTACAGGCAGATGAGTCTCGAGGTATAAGTATCAAGTGTTATTGTGGTACAGACCAATTAGACAAGATACATTGTAAAGATGTTAAAATTGTCAACCAATGTAAACAATCAAAGTCTAAGGACTCTGAGGTCGCAATAGAGCCCTCCTCATTTGGAGTTTATGCATGTGATGAAATAAGAACAGTAGAATATTCGTGTCATAAACACTCATTTGTTGAGAAATGTATTGTATCTCCAACTAAATCAGGCGTTAAACCCTGTCCTTTTTCACCAAAATTACTAAAAACTTGTCCATGTGGTAAGACGCCATTGGTTAATTTGGCCAAGCCTAGAACTAAATGTACAGATCCAATCCCCCACTGTGATTCACAATGTGATAAAGCGTTAAAATGTGGTAAGCATACATGTCCATTTACTTGCCATGATGGTCCATGCATGGATCCATGTACACAAATTGAAAAAATTAAATGTAGTTGCGAACAGAGTACATTTTTAGTTCCCTGTGGTCTCCATAAAAAACCTCGTTGTAATTTGAAATGTGAATCGTTAATGTCATGTCGTCGTCATAGGTGTACAGATAGATGTTGTTCGGGTAGACCTGCAGCAGAAATAAGAAAAAGAACTCATTTCAGAACTGCGGATCTTGCTGATGAAACGTTGGTGGAACCTGAACATGTTTGTTTACAAGATTGTAATCTATTGTTATCATGTGGTAAGCATAGATGTCAACGTAAATGTCACCCGGGTAAATGTCCACCATGTCTAGAGAGTGATTCTAACGATTTGGTATGTCCCTGTGGTAAGACCATTGTGGAAGCACCAGTACGTTGTGGTACCAAACTACCTCCATGTCCATATCCATGTATTAAAGTTGTTCGTGGTGAATCCAAGTGTGGACATGTACCTGTTCAGCACACTTGTCATCCTTCCGATATTCCATGTCCTCCATGTACAGCTACTGTTTTCAAACCATGTAAATGTGGTAAAGTTGATAAAGTGAGAACCGTTTGTTTCCAAAAAGATGTTTCATGTGGTAAAATTTGTAATAAACCATTATCCACTTGTGAACATTTGTGTCAAAAGAAGTGTCACTCTCCAGGAGAATGTCAAACAAAATGTAAACAAGTATGTCATCGTAAACGTATCGGATGTGATCATTTCTGTGTTAGACCATGTCATGGTTTCAGTGAATGTCCTGATGCCCCATGTACTGCTTTGATCAAGATCCATTGTGCCTGTGGTAGACGTATTAAAGAAGTTGTCTGTGGTGCTACAGCTACACAACCAAGTACAGTGTTGGAAAAAGGTGATTCCCAATTACCTTGTGATGAAGAATGTGAACTTGTTAAGAGACATGAACAATTGAAGTTGGCATTTGGTATCTCCGACAAACCAACAAGTATTAACGGTATTGAATTGGACAAGTTACGTTCTTTAGCCAATGTGGCACAGAGTTTCGAAGAGCTACAATTACCTTATGGAGAGAGTACAGTGTCTACATATGCACGTCAACCTGAATGGTGCGAACAAATTGTTAGTGTATTAAATAAATTACTAGATGATAAGACTCGTGGAAGTGTACATTTTAAACCTATGCGAGCTCCAGCAAGACATTTTGTCGTTGAGTTGGCCAAGTCTTATGGTCTCTATGCGGAATCTCAGGATCCTGAGCCTAAGAGATCTGTATTTGTAAAGAAGGAGTTAGGTTCTATCAAACCAACATTGTCATTAGCTGATGTTGTGCCATTATATCAATCCTTTAAGCAAGCTGAAAAGGAACGTAAGGCTAAAGAATATGAGTCTAAGAGAACGACAACATTACTTAATGTTTCGGCAGATATATCATCGCTCAACTTATCTTCGTCGTCGTCGTCATTTGAAGCAGAATATACAGGGTTTAAACTTCAAGATATTGCAGACGGTGTTACAGAAGAGGAACTATCTGCTATGTTGGGGCCATATTTTGAAGGAACGCTAATTAATGATCCTCAATTCCGTATATATGAGGAAAAGGATAATGCTCAAACAAGATATGCACTTGTATATCCTGCTGCCTACGCCAGTGTCTCTGAAAATTGTGCCAGAGATATGGAACAATTATTACCTCATGTAGAATACTTATGTCGTGATAATTTGGTGGCTGGATCTGTGACGCTATGTAATATTTCCCAAATGTATCAATCTGACACCCCTGTCACCACCACTCCACAGGCAATAGAAGAAACAGTTGACAGCTCTAGAGAAGAATCTGTATCTTCAGATATCATGTGAAGCCAAGAAAAAGGGAAAGAGAAATGAAGGAAATATATATTTTTTTAAGTCCCAGATACCTTTGAATTGAGCCTTTTTTCATGGAAGTTTTTTTTTTTGGTTTTTCTTTATAAATTTCTAAATTTGTTTTGTTTTTTTTAAATAATTTACATAATCAACATATTTAATTACTGCATTGGGACACATTAGTAACCAAAGGAAACTTAAACCAGTCTCGTTTAAATCACTCAATTTCGAATGCATTCCTACTTTGTGAATAGATGTAAAGTTGAGAATAGAGACATGGCGTTTTTGCCTTATATAAAGGGATATGTGTAAGGTTAATAGTTATAGATGAGTTGATGTAATATGTAGAACAATACTATCTTGTTGTTAACGAAAACTTTGGATACTAAAGTGCACAAAATTATGGATAGTATATTTGGATCATTTGGTAATCTTGTTGCAGAGCGTCCCATTGAGCATTTAGGTTGTCAGGATCTTTCCTTTGGTGGACTATTACAACCACCGTTAAAAGTTGTCGAAGATGGTGGTGCTTCAGGTTGTGGTGGTAAAATCTGGGTGGCAGGTGAATTACTTTGTGAGTATATCTTAGAGAAGAGCCCCAATAATGAGCTATTAGGATCGATCATCTCACCAGATTGTCACATCTCCAGAGTATTAGAGTTGGGTAGTGGTACTGGAGTAGTAGGTCTCTGTGTTTCACTATTAGCACAACAACATAATCTTTCAACAGACACACATGTTAGCATCACGGATATCGGTGGACTGGTACCATTGATGCAAAGAAATATCGATGCCAACAAAGTTAGTGGTAACACTAATGCTACAGAATTAATGTGGGGGGAACCACTTGCAAAAGAATATCGAGATGTAGATCTTGTTCTTGCTGCCGACTGTGTATATTTAGAAGCGGCTTTCCCATTACTGGAAAGAACTTTGTTAGAGCTAACAAACCAAGAAGATAACCAACCTATGATACTAATGACTTACCGCCGTCGACGTAAAGCTGATTGGAAATTTTTCAAACGGATCAAGCATAATTTCGATGTCATAGAGGTAACTGATTTCTCAAGACGTTCCCAGTATTTAAAGAACCGTACACATCTCTTAAAGCTGGTACGAAGAACCCACACAACTAAATAGAAGCATGTTTATATAGACGATGATATATTAAGCAAGGCTTGATGTCACATTTTATCTTCAGAGATGGTTCATTTTTATATTTTAAATTCATTTTTTGGTGACATTTTTTTTTCTTTCTGGGCAGCGAAAACGAAAAATTTTGAAGATTTAAATTTTATATTTAAAGAGAGAGAGAGAGAGAAAGAATGATGAAACAGAAAAACTACAGGATAAGTAACAAGGTTTATTGGGGGAGTTAGCTATAGACTGGTATAGATCGGGATTATAAACCACGAGGATGTCTGCATTATTCAATTTTTCGTCTTTAATACAAGTGATATTACTGTTGATATGTTCAAGTACATATGTTCATTCACAATGGCCTTCAATATTGGATCGTTATAAGGATCATGAAGCTTTAGGGGCATTCTGGAAGATGGCACGTATTGGAGAACGTGCGTCACCTTACGTGTCATTAGCATGCATACTAGTAGCATTCAACCAATTTCAAAGTTAGTTCAATCAAAACAACGACAAAGGGTGAACGTAATAATATTAAACAAGATCATTTAGTCTTCATTAAATACTTAATAAGTAAAGTACAGTACAATGTATAAATAAATATTAATGCAAGAATATAAAATAATAATACTAAGATAAACATAATCACATTTTAAATAAAAGGGGTCAGAATATAATAGCAAGTCTCTTCCCATGCAGCTATTCCCGTATAGTTTGAAGATGGGAATAGCCAGCTCAGAGCTTGACTCTATGTTGCATGTGTATTTCATCATACCCAAATAAATAAAAAGCAAAAGGCAGGAAACAATTATGTGAATATGTACCCTTTTATGTGAGTGTCAATATGTCGGTAGTGACCACACTATCAACCTTTGACACCCATCTTTCTACAAACAGTGGAAAGAAAAAAGGAGATAATTACATAAGTTTGTAGGAGAGGAACCTTCCGTGCATTTGACTGCACTAAGATATGCTAATAGCAATACTCTCATTCTCCAATTGAGATTCAAAGAAGGTGGTTTTTTTTCTTAATAATAAAATATTAAAAAAAAAATGGGGGTGAGTCCATGAGCTAAGAGTAAGCTCCATTGGGTTACCTATTTTCCCCATCTACAATGAGAAGAGAACAGTAGGCAATCGTCATAACTATCGTTTAGGACCTAACAAGGTCCCAGTACCGAAATATACACTGTCAAGTATGAATACTTGCCAGGACAATATTAGATGAATTATTCCCACTTCATAAATCCCTACAAGAGGCAGAGACAAAATGAGGTGGTAAACAGATACATCCAAGTGAGTTGATTTAAACATTGTAAAAATTTTTAAATCTCACTGCGTTTTCCGCATACGATCAGGTGGGAGACTTTCATGCCCAGAGCATACTTTTGAAAGAACTAAAATTGCTTTCCTTGTTGCAAGCTCCGACTATTGACGATTCTTCAGCCATGGACTGGGGACATTGGGAACAAAAGAAGAACACAACAAGCAAAACAACATATAAACCAAAGATATATCAGATGGTCAAAGGTTTCTTGTTCTGATGTCTTTCAATTTAAATGAAACAAAAAAAAAATTTTCCTCTCTGAAAGAAAGTTCAAATTGATTTTTTGGGAAATTTTTCACAGAAAAACGAAAAAAAATGAAAATGAATACAATTTCAATTAGGGCTTTAGGAGCTGGTTGGGATAAAGGATAAGAACAGGATGAGCAAGCATGGAAGGGGCAGTGTTGTGGACTATTTTGTTGGTGTTTCAGTGTTTGTATGTGTGTAGGGACTTGGAAGACTGGGTTTAGAGTCATACAAGAAGATTCGTTACATATATGAGTGGAAGTTATTGGACATCTACACAGCGACAGCAGTGGCAGTTCTCGAAGGCTGCACTGGCTAAAGAGAAACAGAAGTTATGGGTCCTGGAGTGTCAGCTGTATCCAGAGGGTTTAAATATCGTAATGGATTCTTCTAATGGTAATGTTAACAACAATAGCAACGGCAACAATCACCCGTCGGTAAAGAATATTCCAATCTTGCATCGAGATTTGCATTACGATAAGGATTACAATCTACGTATATATTGTTATTTCCTAATAATGAAACTAGGAAGAAGACTCAATATACGACAAGTCGCATTGGCAACCGCACATGTATATTTAGCTCGATTCTTATTGAGAGCATCCATTAGAGAAGTCAATCTGTATTTATTAGTGACTACATGTGTCTATTTAGCATGTAAAGTAGAAGAATGTCCACAATATATTAGATCTTTGGTCTCTGAAGCTAGATCATTATGGCCTGAATTTATACCTCCTGATCCAACAAAAGTTACAGAATTTGAATTCTATCTGATTGAAGAATTGGAAAGTTATTTAGTGGTACATCATCCTTATAAATCAATGGAACAAATGGTCACTGTATTGAAACAACAGCCTTATTCATTAGAATTATCACCTGAAGAGATTCAAAATTGTTGGTCTTTAATTAATGATAGTTATATTAATGATGTGCATTTAGTTTATCCACCACATATTACTGCAATGGCTTGTATGTTTATCACATTATCAATACAAGACAACACAAATACAATTAGTACATTTAATGATTTTATGGCTAGATCTCAAGTAGATTTACAAGAAGTTATGGGTGCTGTACAGGATCAAATCACTTTATATGATCATTGGGATAAATATCATGAACCATGGATTAAATTCCTATTGCATACTTTATATTTGCGCAATAATCAACAGCCGTCCCAATCTTCATCATCACAACAACAATTGCAACAACTGCAGCAGCAACAGCAGCAAGCATCATCGTAAATAGGCTTGTCTTTCTATAATCATTCCTTTTGCAAACTTATATATGTTTATGTATTTTAATGACTAATCCTTTTTTTTTTGGTTTGGGAATTTTTCAATCTTGACGATCTCATCTTACATATAAACGACCCACTAATTCGTTGAAAGATATACACTTCAGAGAAGTAGAATTAAAACAAAACAAGACATTGCAACCAGCTAGAAAAGAGTAAAATATGATACCTCCAGCTCACATTCACACATCTATCACAGATATTTCTCATGCTATTGACCGTTCTTTAAAGGATGAGTTCTTCCCAGTTGCCAAAACACCTTCAGAAGAAGAAAATTACTTCGTAACTAATCCAAGACCACCTTATCTAGATGAACTGATTAATGAAGCACAGGAATTCATTCAGTATCAACATTCACAAGGTAGAGACAAGATTGTGCTTGTCACTTCTGGTGGTACTACTGTTCCCCTGGAGAATAATACTGTTAGATTTATTGATAATTTCTCAGCAGGTACAAGAGGTGCAGCATCAGCTGAACAATTTCTGGCACATGGTTATAGTGTAATCTTCCTTCATAGAGAATTTTCTTTAACACCCTTTAATAGAAAATTTACAAATAATAGTAATCATTTATTCCTAGATTACCTTGAAGATGATGGGACTTTAAAGTCAAAATATATGACTGAATTTAAACAAAATAAAGAATTATATGATAAATATCTTGAAAAAGAGAGAAGATTGGTGATGTTACCATTCACTACAGTGAATCAATACTTATGGTCTCTTAAATCTATTGGTAAATTAATGAATTTTAAAGGTTGCCTTTTCTATTTAGCTGCTGCGGTAAGTGATTTTTTTGTTCCACATTCAAAATTACCAAAACATAAGATTCAAAGTAGAGATTATGGAACTAACTCTACTGAGGACCTTAAGGACACTGAGACAAATACTACTACCACAGCAGATGGAAAATTAATTGTCAATCTAGATCCTGTGCCAAAATTCTTAAGTCGTCTGGTTAGTTCTTGGGCCAGCAGATCTATGATTGTCTCTTTCAAATTAGAGACAGATAAATCTATATTGATTCATAAAGCTCAGTACGCCTTAGAACGTTACAATCATCAATTAGTCATTGGTAACCTATTACAAACAAGAAGTAAAGAAGTTGTATTTGTTACACCTGATCAGAAGGATGGTTATATGATAAATCTAGACACTCATCCAGAAGTGACTACAATTGAGGAATTAATAATTCCAGAAGTCATAAATATTCATGATTCGTGGATACAACATTAATATGAATAGAAACCCCGCGGTTGTTCTCGTGGTGTTTTTTTTTTATATTATTATTTAATGCTTATTCACATATATACAGATATATTCTATTTACTTTAATGTCATACCTCTCTTTCATGGTATTTTTTTTAGTCTTATAAGAATTCAAACCCAAGACCAAATTGGAACCCTTTTCTTGTTAAATCATCTTCGTGTGTAGTTAATGGTACAGCAAAATTCAATTCGAACCGAGCCATTGGGTGTCTTAGTACTAAACCAATACCAATAGATGTAGAATGTTCTTGACCTAGTTGCCTTATTGTATCTTGAAATTGAGTGTTGTTATGATTAATTAATTTTCCACCATTAATAAACCCATGTAATCTGAACCCTGAATTTGCCAGAATACTTATTGGTAGACGTGAAAATACACTTGCACCATAAGCTACAAAAGCATCACCGCCTAAAGAGTGACCTAGTTTCCTTGGACCCAAGCCCATCGGCGAAAAACTCCTAACATCATTAGGTCCACCATTTTGAAATTTATCAATGAAATGAATATATGACTCTTCTGGGTTTAAATTCCTAATATAGCCAAATTTTACAGTATTACTGAAAGTGATAAAATCATTCTTAAACCAACTTTTAACCCAGTTGAATTCCATACCTGTTTTCCAGAATTGAAAATTCTGGAACTTCATTGATAGTTCATTAGTAAATTTCAACAAATAACCTTTACTTGGGGCAATAGTACTGTTTCTTTCATCTAATACAGATGTTAATTTTAAATTATTTTTAAAGAAATCACCTTCTTGAATTAATAGTTGTTCTGAGACCCAATTGTTCTTATTCTTTCTGGATTCAACATAATCTGGATAATGGAACTGCCTTTTCAATGCTTCGAAAGTTAAACTATGGTTCCAACCTCCAATATAACATGTATTTCCGGTAAATGAAATACCTTGATCTTTGACTCCTAAAAATTTAGTCATATCAAAGACGTCAATTTTCCCAGTTAAAAAAGCATTATTTCGTAGAATGTATGGAAACATCATTGAAACATTAGAACCAGCATTTGTTCCGGTATCTCTTCTATGGTCTAAGGTTATGGTTTCGTCTAATCCTAACAAGTTACGTTTTTGAAATGTCAAATATGCGTCACCTTGACCAGAATTGGTAATATTTGTTCCTGTCTTTGCAGTAAAATGAGACTTAGGTTGATACCTAAATGTTACTGTAATTGGTAAGGGAACTTTTAGTTCATGAGGATTTTCTTTAGATTTTTCTGTTTCAAAAATCGGTATTATTGCACTTATTAAATTAGATTGATGTAAACGTGTAATCAAGTAATTACTCTGTTTTTGTAAATCAGATAGTTTTTCACATTTATATAGTGTACCATTACAAAATGTTTCGAAGGTTTTATCATTAATGCAATTTTTTGTTGTAGTTGGGACAGTTTCGACGTTGACGATTTTAATTGGGATATCTTGATTTTCTAAAAGTAATTGTGTAATATATTGTTGAGATATTTCAACTTTGCCTCCAGTTCCAGTTCCATTAGCTGGAAGAAAGTCAATATCTTTGTTCATTTGTCTGGAAGTGAATAAAACGTTGTCTTTTGATCGTTTCAATTATGATACTTTAATCTTAATTGATATATCTATTCTCTCTTTCTCTATTTGTTTTCCCTACACTTCTTCTATATAAACTATATAAAATAATTCAATTCTTAAAACTGAAGTTGGTCAAAAACCGAATAATCATAAAAAAATAAATGATGTCAATTATGGATCTTATTTAAAAGCCAAAAAAATGCGAAGAAGAAGGGACAGCAAAGAAAATTTTACCAAAAGATGGTTACAATTTGTCTTATTAAGACTATATAATATATTTATATTTATATATATATGACGAACTTACTCCAGCATCTTCTCGCTAGCAGCCTCTTGGTATAATGGTGCTATACATCGTTTACCACAATCTGTCTTGAAATGTCTCCCCAGGGCATCGCTTCTAGCGAATTTCTTACCGCAACCCCAAGGTGTACCATCCTTCAACTTACCACCACATACATACCGTTTCTTACCTGAATGTAAATCCTCATGCCTCTTTCTATCGTGTTGTCTAGCAAACGCTTTACCACAAACTGTACAAATGAATGGTCTTTCGTTGGTATGTGTACGTAAATGAGATTTCAAATTATAAGGTCTCGTAAACTTCTTATCACATAGTTCACATGCATAAGTAGCAGCGTTCTTTTGAGACCCTGATCTTGATATTTTGTTCGGTATTCCAGTCTCTGGATCGATATCATCGGTAGCGGAATTTACATTAGGGGAAAATGTTGCCCCAAAATCTAAACTATTATCAGATTTGTCAGGGAATGATTGTGAAAAGGACTCATCATCTTCAACTTTCATATCTGCCATCTCCAATAATTTTTCTCTATTCTGACTAATGGATCTTGCCTTTTCATCAAAACTTACAGGTTTCGTACTCCTTGATGAAATTGAAGAAGATCTATATATGGAACTTTCATCAGGACCACTACGACCTCTCTGTTTACTGGCACTTCTACTCCTACTGTGACTTCTACTTGTATCTCGATTCTTCAAAGGAACTGTAGTACTACTTCTTCTGCCACGACTTTTACGTCTCTCTTTACGACCTTGGACCATCTCGTTATGTCTTTCCATATTTACATCTGCATTGTTATTGGATGGATGTAATAAGAAATTCGAGTTTGGAGCACCATTAGCTAGATCTGTAGGAGATGGGGATGATTTTATTCCAAATGGGAATTCTTCAACCTTGGCATTCATATTACCATTATTGAATTGATCATTAAAATTAAAATTATTGTTATCTAATTCTATCTTAATTTGTGGAGACATATTACTAACTTCGACATCTAAAGATTGTTCAAATTCACTAACCGATATAATTGGTGCCACTGATGTATTTATCATACTATTCATATTAATTTCATCATTTAAATTAGTATTCAAAATCCCTTGGTCATTAGTATTATCAAACGGTATCTCTTCTTGTTTTAAATCCTTTAACAAGATATCTATATCATCGATGTTACTAATATGTTTATAACCATGAGAATTGACAGGTAATAAGATATTCGAGTTAAAACTACTGTTTGAATAAGCACTGTTATTGGAATAAACACTTAACAAATCGTCATTGTTGTTGTTGTTGTTGTTACTACCTAATTGTCCAGAATCATTAGTGAATGATGGCGATGATATTGGACCAGGGGATACAGGCATTAGATTGTTTGCATTCAAATACGTATCCTGGGGTGCTAAATAAGGTGAATTTTGTGATGAAATTGCTGAGCTTGTATCGTTAAGATCACTATCGTTATTTGTAGTGGAACCTAAAAATGTTCTCTTTCCAGGATTTGGTGTTAAGAATTGTTGAGTATTACTACTACTACTATTTTCTCTTATATTTATATCATTCATATATCCCGGTGATTGGGTCATCGGTGTCGTGGCTGAACCACTTAAAGCGGTACCTTCTTGATTTAAAAGATCATCGATATCATTGATAAGCAAAGTCGGCGTTTGAACTAACTGTGGAGATGCATCGGAAGTCATATTTGAATCCGTCGGAAGATATCTATCCATACCAATGGCAGAAGTTGAATCCGAAGCAGGTGTAATATTACTATTCATTGTAGGGCTCCTTATATCATTATTCGGATCCCCTGAGTTTAATAATTGATTCAATATAGATTCTTCCATATCATCTGTAAGAATATGACGATTAGTTGTTATATCTCCGAAAAGTTGTGCTTGCATTTGTGTGTGTGCTGGTGGCTGTGTAGTGGATGCATTATTATTACCAGATTTCTGTTTAGATCTGTTTGTCATTTGTTCTATCATCAGATTTATATCTTGAACTGCATCCTGCCTTAGTTGTTCGCTATTATTTCTCCTGCTACTACTATTAGCAGTGGTTGGAGATTCATTGTAAAATTCCATCGCTATCTCGTTATATTAGAGGCGAAGAAAGATAGATTAGTAATGATATTAAAAAAAAAAGGTGAACTGATTATGAGATATAATTCTAATTATAACACACTGCCGATTATATATATGTTTGTGTGTATCTTCTGTTTCACTGATAACGACCTTCTAAATGAATATAAATGTGTACTTTCTTCTTAGTAACTTCCCTAAAAATAGTTGGTAAAATCTGGTAAATATATACCTATAACGGTAATCAAATGTGCTAAAATGGTTTGCTAATTCCGTGGGATAGTTCAAAAATAGAGAGTTTCTTCAATCTCTCTCTATATATTATCCTATATGTCTACTGTAGTCTGTTAGTCCTTACTATTGTTGTTGTAGATGGGGTATTATTGATGGTGATGATGAGAGTGGAATGGCAATGCTTTCTTTCTTCTCATTTTTTTTTTATTTTCCCAGAATTTTGAAAATTTTCCAAATGTGGATGGGATATTTCACTAAGAAAACACCGTACAAGTACGAAGAAGCAGAGAGAATAGCAAGCAATCAGCTCCATAAGAGGTGTATAAAACCTCTCTCTCAGATGGGGAGATCCAAGACACTATAGTCGGCAGTTCAGGTAGATAGGGAAGCGTAAGGGAAGTTGATGTGACTAAAGCTGAGTGTGCTTGCTTACCCTTGAGCTTTGCCCTCTGGAGAGAAAGAGATGAAGAGTCGGTGTGTACCACCCCATAAGCGAGGCGAAGCTCTAATGCAACCATAGCTGCTGCGCAATTACGAGGCACAGCTTCAAGAAGGCTGTTAAAAGTGTGTCTCTGTATCTTGATAAGGTTGGTCTGATCATTTCAAGTTTCTTCTGCAAGGGCACTCTGAATTGATTGTCTGTTCTCTGGCAATAGTCTCCTTTTAGTTTGTATTATTTATGTAAACTTCGATCTATATAGGGTTTATATTAAGTAATGAGCTTAGGTCAGCGTGGGTGCCAGGGTAACATCGACATCGAGACAGATATGCCAAACGTCAGGGGCAAACGTCTTGATCTTTTCGAGGTGAGTGCTATTGAACTGATATCGAGATGCTCCTAGCGTATGCAACTTTAATAGTGTTTGTTTGATGAAACTACCATCGTTGATGTCTTGTATAGAGACATTCTCATGAATATGTAACGTTGACAAAGGACATGCTCCCCAATTATTATGATTATCAAGCAGTAATATCGCTACGGGCCATCCTTGCTGACTAGAAGGTAATAAACCAAGGTTAATATGCCTTATCTTAAGTAATTCACCTGCCATATTTTGGTCACGAAATTCTTGAAGTCTTTGATTACTCATTTCATTGTTTTCATTATATATGTGACAATATTCTCCTTCGTTACGATGCAGTTTTGTGGTAATGCATTTTCCATTGTTGAGAGTTGGTTTAAACTTATTATTAGCATTAAACCCTTGCCAGAGGCCCTTGACACTCCATGGATTTAATTCAAACCCAAACAAATTACGACAACCTAATTTTAAGTAACTGAATGTGAAATAACCAATACCACAGTATAAGTCAACAACATCGTTGTTTTCTACTTCTTTGAAAGTATCTAGGATACGTTTTTTCTCCTTGATGTTTCCCCTTGAAAACATCGTATACATCGGGTTCCATACTTGTATAATTTCATTTTGAATTACTTGACACCATATGTCGTCAAATTCATTTAATGGTCGATTATCATTACGGTATAATAGTTGCAAGTTATGAGGTTGTCTCAATGTATCTTCCTCAAGGATAGGTTTGTTAATTGCAATAATCTCTAAACCTTTAAAAGGTGCAAAATCATTTAGTAGATGTTTATAATATTTCGTACGATCTATATTATAATTAGTGAAAAATTGTTGTACTTTTTCATGCAATAACGATTTCTTCTCTGAATTATTAAATAATAACATTGGTGGATATATGCTATATTTTGTTGGAAGATAAAATAACAATTCTTCTTCAAGAATTTTTAAATCCTTAATGTACGAGGAAAAATATTCACGATGGAAACTCAGTATATCTCTACCATGCACAGATTGCCCTTTTTTACTAAGATCGAGTTGGTACTCTCTGAACTCTACATCTGGGAACTTGGTTAGGAGTTGCTTTGGTTCATCAATTGAAGTACGAATGATCCGATTTGTACCTTCTTTAATTATAGGTTTCACAAATAACGAGTCTGCCTCCAAAGCAGTCTTGATAGCTTTAATAGTCGCAGGATCCTTAGCTACAATTTCCAAAGGCATGATTACAGATGTCTGAAGATTCGTTAGTGAGGACAGCAATAAACCCACCCTGGAATATCGATGATTGATGACAATGAATGTTTCGCAACTATTTTTTTTTTTGTTTCTTTGAAATTGAAATAATTTTTGATTTTTCAGTTTGAAATATTTTTTGTTTTTGCCAAGATTGGAAAGAAAAATGCTGTGTTCTGCGGTATTTTCTGAGTAATAATTTCAAAAATTCAATTTAGATTCAATTTATGGATGAAGTAAGCTAATCGATCTTGACATGATATGAATTTCTTATTTTAGATAGTTTTTAATTAAGTCACCATGGAAGTATTAACCTACAAGCTATTAGTAGTCTTTTGTAAATAATATAGAACATACTAAAAGTATGGGTGTGTAGAGTTAGATAAATGAGGATCTTGAGAAAATTGAGACTGGGGGCATTATTAAGAGGGTTTTCATTATTCTTAGAAGATGTAAATCCACTTTATCCTATTATATTTTTAGCCTGCTTAATTACTATTTTTTTCTTAAAAAGTTCTATTGAGGAAGAAATGGGTAAATTAAAATCCAGACAAGATTGGAGTACAGCTACAGATTCTATTTTCCATGTTGGATGTATTGATACTCAAGAATATTTGATAGATCCAGTGTATCAAAAACAAAATGCTACTTTTATAATGCTAGCAAGAAATAACGAACTTACCGATGTATTATCAACACTGGAAAATATTGAATCTCATTTTAATCAATGGTTTCATTATCCTTATGTTTTTCTTAATGATGAACCATTCACTGAAGAATTTAAAAGAGAAGTTCAAAATTTAGTTTCATCAGAATCATCATTTGGTATATTGAACGAAGAACAATGGACTTTAACTGATTCAGTTGAATTGAATGAAAACATACAATTGCAAGGTGATAGAGATATATTATATGGTGATAATCCATCATATCATAAGATGTGCCGATTTTATTCAGGTTGGTTCTATAGACATGAATTGGTTCAACAATACGAATGGTATTGGCGTCTTGAACCTGCTGTTGAGTTTTATTGTGATTTAACTTATGATCCCTTTTATGAAATGTCAAAGTCAGGTAAAAAATATGGATTTACTGTTATTATACCTGAATTAGCTGATACTATACCAACATTATTTCGTTCTACATTATCGTATATTAAAGAAAATCAAATAAATGTTGGTTCACTTTGGAAATTATTTACATTAGATTACCATTTGGTAAGTAATTTGACTACAATATTAGATAAATTAATAAATTATCCTCATGAAATTATAAATCAAATAGAAGATGACATTGCTATTGAATATTTATTAGATACTGGATTAAATGATAATGAAACTACCATGCTTGGTTTACAAAAATTATTAAGTAGATCCAACACCAAGGTACCATTAGAAATAAATAAATTTTCTGATTTGCGATATAATCTTTGTCATTTTTGGTCTAATTTTGAAATTGCCAAGATTGATGTATTTGATAATGAAATATACCAAAATTATTTTAACTATTTAGATGCATCAGGTGGATTTTGGCAAGAACGTTGGGGTGATGCACCTGTCCATTCGTTGGGATTATCATTGACTTTAAATATTAGTGATATTCATTATTTTAGAGATATTGGCTATAAACATTCAACTTTACAACATTGTCCAAACAATGTTTATAATGGTGAATTGTCATACTTTGCAACAGATGAACGTTGGCAAAGACAAGGTAAGCAAAATCATTATGATAAAGGGATTAAAACAGGTAGTGGCTGTAGATGTAAATGTCCTGATAGTGCAGAATTAGAAGATAATCAATCTTATTGTCAAGATATATGGATAGATTTAATAAAAGATAATAATCCAAATAAGCTTCGCGAGCCAATATTTGAATATAATGAACTTAAATCAGCATTGAAGAAAGACTTTAATAAGAAAAACTAAATAATGAAAAAATAATGTTGTTGTTTAATTTTTATTCGTATTTTTTTGTGTTTATTCGTTATTAAATAGAGTATATGTACATACGTATATGTTTATTTGAATGAGTGGGGGGATTGTATTTTTTAAAAATTTTAATATTATCATTATATAAGGTAGTTTGATTTCTGTTTTTATTTTTATCAAATGGAATGTTTACCAAAGGATATAAATTTGATTAACCACCGAAACCGTACAAAGTTCTACCTTGTCTCTTTAGGGCGTAGACAACATCTAGAGAAGTAACAGTCTTTCTCTTAGCATGTTCGGTGTAAGTAACAGCATCTCTAATAACAGATTCTAAGAATTGTTTTAGGACAGCTCTAACTTCTTCGTAGATTAAACCAGAGATACGCTTAACACCACCTCTTCTTGCTAATCTTCTAATAGCTGGCTTTGTAATACCTTGAATGTTATCTCTAAGGATCTTTCTGTGACGCTTAGCACCACCTTTACCTAGACCTTTACCACCTTTACCTCTACCGGACATTGTTTAAATTTATTTATATATTGTTGTTGTTATTATTATTATTATTAATTATAACTAGTATAACCAAGAATATTATAAGATGGGGAGGAAAGAAAGTAATACTAGACTTCAAGGAAAAGGCTCACATTTCTCCTTATTTATATATAAAATATTTTCTAAATACAGACTGCTCTCCCTATCTGTAATCAAAAGAGTGTGTGTTTGTTTGTTTGTTTGTAAACAATACAGATTGTATTCTTATTACAGCGTACATTCTAGAACGTCGTATCATACAAATTGGTTACCAACCCCGAACAAATGAGAACGGCATAACAATTAAAAATTTGGATCAATAATCATTTTATCACGATTTTGTGTGGTCAGATGCGAGAGTGTGTTCTGAGAATTACGCGCGTGTGCATAGTATTTATATGGTAAATAGTGCGCGTAAATTCTGGAACAGTTAAATAAACAATCAATATTGAAAATTAGGAATTAATAACAAGGAAGTGGTGGATAAAGAAGATAACTTGGAACTTAAATAAATAAATTAAAAAGGTATAAAAAGAGACTGGTAAATCTATTAAGTTTAGTATCTGTTCCTTGTTCTATTTTATAGGTTTTCATTTTTGTTATACTCAGATCTCCAGAACAAAATACATTAGCAATGGCTAGAACCAAACAAACAGCAAGAAAATCCACTGGTGGTAAAGCACCAAGAAAACAATTAGCTTCCAAGGCTGCTAGAAAGTCTGCTCCATCTACCGGTGGTGTTAAGAAGCCTCACAGATATAAGCCAGGTACCGTTGCTCTAAGAGAAATCAGAAGATTCCAAAAATCTACTGAACTTTTGATTAGAAAACTACCTTTCCAAAGATTAGTCAGAGAAATCGCTCAAGATTTCAAGACTGATCTAAGATTCCAATCTTCTGCTATCGGTGCTCTACAAGAATCTGTTGAAGCTTACTTAGTCTCTCTATTTGAAGATACTAACTTGGCTGCTATCCACGCTAAGAGAGTTACTATTCAAAAGAAGGATATTAAGCTAGCTAGAAGACTAAGAGGTGAAAGATCTTAAGATTATTGTTTAATCTTAATTTATCTCTCTATATTCATCCCTTTTTGGCATTCTACTCATATATATTCATCGCAAAACTAATTTGATATTTGCAAAGTAACATATCTTTTAAGATGCACGTTTTATTGTTAACAAAAAATAAAATATAAATAAATAAAAAATATGGTGTTTATCTTTTATTCTTAATTTGATAACCCAGTTGTATAATAGAAAAAATATATATTTAAAAACAATAATAATAATGATTTCATTTTTTTTCCTTTTCTTTTTTCTGAATTTAGTATTACGGCTACCATTGTAATGGTAACCATTTATTTTGTTCAGCTATTCTAGTTATTTCACTATCATCATACATTTCTATAAATTGTTGATCTAATGCACGAGCTTTAGGAAATGCAAATCTACGATATTCATCAAATATCATCGTTAATGACCAATTTTGTAATTTTCTAATACATCCAATTAAACAACCAGTACGATGTTTACCTCTATTACAATGTATTAAAATTGGTTGATTCTCTGGATTTAATACAATCTCCAGCGCATTAGTTAATAAATTAGACGGTATGTTAACAAATGGTTCTTTATTACCACTCATACCAACTTGAAATAATTTAATACCTGATTGATTCATAAATTCTAAATTTTCTGTAGGATATTCTTCTGGGATTAATACTAATATGGATTTTAATTTCAATCTTTTCATTAAAAAATCAAAATTTTCAACTCTTGGGAAACTGCTTCTATATATTTCACCAACAACATGACTAAAATTCTCAGGCGGGATCATTTCTTTAAAACTTGATGTTCCATTTTTATTATTACCACTAATATTATTATTATTATTATTTTCTTCATAAAATTTCTTACTCTTTCCCTGGTGATCCTCTAATACAAATTTATCATCAATATCTTCATCATCCTCATCTTTATTAGTAATATTATCATCTCCTCCCCTAACATTATTACTATTATTATTATTGTTGTTATTATCGTTATTAGTAGCTTCCTCATTATGAAATTGCCTTATAACATCATCGAATTTATCTCTTAATAAATCCATATCACTTACTCGTTCACGGTGTACAGGTGAACCAATCGGACTTATATGTGATAAATATTTTGCATCTACATCAGTATCAACGTTAATGCTTCCTGTAGCACCGCTTTCTCCTTCAGTGAGTGTCAATAAATCATCACCTTGTCTAATCAATTGTATTATATCACTCTCTCGTCTTATTATCTCATCTATTCTACTACCATTATTATTAATAGCATTACTGCTCTGTCGAGTATCATTATCCGAATTATGATTACTATTATTTATAAGTGAAATTTCTTCCTGTTTAATCAATTCTGGAGGTATCGATCCCTGATTGTTATGTGTTTGCATCGGAAAAGTAAATAAATGAGCAATAATTATATGTCTTTTTTCTTACTTTCACTCTTTAGATATTTATTATTATATCACAATCTTATAATCAAACATATGTACTTTCCCACTAGACCTAAATTAAAAAAAAAAAAAAAAACGCTCAAAAGAATAACACTACTCCCCACCTAAATATTGTTACAATCGTATCTTGAAACCTTCTACCTCTAACCTGTTATAGGATATATATATATGTATGTATAAACTTCTATTAATTCAATTGGTTGCTATTTAAATATATATTAAAATGGGTGATGATTGGTTTCTTTTTTAAATAATTCAAGAGATGTCTTACCCGGGATATCACTCTTCACGAGAGCCGGCCACAATATACTGATCAGGAAATAAACTATAATAACAAACCAGATAAATATATATTATATTATATTTTATATGTTGTTTTACAAACTTGTTTGAGTTATCATCTCTAGCACTTGTTGTAAGGTTTCATTTTCTAATAAATCAGCTTCAATTTTATGACACTTAATATTGTGTACTGTAGAAATTAAATCCCAATCCATTTGAATTTCACCTCTCTCTAAATATATAATATCGGTAATAAATGAGTTCCATTTAATAGTGGTTGGGTCAATTGATAAACCTTTTGCCTCTCTGTAATCTGCCATTGCATTTGCCATTGACTCGACAACTATTCTAATATAATCTTCACCAAAAATCCCAGAAGTTTCTCTATCGTATTGGTTATTAACGATTAAAACTTTGTGAGCATTCTTAGTCATGGCAATAGTATCAGCAAAATTACCCAAGATTATAATTGGCATTAAACTTGTCATTAAAGATCCTACAGAATAAATAATCATATTAGCATTTTTCAATTTTGAAATAGCTCTTGAGTTACCCATTGGTTTAATTTCTTCTCCATATGGATTAATATAAAGAATACGTTTTATTGGTGCAGGTAAATGGTTATTTTCATCAACTTTATCAAAATGAAGTTGTGAATTTTTCAATTCAGGTAAAATGTAAACTGGGTTAGCAAATTCTTGTTCTTCTGCTTCTTCTGCTTCTACCATTGAATCTAATTCACGTTCTAATTTAGTTGCAGCTGTTGTACCAGTGGCAACTGTATAATTATCTACCATTGCATTTGTAGATGAAGATGATGAAGAAGAAGAAGGCATCATTTTTAATAGTTCAACAGCAGTTTGAGATTCTTTCATAATATGTAAAAAATCATTTTTTTTAGCTTGTCTTGTAGTTCTTTTCTTTGTATTGTTTGAATTTTGAATTGGTGAAGGATGAGAAATTTGAGATTGACCTGTAATGACATCTCCATTAGTTAACAATGCAGAAATATGATGTGTATGATTTGAATTAATACATGGAATAACAAAAGTATTTGGATTACATCTTCCAATTCTCATTAATAATTCTATTGAGGCATCTAATGAACCTAAAAACAATCGAGCACCTGTCATAAACATATTACCGACAGATGCTTTTTCAAATTGGAAACTATAAGAATTTTTTGATTTTTTCAATAATTCAGCTTGTATATGAATAATAAATGCTCTACACATTTCCTTAACTTCAACCGGTACCTCTTTCCAAATAGTGTGAGATCCTTCGACAATGTCATTCCATTCTTGTTTTGCTAATAATGCATCATCAGCTAATCTGTGACCAAATAATTTACTTAATGTTTCATCTTCCATAATTCTAATGATTCTTGATCTAATATCACCAATAGCAGGTCCACCAAGAATTCTTAGAATTTCACTTGTTGAACCACCATTATCCGAGATTGGTAAGACATAAGTGACTTCTGAACCTGCTATATTTGCAATATTAGTAAAACACGGAGTTAAAGAATTAGTAGCGGTACCACCTGAAAATACAACAACTTTAAAATTTTGACCTGTCATGTTAACGTATGTGTATGTATATGTTGTATCTGAGTAATTGTATACTTGTGTGTATATGATTGTACTAGTTTCTTCTTCAATAGCGGCTATTTCTTGCTGTCTCTCATACTCTTTCTTTTTATATATATTACTTTTTGCTATTCTAAATTATATTTATTTACATATTTTGTGATTTTTGTTTAATGTCAGGAAGGGGCGAGTAAGAAGATGCCGGAGAAGCGTACGTAAAGACTACACAGAACAGTAAGAGCCCTCCCTCCCTCCGCCCCCCCACAATAACGAATCTGTAACTGAAGAACGGCTAAAACTACAAGAATGACTTGAGGGATTACGTGTTCACAACAACAACAACAACAACAACAAAGTTTCAAGAGCAAAGAAGTGGTTATTTTGCATCTTGCAAGAATGGAGGATTGAACTGATGATGGGCTAGAGGTTACGTATCATTTTCTTTTCAATTTGGTTTGCTTATTCTTTTTGATTATGTAATGAAAGTTATTAATAGAATCTTGAGTAAAGATATATATATGTGTTATACCATGCATTGAGCCACTCTCGGCCAGACTAGGAATTCGGAGTGCTGTTTTCCATGTGTGTTTTTGATAATAGTAATAGCAACAACACAATCTGGGATCTTTCTTTGTTAATTATTACCATTCAATGGAGTCCCTGAATGTTTGTTTTAGTTCTTAGTGATACTATGTTTTTTGGGCGTGGGGGTGAAGGTGTCTTAAGCGTGGGGGCGAAATTGCTATGTTTTTCGGTTTTCTGTGTAATTTCTTATCACATTTAACGACAAGCCCTTTAATATTTTTTTGTTAGTACTTTCCTCGACAGTATAGGCAAAGACTGAAAAATTAAAGTGAGATGGATATCTGATAAATTCCAGTACTCTTTTGCAAAACAATCTGATATCTTTTAAGAAGAAGACATCTTTCTATATTTATATTATTGTTGGTATTCGACAGCAGGAAGTGCAAGAAATATAATCTTTCTATTTTCTTTTTTTTTTTTTAACTGAAGATATTAAAATACAACATGGTTCAAGCTGTTATTTTTACTGATTTTGACGGTACAGTCACTCTACAAGATTCTAACGATTATCTAACTGATAACTATGGTTTTGGTAAAGAAGCAAGAGGTAAAATCTTTGAAGGTGTCCTTGATGGTACTACTACCTTCAGAGATGGTTTTACTCGTATGATTGATTCTGTTAAGACTCCATTATCTGAATCTTTAGATATTCTTAAGAAAAATATTGAATTGGATCCTGGTTTTAAAGAAACTTTTGAATGGGCTCAAGCTAATAATGTTCCAATTGTTGTTGTATCTAGTGGTATGGCGCCAATTATTAAAGCTTTATTAACTAAACTATTAGGTGCTGACGCAGTTGAAAAAATTGATATTGTTGCTAATGCCGTGGATTTAGATTCAAATGAAAAGATGACCGTTGTCTACAGAGATGAAAGTGGTCATGGTCATGACAAATCTAGAACCATTGATATCTATAAGAAAGAATTCGAAGCTAAACAACCTGCAGGTGAATCAAGACCAACTTATTTCTATTGTGGTGATGGTATCTCTGATTTAAGTGCCGCTAAAGAATGTGATTTATTATTTGCTAAACGTGGTAAAGATTTGGTAACTTTCTGTAAGAGACAAAATGTTCCATTCCATGAATTCGATTCATTTAAAGATATTTTAGCTAATATGAAAGAAGTACTAGCTGGTACTAAGACTGTTTCTGAATTAATGGAAAATTAAAGACGATATATATAATAATAATAGTATTTAATTTTTATAGATAATAAAATTTCTTTTCAATTATTTTAGTATTCTTATTATTGTATTGTATTATTTTTTTTTGGTTCTATTTGTTTATATATATATATGGATGTTTCTATGGAGGGGGGGGGATTAATGTATATCTATGTAAGTAAGTTTGTGTATGTGTATGTGTATGTTTGTTTATGCACTATTTATTTCGAGTTTACGAGGATTAATTTAAAAGTTTTGAGCAATTGCATTTCTTTGCGCATCATTCAATGAAATTGGATAGTCAATTTTATATTTAACAATTAAATCACCTCTTTGGCCTGGATGTTTCACAATTGGCATCCCTTGTCCCGGATAAACTGAATTTTCCGAAGGTTGAATTGGTTGTGATCTATTTAACGGTAATGTTCTACCATCAATGGTTTGTGCAGTCTTTTGAAATCCTAATAATGATTCTTTAAATGTTAAAGGTACAGTATAAATTAAATTATCTCCATCACGTTTGAACATTGCATTATCCTTTTCTTGAAGAACAAATTGTAAGGTCTTTCTACCATGAGTTTGTGGATTATAATCACCTTGATTTTTATATGTTATCTTTGTACCTGCTTTCCAACCAGGTTTTAATTGAATATCAATTTGTGTCTTTTCTGGAATACCATTTTGACCCTTTCTACCAATTTTAAATGATTTTTTCTTACCTTCAAATAAATCTTCAAGTGATACAGGTAAATTTACTTGAACAATTTCTTCGGGACTCCCTGAAGGTGAACCAGAACCTGATCTAAATCCACCTGGCATACCTCCCATTCCACCAGGCATTCCACCCATTCCACCGGGCATTCCACCCATACCGCCTGGCATACCTCCCATACCTCCTGGCATACCACCGAATTGAGAACGATGACCTCCTGGCATACCACCAGAAGAGAAAGAAAATCCTGAATCATCACCACCACCTGCGCTACCACCAAAGAATTGTGAGAAGATATTAAATGCATCCTCATTTGAGAAAGAATGAGCACCACCTGGGAACCCACCACCACTTGAGAAACCTCCGGCACCGCCTGGGAATCCACCACCAGCACCACCGAATTGTGGACCACCAGATCTAGCTGCATCTAAACCATATTGGTCATAAACTTCTCTTTTATTTTTATCACTTAAAATTTCAAAAGCTTCTGAAATTTCTTTAAATTTTTCTGTATCACCAGTTGGCTTATCTGGATGGTACTTTAAAGCTGCCTTTCTATAACCTTTCTTAATTTCTGCATCATTTGCAGTTGGTGATACACCAAGTAAATCATATAGTTTAGTCTCTTTAACCATTATATATATATTTTTTTATTTTCAATAATTGTTTGAGAGATAGGTTTCAATATTTCTTTTTTTTGCATAATAATAAATAACAAATTGCAATTGAAATAAAGAAACTAATATAATGAGTGATTAATAATTATATATTTTGTTCTCTCTGTCCTTATATATATATTAGTTAATTTCAAATACTGCCTGCCCCCCCCTATCAAAACGTTTTTTGCTTTAAATTATGAGACATTTCCCTTTCTTCCTCCGTCGGTTTTTTGGCTTTAAAAATTGAAAAATTTCCAGAATTTTTTTCTTTCTGGAAAATTCTAGAAAAAACGATCACGTGACCGTTGAAGCTCGCCTCGCCGCGTCTTTTTGTCTGTCACGGCGAGCGGGCGGCGGCGTCAGCCTTGCCGGTTTTGGTCGAGATGGCTTCCCTCTCCCTGTATTCAGATGGTCCACTGGATGGGGGGAAACACAGTGATGTCCACTTCTTTCCAGGTTTTTAAATTGTTATATATCTATATGTATATATATATATATATATATTGGGACGGTTGTCGTAAGTGGGGAGGAAGTAACACTATGCTGGACCATTGTTGTTTCGACAATATTTACCAATGCGAGATATTATATGAGGTGAGCACATATTATACTTCACTGCATTGTTAAAGGGTGTGGTTGTTATACAGTTAGATTAGATTATTTCTATATGTGTGTGTGTCTGTCCATGAATGATAAAGGAACTGCATTGATTTATGCGTTTTCCGGTGTTACCCGGGTATCGATAAGAGATGCAGCCGGGTAACTCCCGTATAATTTTTCACTTTTTAGCTATACAGAATTACACGTACATAATACATATATTTTAACTTAACTCATTACATAACACTTGTATCTTTAACTCCTTACAAGGTAATAATAATAATAATCATTAACCATTTATACTATTACCATTACTATTACTCTACTATAGATTACTCACATTATCTATTTTACCGTCTTTTTATACACATAATGTCGGTTATATTGGTTTCAGCAGGTTATGATCATACCATTAGATTTTGGGAAGCTCTAACAGGAGTTTGTTCACGTACTATACAACATTCAGATTCCCAAGTTAATAGATTACAGATTACAAATGATAAAAAATTATTAGCCGCAGCAGGTCATCAAAATATTAGACTCTACGATATAAAGACAACTAATCCAAATCCTGTAGCATCATTTGAAGGTCATAAAGGTAATGTTACCTCTGTTGCATTTCAACAGGATAATAAATGGATGGTATCATCAAGTGAAGATGGGACAATAAAAGTTTGGGATGTTAGATCTCCATCCGTACCAAGAAATTATAAACATAATGCACCAGTTAATGAAGTAGTAATACATCCAAATCAAGGGGAATTAATTTCTTGTGATAGAGATGGTAATATTAGAATATGGGATCTTGGTGAAAACCAATGTACTCATCAATTAACACCTGAAGATAATACTCCTTTGCAATCATTATCTATTGCTAGTGATGGATCTACTTTAGTGGCAGCAAATAGTAAAGGGAATTGTTTTGTTTGGAATATGCCAAATCATACAGATGCGTCAAATTTAAAACCTGTAACAAAATTTAAAGCTCATTCAAATTATATTACGAGGATCCTATTATCATCAGATGTAAAACATTTAGCAACATGTTCTGCTGATAAAACTGCTAGAGTATGGTCTGTAGAAGATAATTATAAATTAGAATCAACTTTAGATGAACATCAACGATGGGTTTGGGATTGTGCTTTTAGTGCAGATAGTGCATATTTAGTAACGGCTTCATCAGATCATTATGTTAGATTATGGGATCTTTCAACAAGGGAAATCGTTAGACAATACGGTGGTCATCATAAAGGTACGGTATGTGTAGCATTAAATGATGTTTAATGGCTATATATGTATGTATTTCTCTTCGCATTCTCTCTTTTTTTTGGTTTCTTAATGTATATATAGATATATAGATATATATATAGATATGGACCCATATAATAAACTCAAATATTCCAATTATTTTCTCATTCATACAAGCAATATACTTCTGCTTACTTCATTTTTTGATAACAAAAGAATATAAAATATATAATCTTTAAACAAAAACTTTTTATAAAAATGTATAGATTAATGTATAATTTTTATTGTTTCCTCATTTGACCATATCAATTAAATTTCTGAAATCTGCACTGTATGTAATCAATTGATATATTATATTATTAAAATATAACCAACAGCGTAAATTTTCAGATGCCTTAAGACTTAATTCGCCAACTAATCCACCAAAAAATTGTAAATAGTAATTAGCAATAGAATGGGAAGTTGAACCACCTTTAGAAGTAATAAACTTACAAAATTGTTCAATTAATTTCCTCAATTGTAATTTGTTCGTCTCAGTAGACTCTAGAAATGTAGAAATATCATAACATATTTTCGACTTAAGGGTACATGCTGCAGCTTTCAAATCCACGTCGGACTTTTTCCCATCATAACAATTTATATTTAGAGCTAAATCAGTGAAGTTTTCATGTTTTACCAGCATTTGCCAATCGTGAACCATCCCATTCTTATAGCTTGGGAAATTTTCCATGAAGGCATTTGAATAATTCAATAACTTGATTAACTCTTTCAATATTAAACAAAATTTGTTTGCCACTGTAACTTTATTTTCGGCCATTGGAATTGGTAAATCTAATGAAGCACTAGTGACAATATCCCTGTATGATTGAATAAATTTTTTCAATTTGTCTAGCGTATTCTCATTGATTGTATCTTCATTAATTATTTTCTTGGCAAGTTCTTGGATAATAACCGCATGAGTCTTCAAGTCACATTCATAGACCCAATTGTATAACTTGGAAGATATCAATAGGTTAAACATTTGGGGCGATAAAGATCCATTACTTGATAAGTTTAAACAAGTTGGCAATTCACCGAATTTCATGAAAAGAACATTTTCATAAATTGATAGACAATGAACATGATAAAGGGACTCCAGAGAGGAAGCAATATCAGAATCAATCTTTGAAGATATTTCGTCTAACGGGATTGGTGGTAATTGTAGAGAGCAATCAAAGGACAACTCATTACATTTGAAAATTTCATTAAATAATTCTGCTACGCCAGAGTCGTTGCAGGAATCATTTCCTGAATCAGTAACAACATTTGAATCAGCAGTGTCTATACTTGAATTGTCACTTAAAATACCTTCAGCATTTAAACTTGAACGAGAGGACGCTTCGTTCTCAGTTAATAATACTAAATTACAATAATGATATTTAGATTGACCTCTCATCCCTAATCTTCTTGTAGTGATATCTGGCAAAATAGTTCTAATCAATTTACCTAATGTAGCTTGCGATAATGGTTTTAAAGTTGATTTTGCACAGGAGGCAGCATATTGTGAAAATATTCTACTGCGAGGAACATATGAGTTTGTTTCAGCTTTACAGTTCTTCATTAGCCATAATAGTGCATAGACATGTTTTTCTCTTTCTCTGTTTTGTTCTGCTCTTTGAATTGCAGATTTACTATGAGTATTATCATTCATCTCAAGAACAGCTAATTCAGCCTTTCTTACATTACTGGCATATTCTTCAATTGGAACCTGAATATTTTTTTCTGCAATTGCTTTAGCAATTTGTTCTTGAGTATTTCTTCTCATTAGTATTCCAGTATTATGTTCAATAACATATTGAGAATGTAATGTTGTACTACTATTGTAACCTTGTGGACTAGGAATAGAGTGCGATTTAGGCTTTATGTTTAGCTCATTCATTTCATCTTTTCTAAAATCATTATATGTGGAAGTCGATGGTATATCATTGGTTTGAGCCCTCATCCACAATGGTGGAAATGAACTTCTAGTAATAAATGGTTGGCTTGCACCATATTGTGCTATGAAAGCAGTTTTATTTTCTTGAGGGATGCTTTGTTGTTGTGGAGGTAAGTATCTGTTGGAAAAATTTCTATCTTGAGCAATATTTGTAGTTTCATGGAACGTGGGTCCCATGGGGTATATACTTATATCACTGTTACCATTATTCGTATGCGTTGTGGAAGGTGGGCTAGTAGAATAATGATAATAATTGTTTGAATTAGTAGTGTTATCTTCTGTATGTGAAGATAATCTATATGGTTGAGGTAACGATAGAACCGAAAAAGATTGTTCTGTAATTTTTGGTTGTGAAATGTAATTTGTGACATTTGGTCTTGAAATATTATTATAAGATATACTACTACTAGTACTACCATTTTTACCAGTTGATAATAAATTATTTTGAATGTTATTACTCGTTTTTCTAGAAACGTTAAATTGAGGAGAACTAAACTGGCTACCATTGGTTGCTACCAAAGATGATGAAGTTGAAGAACTTGATTGAAATTCAATATTACTACTATTCCCATTATTATTATTATTATTATTATTATTATTAAATATTGGACCATTAGAGAACGTTCTTTGAGTACCATATTGGAACGTAGGTGAAGGACCCATATTATTTGACGGACCTAAATCTTTAATTGTAGTCTGGGTAGGTTCCATTTTAATAAAATTTTGTTGTTGTAACGCACTTAACATTAGAATATTGTATTTTAAATATAATTATAATTATTTCTTTTTTATTATTTTGATAGTATTCTTTTTGTAACTGATCTTAATTATTCAGAGATATTAGAATATGTATACTTAACAAAATAAAAAATTTATAGTAATAAAAGAACAAATATTTATTCCTATTATTTTAGAAAATTGACAATTAAAAAAAATTATTCTCTTTTATAATTTGTTATTTTACAAATGAAGAAAATAAGTTTAGAAGATATTTTTATAAAGAATAAATTCGTACATACTTATTCATAATTAGTCAACGAATACACACATATGATTATCAATTTAAAGGTTTCGAGGAAGTGACTTTGTATTTATATAAAAAAATAAAACAGGAATGACTATCTTATAATAATAATAATAATAATAATACAACATGATCATCATCCTCATCTTAATCGATTTGAAGACTTGAAAAGGGTGATCCGAAAGATATAAAGAAAACCCAAAACAAAAGAAAACTAGGCAGAGTATATCACCAGGTCGAGGGAAATAATACAAAAAATTAAAAAAGAAAACCAAGTGAAATAAAAAAATGAATCAAGAATAAGTTGTTGTTAGTTGTTATCTTGTACAGGAGGTTCTTTCCCCTTGTGAGTATTGTATCTTGTTACAAAAACTCAAAAAAAAGAAGTAAAAGAAGAGAAGGATCAAAAGGTATTTTTAAAAAATGGGCACCAAAACACGATGTAAATTATAGAAACAGAACTAATTTACCAAGAGTTAAAAAGAGAATGAAATTCAGAGGCCCTGAGAAAAAAAAATGGTGAACAATCAGGTTGTCCCTTTAGATAAATTTGTTTTATCACGAGAAGCGTGGGGACCTTAGTTGATAATAACAATGCAAAAAAAGAAAAATTGAGAGGAAAGAACGAAAGTATGATTGTCAAGGCATAAATTTGTGCCTAATCAAGTTTGTTGAGATGTTAGTTACGTAACATCACTAAGAATATTGTTTAGGGCCTCGGTCTCAATTTTTTGCTATTGTTATATTTAACGGTCTAAAAGAAAGACACCTGCAGATAAAAATAAGAAAAAGATGGTTTTACAAGTTTTTTCTCATGCGAAAATTCCGTTTTGTCTAAGTTCTATATTATGTGTACAGTTCCCAACCATATGACTTCTGAGAAATAACAATAGCTTTAAATTACTGACACTTGCCATTACTATTGTTACTATTGTTATTCATTCACTGTTTTTTTTTTGGGAAAAACATACGAAGAACGAGCCAATACTGAAAACAGGAGAATCTGTAAAAATGGAAAATATTATTTCTCTGAGTCTTAATGTCAAGCCTGTACACCTACATATATCTTAAACCTATTCTTGATCTTGATTTACTCTACTACTAGTAATAAGAAGTCCGGTTCTCCACATTACCGTTTCAGCTGTTATTTCCCTTAACATCTGATGGGAGAAGTACAATTGTGGGGAAAGCAGTGAGGGAGAAAAAGGGTTGTTGTCGACGACTCAGTTTTTTTTCTACCAATTACCAAAGATAATTTTTTATTTTTAAGATGTTCAACTGGTGATGATGGTGATGTTTCGGAATTTACCATTATTTCGCCGAATCTTCGATTTTTTTCGTGTATTTTTTTTTCCCGTATTTGTTTAGTCACAGTTCATCAAATTTTAACTTTCTTACTGCAGTAACATTAATAGTTGTACTATTAATGCGCAGGCCTCCTTCAAAGTTCCTTATGCAAAGAAATCTTAACAAAGCATACACAAATAAAGCTTTAAGTGAGGCGAGATAAGAAGGTAGAACAAGAGAGATTGCAAAAGGTTTGGGTAGTAAATCATAACATGGAAGAAAGAAAATATGGTAGTAGGAAAGAACTGAATAGTTTTCTATTAATTATCTGCGGAGAAAGTTTTATTTCTTTCCCCATCTTTTAATGAATCTGTATATTACATTATGGTAGTCTAGGCATATTATTGTTATTGGCATTTAATAGAAATTTTGTAGTACGCACTTCTTCTATCAACAAGACTTTACATATCTGTTATTGTTCTGGGGTTCTATATTGTGTATTAAGAAACAAGTTTTTTCGTAATTTCTTTGCATACTAATCTTCTCATTATTAGAAAAAGCAATAAATGAGACTTGAATGATAAGTATCTGAGGGGTAGTAAAAGGAAGTTAAGAGCAATATATCATATGCTGCATTATTATTCCCTTGTTTTTTTGTAAATATTGCTAGTATTGTATGATACTTATATGTTACAGACTGGATAAATAAGAGAATGTGTTTGCGTATATTTCAAAAGTACCGCATTGTTTTTGCAGATGATTCATTGGTGGTGACATAAGAGAAAAAATGCACTCCGAAAATAGCTATTCTCAAACAGATCAATGCCAGCTTCCTTAGAAAATAACGCAAAAACAATTAAAAATAATAATAGTAATAATAATAGCGACATCTACAATTAGAGACATTTTCCGAAATTGGACATATTAGTATCATTTTGAGTATATTTCACTAATTTTATTGTTGTAAGTTTTATTATGTTTACTTTCCAGTTATCGAATTTTTTTTTTCTGTTCTACTTTCTATTTATTATATATGGAATTTTATTCTTATGGTTGTTGTATCTACGTATCTTGATAGTTATCATGGAATAAATACAAAGAGATCATTTATGATAAATGGTAATTTGGTAGAATAGCACTACAACAAAGAAGGATAAGTGGGATTTGCGTACTATTTCTTCTACTGAATCTTTATGTTTGCTATTATTTAAAGTTAAAATCCACGGAAAATAAAACAAAATGAATTTTTTATAGATCTGTTTTAAAATATTTACATAAAATTCTCGAATTATTCCATTTCAGTGATTTTTAATTGTATCTATAGACTCACTATCTTTTTCAATTATTAAATATTTAAATACACGTGGTGTCACACTTTTAGAAGGCTAATAATAGGATATTGCTTAACTAGTATTATTGCTAATTATTCCTCTATATAAGTTTGGATTTCTAGAATACTATTGACATACACTACATATTTGATAAGCAGAAATTATAATGAAATTATAAAGTAATCGATTAAGATTATGTCTGTTGTTTGGATGTATTTTTTGTCTTGAAATTTCTCAATTTCAATACTTATTATTATTATTCATAGTTATTGACGTTTATCACTTTTCATTTAAAATATGATTGATGTCATTACTATTATGAGCTATTTTCAATTCCTTATTTTAATAGCAATAAAGGATAATATTTATAAAATATATAGAAGTTAAACATAAAAATTATGTAGAACAAAATTTAGACCAGTTATTAAATTAAAGTGATTATTGTTGGAAGTAACAATGACAAATTATATTAACTGTCATAACAAAAGATTTACTTATGTTTAATTATCCGTAGTATCATTTTTGTATCAATAACTTCGAAGTTTGTCAAGTGGAAGTGGCTTATCATTTAAGTTGTGCTTTTTTCCGTATTATAATTCAAATGTAAGTTATTAAGTTAACCTCATTCCCTCAATTGTTTTCTCAATTCTTTCTCCTTGAAGGAGAACAAAGAAAAAATTCAAAAGAAGTCTCATTTATTAAAATTATGAAAATGGCTAGCCATTGTTTGTTCCTTATCTGAATAATTTTTGCCCAAATTCAAATAATAGTCAAAGAAAAGAAAGAAAAACAGATGGTTACTAAAGTCATCTTGACGGATTTTTATTGTTTTCTATTGCTTCCGTTATGTTACCCTATTTTTTTGTCGGACATCATAACATTTATTTTTCTTTCAATTCTATTGTTTAGTGTTTTACCTGATAATTTCTCTTATCACGGGGTACTCTTATTCGTCACCTTATCTCTAGTTTCTCTTAATCGTTTGTCAGTTTTCCTAACGATAGGCATACTACCATTTTTAATATAATAAAATCTATTTTACAAATTTGTTTTATTTTCAGAAAACAATATTATATATGCTCAATTTGCTTCCTCGTCCCTCTCTGTGCCCCACTTTCATCTAGTAGAATTTTTCAATAAATGAATTATTTCTTACCAATTGCTTCGATTTTCAGTTAATTTTTGACTTCTTTCATTGAACGATTAAAACCAAATTTCTCCCCCCCCATAACTATGCTTTGAAGAAAATCCAAACACGTTACATGAATACATATTACTGCTATCTTTGAGAATTTTTTTAAACCTGAGTAAATTATTCTAATGGGATTAGTTCTTTCTTTGAGACTCCTTCTATCTCCATTTGTTTTTATAATTAATCACACTTAGTAATAGTATTAGTATTGTGAATCACGAAAGGGGCGCTTGATTTTTAATTGTATGTGTAAAGCATTTGAACAATATTCAGTAAAGAGATGTGAGTCTTTTTCAAATGGTAGATGATATATCTGGGTAATTTAATCATGCTTTTGTCACCAGAAAACTGATTTTAATTTTTTGTAAGTTTTGTCTTGTTTCAGTAGTACAATGGCAGAAAATTTATTTACACTTCAGTTTTCTTGTTTGTAATTTTGGTAACTATTGTCATTAGAATAACTTTAAAATCCCCAGAATTCGTGTTTTTATATTGTTTTTTGCATGTTCATTTAAAAATATCTGAATTGTCATGTGTCGTTGTTCTCCGAATTGGGTGTTGGCTGGTTCGTTTTTGGCAAGTTCTAATTGCTTGTATATTTTTGTTATAAATACTAGGTTCTGAATATTCCGAAATCCTTACATCATTTTTAAAGTTTATTTCTTTCAAACATTCTTAAATGAACTAATTCTGCAAATTAGACACTTGTGACAATAATTAAAAAAAATTACATATATATGTAGCGTGCATTCTTCCCTTCAGTGAGACAGAGATCTATCAGATTATTATAGTTGACTTTTTAAATTTTTTTGTTAAGGTACCAGAGCCTATATTTATCCTTGGTGGATGTGAATAACATAGTCTTTGCCATATAACTTAATAAACAAATTGCGGAACCCGTTTATTGTATACTTTTGGATATTTACCAGTTTTGAAGCTAATCGTGAAATATATCATATGTATAGTAATTATTTGATAGTGCTATTCTTCATGCTATTTTTTGAAAAAATTCTTATAAAATATAAATATCAAGAAAGGATATAGTCAAAATTTTGAATTCAATCTTGCTAAATTAGAAATTTGAAACTGTTGCATACAATGGTTTTTGAAGTATTTCTAGTGTTTGATACATAATTAATAATCCTTATTTATATTCCGCATTTCTGTGACAGTAAAGTTAATACTTTTTAATTTTAAACCTATAGCAAAAATATATCATATACGTATATTATCCTTTAAATCGAAAGACTTTTTTCTTATTTCTCTGAAGCGTGTGACACTTTTATTATGAAATGACTCGAGAAAGCTGCAATTTTCCACTTTCTTCGTTGTTGTTTTTTCCTTTTTTCCACGCCTGGACACTGCACTGCACCCGATCAAACTTCAATGGGAAGATAAGGTATAATGGGCATTAGTTATGATGAGACAAAAAGAAAGTTGCATTAGTATGATCTAGATGTAAAACATTATACTAATTAAAGTTCAAACATGGAATTTTACAAGTATACAACAAAATAGACACTGTTTTCGTTACTTTTACAAGAAGACAAAAAGTCATCAAGGTAATTTCCCTTTTTTTTGATAGTCTCTACCTTTTTTTTTGTTATTGGTGCATTAGTTCAATACTACCTGTAAACATAAGTTTCGAACAAAAACGATGATTGGTGGTTCATTTGTGATATCTTTACTGAGTGGTGCAGCTGCAGGTACCTCGACAGATTTAGTGTTCTTTCCAATTGATACTATAAAGACGAGATTACAAGCCAAAGGAGGTTTCTTTAAGACTGGGGGATATCATAATATATATAGAGGTGTCGGAAGTGCCATCGTGGCATCTGCACCTGGTGCGTCTTTATTCTTTGTTACATATGATACTATGAAGATTCAATCGAGACCATATATTAATAAAATAGTTGGTAAAAATAGTTCAGAACAATTTGTTGATACATTGACACATATGTTTGCATCAACATTAGGTGAAATTGCAGCATGTCTCGTTAGAGTACCAGCTGAGGTCATTAAACAACGTACGCAGACAAGTACTTCTCATTCATCATATCAAACATTAAAGGTTATTTTACAAAACTCCAACGGGGAAGGTATTCGAAGAAATCTTTATAGAGGTTGGTCAACAACTATTATGCGTGAAATACCATTTACTTGTATACAATTTCCATTATATGAATATATGAAGAAAAGGTGGAGAATGGTTGAAGGTTCTGACATTTTAGTACCTTGGAAAGGTGCAATTTGTGGTTCAATTGCTGGTGGTATTGCAGCTGCAATAACTACACCATTAGATTTCCTTAAGACTAGAATGATGTTACATACTAAATCTGAACCTGTAGGTACTATGGTACGTACAATTTTGAAAGAAGAAGGTCCTTTAGTCTTTTTAAGCGGTATTGGTCCAAGAACTATGTGGATTAGTGCTGGTGGAGCAATTTTCCTTGGGGTCTATGAGTCAGTACATTACATGTTGACCACCAAAGATGAAGATACAGCAACTTTACAGTAAATAATAAGTATATTTAGTCTCCCTTTATAAATAGAAATTTGCATTTTTTTCACATTAGGGGGTTACCATTGGATAATTTTATATTTTGTTAACATTTGAATACTTTCAAAGAGGGTATTTTTCACTTTATTTTACCAAACGAAGATACTTTTCTTTTAAAGAACTACATTTTGCTTATTTACACTTTGTACCACTATTTTAGGAGTATCAATTACTATATCGATATCTCAATCCCATAAGTATCTTATTTGTGTCCAACTAGGGGGACAAACCGTCAAATAGGTGTCGTATAGTATGACCTGGGCATTAACTTCAACCTCTTAACGAACGAATTGCTCTTTCCGGCTCTCTCTCTCTGTGTCTCTCTACCTGAAAATGAGACAGAAAGAATTTCAATGCGGTGCCAAAATTTAACAAAAATTCACTCCCATACATAAAAATGCAACAAACGGAAAAGACGATAATGTTTAATATATTATATTACTCACAATAATTCCGTAGAAATCCAAAAAAAAAGTTTTAAATTTGGAAAACGCCTTTTTTGGTAGAAAAACAAGAAGATCAACCTAAAGAGGCGAAAATATGTAAACTGGAAGCAAAAGAAAGAACATATTACAGAATTGGACATTCATGAATGAAACAAACCTGTACAGACGTATACTAAACAATTATCTATTAGAAATAAGGGTATAGATACTGAACATTAAGTTAGGTTAATATTTCCGTTATATTTTTACTGTTCTTTCTCGAAGTTTTTTTTTACAAATTTTGATTAGAGACACCTAATTTGAGTTTGCTAGAACAACCTAACTATAAATAATACCAAAATATGTCAGGTTCAGAGAGGAATTCCGAATACGTAAGTACCATAAAATTAATGTTTGCATGGTAATTCTGGTATGAGACCCAAAGAGGCTGCTTTTTTTTTTACGTTGCTTCTTTCTTTTGGAGACTATATTGGTTTAAAATGCATTCTATTATTTTTGTTATTCAAGTGATTATTTTTTTTGCCTAATACGGGTACAACCGATGTAATTGACATGAATACCTTTTTTCTTTCTTTTCTTTTGAATGAATTTCCTTTTACTAATACTGCTTTTTTTAAATATTATATTGCTAACCTTTTACTGTTCATCTTTCTTTTTTACATCATGCTTCATAGAAAGATAACAAAGGTAACATATAACTTTAATCTTTTATTATTTTTAATTTAGAAAAATAGAGATAGATCAAGATCTCCTGTACGTCGTCGTAATAATAATGATAACTTCGACGATAATAACAACAACAACAACAACAACAACGAACGTAATTCCTATGGTAATGACAGAAGAAATAACAACAATCGAAGAAGAAGACAAGAAAATAATGACTCCTATCGTGGTTCCAGATACAATAATGGCAATGAAACTCGTGGAAGATATAATGATAATGACCATGGAAATAATAATAACAGTAGATATGGAGGCCGTAACGACTATGGCAGGGGTCGTTCCAGTAGAAGTTATCAAAATGATAGAAGAAATCCTAGATTTAGTCAGAAAGGTGATTATGGTCCAGTATTAGCTAGAGAATTAGATAGTACGTACGAGGAGAAAGTCAATAGAAATTATGCAAACAGTATCTTTGTTGGGAATCTTACTTATGATTGTACTCCAGATGATTTAAGAGATTTTTTCTCTTCTGTTGGTGAAGTTGTTCGTGCCGATATTATTACTTCAAGAGGTCATCATAGAGGGATGGGTACTGTTGAGTATACCAATCCACAGGATGTTGATGACGCCATTCGTAAGTTTGATAGTTCGGAATTTATGGATCGTCCAATTTTTGTCAGACAAGATAATCCACCACCAGAGAGTAATCGTGAACGCAACAATGGTAGAAATAATCAACAAAGAAGACAACAGGATGAAAGACCACAATATCAACAACAACAGCAACAAAATCCAAGACAAAGACAAAGGTTACCATCGTTTGAAGTCATTATTAACAATTTACCTCGTTCAATAAACTGGCAAGCTCTTAAGGATATGTTTAAAGAGTGTGGTACTGTTACAAGAGCTGATGTGGAGTTGGATAATAACGGATATTCTACTGGTGTAGGTAAAGTTATTCTAACGACACAAGCTGATATGGATGATGCTATTAAACGTTACAATGGTTATCAGATAGAAGGTAGTGTTCTAAATGTTGAGCCAGGTAGAATATCTGGTCCTGGTCCTGCATCTGAACCTGGTAATAGATATGATAACACTAGTACTAATGGTGATACTACTACTACTTCAGTTCCATCATTTAGTACCGTTGGTTATGAGGCAAATGGTCCACGTAGTAACTTTATCTTTTGTAGTAACTTACCCGAATCTACTGATAGAAAGGATCTATATGACCTATTTGAAACTATGGGTAAATTAAATAACGCCGAGTTAAAGAGAAACACTACCAATGAACCTACAGGGGTTGCTATTGTGGAATATGAAAACATTAACGATGCTGATGTTTGCCTAGAAAGATTGGATAAATACAATTATGGTGGATGTGATTTACAAATTTCTTATGCTGTTAAAAGATAATAGGGAAAAAAAAATTAAATAAATCGCCAATCATTATAATCATTTATGTGTACAAAATTGAAAGAGATGATAATTCATAATATCGTTTTTTAACTTTACTGACTGTTCATTTCCAGATCAGATATCGTGTGTATTATATAATGGTAAGAAGAAAAATTATTGTTAGATTAAAGAAGCAAAATAAAAATAAGAGAAAGGTGTAACATCTGAAAAGATGAAAATTCGTACAATGGTTTTGTGTCATTACGTATATAAACTTTTCGGTCTATTGAATGTAACATTTTTTGCTTGTTTGTTTGTATGTATGGTAACTTCAAAATTGTTATAAAGGAATAAATTTACAATTAAAGAAGACGACTAATGATCGATATTTCTTAGTTTAAATTTACAAACGACCAAATCAACTTTTTCATTTATGTTGAATACAAGAGTTTAAAAAATGTAGTCATACTTCATGATTATTTCTGTTTTGGCTGTTATGCTTTCTCTATACGATGAACCACTTTCCGTTTCTTTTTCGTATAAATGGCTGGAACGACTCAAAAAAAAAATAGTAATTCTAAGATCAGATGTCACTGCCAAAGCAGGAACAACAAAGCCTTATTATAAAGTAAAGCCATACGAATCCAGTTTACAAATATACGAATACCAACAGCCTTAGATTCTTATTTTTTGTAGTCTAATATTCCTTCTATGCAATGCGTGTCTCGTACTGAGGAAAGGTAAATAAAAATATGTACCTACACAAACAAATACATAGCGATGTATGCGTAATTATAGCCACACACTACCCCAGTTCATGAGGACATTTCGCTTGTTTCTTTGCCACTCCTTTAAATATGGCTTAGCTCCCCTCATTATTTTTATTTGTGATTGAACAGAACTATTATTTTTTGCTTTAATAATGGTAAACCTCGAGTATGAGCAGTAAAATGTAGTAACCTTCCTGCTAGAAGTTGGAACGAACACAAATAAGATGGACTTTTGTTTGAATAAATGCTACACATTTACATATATTTTATTTAATTAGTTTAAGCTGGTTTGTGTGTAAGTGAGTGGAATATCTACCCGAAAGTTTTTTCTTTTTATAATTAGAAATATTATGATAAAATACTAGTTAAGGTAAACCCCAATACTTATAGCCCCCCTCATCTAACTAGGAAATGTGATGGAAATTGTTCACACTGGAAGATCGAGAAACTGAAAGACAAATCTTTTTATGTTTTTCTAATCTGATGCTCTGTAATACTAGAAAACTAAGGCTGTAAACTTCTACCGATTCATTTCCTTTTATTACAAATATTTAGATAAGGTGGCAACCTCATCAGATACTCACCTACCTATTAATATATATCTATAATAGCTATTTTACATAATTAGTCCTTTTGACACACATACGAGAGGAATGTCGGCGACAAAGAAACACTCGCACAATTCTAACTACAATAAAACTCCCAAACATGGCGACTAAAAATTTTCTCTTATATTGTTAAACCTAATATAGCAATACCACCGCATTTATCTCTCTGAATTGGTTGCTAGGTTGTTTAAGTTTCCACACTTTATGTGTCGTCTCCCGTATATCATATCGTCATCATCGACTTCTCTGCCCTTTATTTTATTCATTTGTGAACCCAAACGAGGGAAAGGAGCGGGAAATAAATAGAGAAATTTATTTGGATTTCTACGGTACATAGTTTTTTAGACGATCTGTGCGGATAGTTCTGTGCGACACGATGACCTAATGCGAAATAGACAGACATTCGAAAAAACCAAAAAATATTGAAAAAAAGTCCTCAAAGGGCCGGCGTTGACTATTTTTTATTATATAAGTCATTTGTCATCTATGCACATCATAACCACATTTCCTTTCTACTTTATACATAATTCGTTTAATAGTTTTATTCCTTTTTAAATGTTTTGATATTTATTCCAATTCATTTTGTTAATACATTTAAATAACAATCACTTTCGGTAAATTGCTAAATTAAAGCTAACAAAGAAATACACACCCAATTATACAATCGTAAATCATAATAATGACCGTAGAAATTTTACATTTAAAACTCATATTTTGGGGGTTACTAGCTGTGATAGCAGTATATTTAGCAGTGAGTAGAAGAGATGGTCTGTCATATAAATTTCATGAGATTAACACAAGGGTAAGGAGTCTAGGTGGATCTGCAGATCTAAATAGTTCCTTCAGGGATGACTTGGAGAGTGGGTTACATTCGTCGAATTTTGATATCATAACTCACAATAAAGATGATTCTAGGGCTGGCTTAGATGACGAATCAAAGAAATTAATCAGAGATATCATGGTATCAGAAAATGTAAGTTTTGATAAAGCTAGATTGATTTTCACTGAAAGGAAATTTGGTGACAATGATATTGCATCTGATGGTACACCTTTAGATCCAAAAGCTGTTACATTTTCAAGTTAATTCTTGAAAATTATAATCCAAATATAATGAATAACATTTTTATGTTTTCTTTTTCTTTTACTTTCTAAACCTACTTTACACTTATTTGGTGACATCGTAATAAGATATTTTTCTTCCAATTTATCGAACGACTTATAACGATTGACAAAAAAGCTTTTTTCTAATGAGTATGAAGTTCTTCATATCAAATTTCATACTGAAGAAAGAAAGACAGGCTACAAAAGACTGCATAAAATTCCCCAATACTACTATTAATGATGTTGATGACAATAAAAAAAATAACAATAAAAAAAACACCCAATTGAAACATTGAATTTCTTTTGTAAGGAATAAAAGAGAAAAAAGAATAGGTAAATATCAATTGAATCGTTGAATATTTTGCTTACCGGATAGATGGTATAGTTATTTATCTTTCATCTTCCCTTTGGTCCTTTTTCTCTAACATAAAATATGCATACATTTATCTAATTTATATCCTTCAAATCGATAAATTTCAGAAGACCTTTCCCTATCATACTCGCAGTTCATTAAGACCATTCCTTCACATTAATACATACTCATATACGCACACCCACGTACTAACTTAAATATATACATATAATTTTTTTCATTATTCCTGTCTGTACTGAACAAAATTTTCTCTTCTTTCTTAAATGTTAGAATATTTTAAATAAACTCAATTATATGATATACGCCTCTAAATACTAATCTACCTTATATACATGAATTCGAAATAGACAATATCTTCTAATAAATACAGATTAGGTATAATCACAATTTGCTTAGGAAAGCTTTTTTATCCCTGGTGATGACATCAACCTTGGATGTATCATAGTTAAATCTCTTGAATACCACGTTTTTACTCTTACTCTTAGTTTTACTCTTTTCATCTGTTTGAACTTGTTCAACTTTACTTACTTCTTCCGAAAGAACTGGTTTCAAATATACTCTACGTAAGTGAACTTCATCTGATAACGTCAAAAATTTACTAGCGTCCTTAAATAAATCTTTCAATTTTTTTACGTCTTTCTTTGTAGTTAAATTGTTGTGAACTTCATCTAGTGCTTTGACTAAGTTCTCTCTGGCATCTGTTTTATCACCTTCCGTCATAAATGCTCCCAATTCAAACTTATTCCCAAATGATACGGACGAGTTTAACAATGCTGTTGTAGAATCAATCTCTTGTAACTTGGTAGCTCTTGCATCCTTATCGGTACCTTCTTTCTCAGCCTTCAATTGATATTCCATTTCTATATATCTTTTCGAATAGAATTGCGCATCTCCTAATAAAAATCCATTTCTTAAACAGCTTCTTAGACGAACAAGATAGTCAGTAGCCAAATTTATATCGTCCACCTTTATTTCTAACTTTTTCAATAATTTTTGATAACTCTTTTTTAAGGCTGCTCTCTTTTCAGTACGGTTTTCCATTTCAGCTTTTATACTTTCAGATGCCAGGTATTCCTTTCTAGGTAGTGCTCCCTCTTCTTTTTGTGCCGCCTTTGAATTATCTAGTAAGGTATGACCAAATCTCCTTGGAGTAGGCTCAAAGTGGCTAGTAGGTAGAGTTGCATCTTTATTCAACGCAATACCTATAAACTTCCTCTTTGGATGGAATGGATCCAAGTAATATCTAACGAAACCAGGTTCCAAAGCAAATAAGGTATGGTCCTTCCCGATACCAACATATTCACCTGGGAAGAATTTTGTGCCACGTTGACGCATTAGAATCTGTCCAGTTTTTACTTCTTGTCCGTTGTATTTCTTTGGACCCAGTCTACGACCGGCAGAATCCTTCATCGATGTACGAGAACCTGCTGCTTTCTTAGTAGCAGTACGTATCTGGGTAAAGAGAAACCCTGTTTTGTTTAACTGGAATGGGATAATTCCATTTAACATCGTTTTGTAAATATAGATGAATTAATACGTTTTTAGACACTTTAGAAAATCTACTTTTATGAACAAGTATTAGTTTTAAATAGCTTTTCTGTTTAAAAAAGAAAGTTTTATTTATCATCCTTATAAACCAAATCGTTTTCTTCATATAGTTTTTACCTTAAACTTTCACGTTGATTTTACGCATATGAACTTCTCTCGAGCGAAAATTAAAATGCACATCGTATTGAGTGATTTTATTTTACAACATTTTTTGTCATAAAAACATAACTAACTTATGATATATGTGCTTCTGTAAAATATTATCTTAGATCCACAAATCAAATCTCATTCCATTTATGCTGTAACAACAATGTTCCAGTTAAATTTTGTTAAATATCAAAAATATGTAGACCTGCATAAAGTTAATTTCAAATTGTTCTACACAGTATTTTATTTTTTTTCCCACTTAACTTGACGTAACCTCTTAATATGGAACACAACTGAACTTTTAATAGGAATGTGACAAGAAATGCTCATTTTTCTTACTGGGATTAGCTTCTGTTGTATAAGCCTTTTCGTTAGAAACTTTGAACATAAATAATTTTGTTTTGGGGTCCCTCACCTTTCATGTAAATCAAATAACACTATTATTGGCACATTCACAAATTTAAGTGACCAAGTTTGAATGTTCTATAATCTACAATTACCTAAATCAAGTTATAAGAAAGTTGGTTGATTTACTCTTCTCGAACTCCATTTCATTTCTTCTGAAACTCATTAATCTCTGTGTAGCATATTGCTACATTTCGTTGGGTACATTCTTTCTTACAAATAAGAAATTAAGACTAACAACTAATATCATTTTTTTCATACCACTATTGGAATGGACGATATTTGTTGGTGGCACTCCCAATAATAGGACGGTTATGCTAGGAACATAACTGTATCAACACACTGCCAATCCAATACATTATTATTTGCGAAACTACAAACCTGTCATGTAAGGCACATGATTGAAAGAAAACTTAAAACAATATTAACCGGTAATAGATAGGTAAATTATACCTCATAAAGATCAATTTTTACTGCTTTTCCGATATTTGTTAACTGTCTATCCCTGGGAAAATCTTACGCCTTTTCTATAATCGGTCCTTTTCATTTTCAAACTCTTACTTTTCCGAAAAATTCATGCCCGAAATCCATGTCTTATGTACTTTAGTTATAACTTATTCTTTTCGGGTAGCGTGTACAATATAAAAAATAAAATCTTATAATATCTATATAATATTTTTTTATTTATCACGTGAATATCATAATTGTTAAATAATTATATGACAGAGATAGTTAGTGTCGCCTAATAATTTTGCCCCTTTGCAATTAAATAATAACACGCTATGGTGAGGTGCTTAGTAATACTAATGGTAATTAAAATTTACTAACTCTCCTTCTTCTGTTTGTCATATATATAATAACTTCAAAGAAAAAATACCTTTCACTAAAAAACGGAATTCTTTAAGGAAAATATTTTGCTTTACGTGTAATAGAAACTTATTCTTTTGACCACCAAAAGAATGTGCCACGACAACATTTTTGATAGGAAGGTTAAATAACTAAGGTACTTTTCACCAGGATAGAGAAGATCTACCAGTTGAGATTGTTCGAATAATATCTTTTCAAAAGATACGGATACTGCTGATTGGGTATAAATAAAGAAATGACAATGTATTCTATCTACAAAACTAGAAATTTCAAAATCATTTTAGAGCTTGAATAGTTTATTTGACGCCTTTTATTTCATTCGTACTTATCCCAATTATATATCTCTTCTTAGCTGTCATTTCTATTGTAGACGTTAATTCTTTGGTGTCTTCTATTACTTGCAAAGAGGCGTAGCCATTTCTTCTGGCTTCAATGGCCTAAAACCGCAACGCTCGAAAAAAAAAACGAAAATAGCCAAATGATTATTTTGATCGAAGAGAGCAAGACACGTAAAGCAATAGAAAAGGTTGCTATTACTTGCAATACATTTAAGAAAACTTACAAAACAGTACCAAGTAAGTACGTTTTTACGAAAGACATTGATACAAGAGAACCAAAATGGATTTTACTGATGACGATGGATTGGGGTCGGCCTCAGTCTCAAACCCTGTAATGAAGCACTATCTACAAACTAAGGCTCACTACCAGTTTTATATGGATAAGGTAACACCTCATACAAAAGAGAGATGGATTGGATTGACAGTAATGATTGCCCTTTTTGTTTTGCGTATAGTTACCTCTCAAGGTTGGTATGTTGTTTGTTATGCTTTGGGTATCTATCTATTAAGTCAATTTTTAGCTTTCTTAACACCAAAATTTGATATGACTATCCAACAAGACGAGGCTAACCAAGAGTTAGAAGCAGGGGAGAGAACAGATGAATTTCGTCCGTTCATTAGAAGATTACCAGAATTTAAATTCTGGCACAACGCCTTCAGAGCAACAGCTGCATCTTTGCTGGCCACCTTATTCTCTATTTTTGATATTCCTGTGTATTGGCCAATCCTGTTGATGTATTTCATTATGCTATTCTTATTAACTATGAGAAGACAAATCCAGCATATGGTTAAATACAAATATATCCCACTTGATATTGGTAAGAAGAAATATAACTCCCAAAAATAATGAGTTGCTGTATCTTTGAATATGATATTGATATTCTTCAACTCTACAGACACCTACATTGATTTATAATTGTGTAAAATTATGTACTAAATACTTCATTCATCATTTTACAGATTTTTTTCAGTTTAGCACAGACATAGTATATGCGTAATCTTCGTACGTATCGTCGTGTTTGAGTAATACCTTCGAGAGAAATGGTTGCTATGACAGAAGTTGGGCATCCCAAATGTGTTCGGCACCATTCACAAGAAATAGTGGATCCCAATTCAAAATATTCAATGTAATAGAGAAACTAAGGTGAGAAAAAGAAACGTTGAACTATTGTTAAAAGAAAAGTCAGTAAAACTAAATGAAGTAATTACTAATAGATAATTATGAGTGAATTGTAGAATTTATTCGGTAAAAGTTATTGAAGGTCGTTCTCTTAAATAAGATTCTTTTAGTAAATTGTTGTCTCTTTTCAAAAGAAATATTCTCACTTTTTATTAGCCGCTGGGCTAGAACGTAATATAAATGCAAGAGGAAAGAAGCCTGTACATATTTTATATAAATCTGATTGAGTTAGGACAAATAGGCTGAAAATTTGACCCTGACTTGAACAAATTATTTAGTTTTTTAATTCAGAGTTTTTCATAATAACTTCTTCAGCTACTATTCTCTAAATTACTTACTTTCTAAAATGATTGAAAAATATTTGAAGCAAAGAAAAATAAATTAAAAAACAGGAACCAAACTAAATGTAAAAAAAAAAAAAATGAAAAATTTCATTATTGTGAAAATATAAGCAACAACTGTAATTAAATAGTCTTAAAGATTCAGAACCTGTTAGTTTATTCATTCATATATCTAAAATACTAAGGAATTTAAACATCAATGAGGATTTTAAAGATAGAAGAAGGTTCTGTTAACAAGGAAGGTGCTGTGATATCCTTACTCCCAGAAGATAAAGAAGATTTATTCACGTTATATCAGATCATTGACGAAGAAGATGAACTGATTTTTAAAAAGAAGTTTTCGTCTAGAAAGGATGAGGATTCGAAGAAGACAAATACTGACTTGGTTTTACTTAAAATCCAAGTTGTATCAAGTGAGTTTGACATTAATGATGAATTTTTGAGATATAAAGGTAAAACAGTTACTGATGATACTGGAAGGGCCAATGCTGAAGTTCCTGTTGGTAAGTTCATAAGTTTTACAGTGAACTACTCTTATCCATTCACCATCATTAAGGAAACGTTTGACAAACACTCTCGTCAGTTATTAAACGAAGCTTGTAACCCAGAGGGTAAATCTGATACAGCAGCTGTAGTATTGCAAGAAGGGATTGCCCATATTTGTATTTTAACACCATCATCTACCATTCTAAAACAAAAAATAGAATATAGCTTACCCAAGAAGAAACGTGGTACCGATATTATGAAATATGATGAAAAAACTGATAAGTTTTACAAAGGTATATATGCAGCAATGAATAAGTATTTTGATTTTGAAAAATTGAAGATGATTATTCTGTGCTCTCCTGGATTTTATGCAAAGACTCTAATGGATAAAGTATTAGAGTATGCGAATGAAGAGCGTAATAGTGCAATTTTAAATAATAGATCAAGATTTTTAGTTGCTCATTGTTCCACTGGTTATATGCAAGGTATAAATGAAGTCTTGAAGGATCCAGCATACACATCTAGTTTAAGTGACACCAAATACTCTAAGGAGGCTGTTGTAATGGATGATTTCTTAAAACATTTAGATGATGATGATTATAAATCTTGGTATGGTGAATTTGAAATTTTCAAAGCTGCTGAATTAGGTGCTATTGCTTCATTGCTAATCACTGATGCTAAATTACATTCCGGGAATGTGAAAGAGAGGAAAAGATATCTTGATATGATGGATACAGTTGAACATAATGGTGGAACAGTATATACATTTAGTACATTGCATGATTCTGGGGAAGAATTAGAAAAGTTGACAGGTATTGCATGTATTTTGAAGTATCCATTACCTGATCTTGATGAAGATGTAGAGGATTTTGATTAATGATAATTGTAATATTACAAAATGACCATCATCAGGCTTGGAGCTATTTATTTATTTCGTATATATATATATATATATATATATATATATATATATATATATANNNNGTGAAATACTACTCGAATTTTTCATAAACGTGGTAACATCATAATCTTTTTTGATAAATGGTGTTCTAAATGGAAAAGTATTACTATATTTTAAGTTTTTTTTAAGCAAAATATTTATAAGTAGTTAATATAATTTAAATGAATGAGTTAGAGATAATATTTTAAGAAAAGAAAATTATATGAATTGAAATGAAATATATCAGATCTGTTTGCTTGTTCATTGTTTCAATGCTAGAAACGAAGATAATATGAAATAAAAAATAAAATGCCAGCATACATTAATTATTATCCAAGTAAGTAAAAGACTCATCATAAAGCTAATAATAAGTTTAGTTTATAGTTCAAAGCACTAATTGTGTTTCTATTAGGGGGGGCGCAAGAAAAAAAAAGATTTAGTTAATATATCTCCTTTTATTTATCCAAAGCTAAAACCAAAGCAACTCTACTTGGGATATAAACTTGAATGAAGTTTCTTCTATTATTCCATTCTAAATCAGTAGTGAAAAACTTTGAATTTTCATCAATTCTATCATGACCACCAAACTTAGCACGATCAGTATTTAAAACAATTTTATAAGAACCTGCTTGATCTACACCAATTCTATAATCAGTGAAACTATTCGTTGGATGGAAATTAAAGATAAATAATAAACCATTACGTTCAAATGCGACAACTTTATCAACTTCATGTTTTAATGAAACATAAGCTTGTGGAGTATTTAACCATTGATGTTTCATTTCACAATGTTGCATAGCACTATCGAAATCATTTAAATGTTGATAACGTAATAAATTATCATCAATCAAATTAAATTGTCTACGAGCATAATGATAAGAATCATTATTATTAATATTTGGGAAATCTAACCATTCTGGATGACCAAATTCATTACCTTCGAAATTTAAATAAGCTTCACCACCAAGCGAGTGAGTTAACAATCTAATCATTTTATGTAAAGCAATACCACGATCAATAATTGGAGTTGTTTCTTTTAAGACTGTCATATCTGTATACATAGCAGCATCCATTAACCAAAATGCTAAAGTTTTATCACCAACAAGAGCTTGATCATGAGATTCTGCATAAGCAACAACTTTTTCAGCATATCTTCTATTAGTTAAAGTATGAACAATGAAACCCATATCCCAATCTTCATCTTTTTTCTCTTTTAATAATTTAATCCACATATCAGGTAAAGCCATTGCTAATCTATAATCAAAACCTGCACCACCAATATTACGTGGTAAACAAAGAGTTGGATAACCTGAAACATCTTCTGCAATTGTAACAGCTTGATCAGGTAATAATTCATGAACTAAATCATTAGCCAACATTAAATAAGCTAAAGCTTCATGATCAACACCTGATCTTTCCTTTGATAAATATTCATTATAATCACCACTAAATGCACCACCTGCACCAACACCATGATGTAAATATAACATTGAAGTAACACCATCAAATCTAAAACCATCAAATTGATAAATATCAATGTAAAATGCTAAATTTGCTAAAAGAAATCTTTGAACTTCAAAACTACCATAATTAAATAATCTTGAATCCCATAAAGGATGTTCACCTCTACCACCTGAAATTGAATGGAAATATTGATGATCTGAACCATCAAATTTATTTAAACCATCTTCAACATTTTTTGATGCATGACTATGAACAACATCTAATAATACTAAGATACCCATACCATGTGCAGTATCAATTAATTCTTTTAAATCTTCTGGTGTACCATAACGAGAACTAATTGCAAAAAAATTTGTAACTTGATAACCAAATGAAGCATAATAAGCATGTTCCATAATTGCCATTAATTGAATTGCATCATAACCTAAATATTTAATTCTTGGTAAAACATTTTGAGTAAAATCTTTATAAGTTGCAATTTTTGGTTCAGGTGATGAAATACCAATATGAGCTTCATAAATTCTTAATGAATCATTTGATAAATTAAATTTTGGTCTATTATTTTTAAAAATATATTGATTTTCTGGATTCCAAAATCTACCTTCATAAGTTGGACCAAATTGTTTTTGAGTTTCTTTATTTGGTTGAGTTGTTCTCGTAATCCATGCAGGCAATCTATAAATATCTGAACCATCATTTAAAACAAATCTAACTTTAATTTTTGAATCATGTTTAATTGCAAAATCATTTGTTATTGGATCCTTTGGAATAATAATTTTAAAATTACCAAATTCATCCCTTTCATTTAATTCATGAGATTCTGGATTCCAATTATTAAATTCACCAACCAAAAAAGCTTTCTTTGCATTTGGTGCCCATTCTTTATAAACAATTTCTTTTGTAGTTGGATTTGCATGTAAACCATAAGATTTATAAGAATCTCTTGCAAATTTTGATAAACTCTGAATTGAACCATCATTTGTTGAATGTTGAATATCATATTGCCATTTATCAGCTAGATATCTCCTTTCAGAAAGAACTTGAGCATAAGGTTCTAACCAAGGATCAATATCAACTGCACCTTTAACATTTTCTGGAATATTAGACATAATTGTTTAAAAATAATAATAATAATAATAAAACGATCTTATAATCCTTTATTTTTTTCTTTGGTTCTTTTATCTTTAATCGATTGAGTATGTTTTTCTTTCTATAACAAAAAAAAAAAAGTTAGGTAAACAAATATATTATTGATAAGATGAAAAATAAGTGAAAATAAAGAGAGACAGATAAAAATGAATTAAATATAAAACAAATTAGAATACACCTTAACTATTTATACAAATTAATTAAATTGGTCTCTCAACAATTTAATTACTTTAATATTAAAATATTTTTACTGGTTGCAAACAAGCAGAATATATAATTTTCTAAGAACTATTATTATTATTATTATTACCAAGTAAGTACAAGTTCCCTGTTTTCTCCTATGAAACAACATGTCAAACGAAAGAAAAAAAAAAGAGATTAAATTTAAAGTTGAATAGTGGGGCGTGTAAATTAATAGTACGAAAAACAAAACAAAACTTTGAAATTTATGTATTTACATACATACATACATCGTTAGATTAATATTATTAGAGGGGTTCTATATGGAGACGAGAGATACAGTTTCTTACTCTTTAATTTAAGCAAAAAACCTTTTAATTCATCCACTTTTTAATTTAATCTCTTCTTCTACTTTGTAATAATAAAAAATATAAATTATTCTGATTAACTCAGTATCTTTAACATATTATTCACACTGTTATTGTATTTGCTACACGTTTATATGAGTATAGTACGGTCAATATGCAATTTTAAGGGGTTATTAAATGCAAAATTTGGGTGGGTTGATTCGACTGATTTTGATGTGAGAGAGTGAGTGGGTGGGGGGAGGAAGGAAGGCGGGAAGGCCGGAGAAGAAGACCGAACAGTGCAACATAAAGCAAGAGAGAAGAAGGCTAAAATATATTTCACCAGATAATATATGGTATCCTCCTGTTTCTACGTCTTTTGTGTGTATGTATTTGTTGTTTATATTTTTTATATACCTGCAATCGAGTATTTTTGCACGGCATGTTGTGTTAGACTGCTACGTAACGCAGTAGAAACCGAAAATTAAGGGGGGGCGGGCAGGGCAGAAGGAGGGGCAAGCAAACTGCAAAACAAACAAAGAGAGAGAGCGAGAGAGAGAGACACAGAGAGGGTTTGCGCAGTGCAAATATAGGAGTGGCGGAACGGTCCAAGTCCCCGTTGCGTGGTGGTAATAACAATAATGCTGGTGAGTTGTTATAGGAAATATCTAAAATCTAAAATCCCCGGACATGGTTATACAGTTAACACATTACGCAGACACACACACATGCTTATTTAGTAACAACAATAAAACAACAGATTTCACATTCAATAACACTGTACTACTACTACTACTAATAATGCTAGAATACTATTTTATAATGGCATTCTCACTTTACAAGACTACCCAGACGTGTCAGCGTTTTACAGCGTAGAGAGATGTATTAATCTTATGATACAGATACACATCACTGGGCACGAAATGTGACATATATTCCTCTTCATTTAATTTCAATGAATACTATACTATCTGCAGTCAGGCTCTTGATTGATCCTATCCATATATATATAATTTTTTGTTATGACGATAAAATTCTTAAGAATTTATATATTTTGAAGTGTAATAAACAAAAAAAAAAGAAGAACAAAATAAGTCGAAAATTGATTATGCTGAGTTGTATATATGTATGTATGTATGTATGTATATAATGTATGTAATAATATTTTTTTCTAAATATTTAAGAGGATGAATATATTGTGGTAGTAACTATTATTATCTTAATGAAAAATGATAATAAATTTATATCTTTATGGCTATATCTTACTATCTTCTTGATCTTGATCTTCATCGTCACTTAATTCAATATCACTTAAATCAGATAATTCTTCACCATCTACATCTACATCTTCATCTTCTTCTTCCTCTTCCTCTTCATCGTTTACTATAACATCGACATTATCATCACTAATATCTTCATCAGATGTCATATCATCAGAATCACCAAACATTGCCTTATATTTCTTTTCTGTTGCATATTTATCAATATATTCTTTTATCTTTTCTTCATAAAGTTGTTTATCTCTTAATTGTAATGTTGCAGCTTCATTATTTAATGGATCACTACCATTCGGTTCTTTTAATAAACCTGGTATCATCCATTCAACAATATTAATTAAATCATATAACGGTGACCAAGTTGAATTTATTACATCTAAACATATTGAACCTGATGCAACATCAATATTTGGATGAAATATTTTATTAACAAATCCAATACTTGGAGATTTATATGGATAATTATCAGGTAATTCAACATGTAATCTCCATAAACCACCTTCATATGGTGTATCCTTTGGACCAATTAATTTAATATAAAATTCTTGCATATTATCATTAATTAATTGAACATCATGATTACTCATTAAAAGTTTCATTACATCTGTTTCGATTCTTCTCTTTGGATTACCACTCATTTTTTCCCCTTTTGTATGTATGCCTGTGTGTATATATGTATATTTGTAGTTAATTTTTTCAAAATTTCTCTTATTATGCCTAATAAGTTCTACCCTTTTGATATATCTTAAATCTATTTTTTTAAAAAAGGGTTATGATAATAATATTTTTTGGTTCTTTATCTCTATTTATCTTATTTTTTATTTTTAATTTTTTTTACCAAAAATAAAATGGATGAACGGCGTTAGAGTAAGCGAGCAATATTAATAAATATCATAATAATTATTTAATATATATATATAAGGAGAGAGAGAGGGTGTTAAAAATTTTATTAATGCGGGGGGTAGAAAGAGAGGAGATAACATACATGTTTAAACCTTCTTAAGGGTTAATGATCATATATCATATACTACCATGTATCTTAGTAATTATAGTGATACCCATTAGATTTTGTTTAATAATGACGTATATCTTTTGAAGATATAGAAAATAAACCAAAAACAGAGATATCCTTGGCTTGACTGGAACAAAGAAAACAGAAGTTCTCTTTATTATAATTATATGAATCACTAACAAATTAGAAAATTTCTTTATGCTATTTTTTTTTATATATAAGAAAGTTACAATAATACAAAACAATATATCTATAAAATAAAATATGATATAATTGAAATTAACCACTAGGTTAATAAGAAAAAAAAATTAAACATTAGAATTAAAAATTAAAGTATGGTTGATACACCTATCAGGTGTGTAATACCAAATATTTCACAAATCGGTTTTATTTCTTTAAAAAGCTTTTTTTTTCATATGACGATCAACTAATTTAGGCTGGGTTTTTTCTTTTTACAAAAGACAGTACTCAATACTCAGGCATAGTACTTATAATTATGCTCTATAACTTTTTGATTTACTCTTATGACTGTTTCTTTTTTTGCTTTTATGACTCCTCTTCTGCCTTTTTTCTTTTTTATTCTTTTTATTCTTTTTCCCTTTGACATCTTTTTGAATATTTAAGGCATCTACTTGTTCACCGGTTAAACGATGCACTGCTCTCAAATGTTTAACGAGATGATCTTTTCTCTTAAACCTTTTTACAATGCAAACAGAACAACCGTATGGTCTTTTACCAGAATGTAAGCTTCTACTATGTCTTTTTCTATGCGCTGAACTTTGACACATCCTTGGACAATGTTTACACTTCCAGAGTTTTTTCTGTTTAGCATCAACTTTTTCTCCTCTATTATTTACCATATTTTCAATATACATGGTCTTTTTGGCTCTTTTTCTTTGTGATACTCTAACTTCTTTAATTTCTTGTGAAGTCTCATTTATACAGTCCTCTTGTGAATCTTCATCCACATTTCTTTGTTGGGATATTTCACCACTATCAATTTTTTTGGAAGATCTCTCATAACCATTTATTTCAAAATTGACACCAGAAAGTGATTCGATTATTTCTCCATCTTCTGTTTCCACAGTATATATATATTCCGATGACGACGATGACGATGACGATGACGATGACATAGAACGCCCATTTTCTGTTGGACTCTCTTGATTCTCAAGAACTGGAAGATCAACTTTCTCTTCTTGGACAACAGTTGATACACTTTCTTCAGAGGAGAAAATATCATCATTTATTTTCAACATATCTGCAATCATACTGTCGGCCAATAAATTGAAATCACCTGAAATATTACTATTATCAGATTCAAAATTAGAAGAGCTATCATCCGGTGATACAATTGCTGAAACATTAAATAGATCATTAGAATTATTTAATCCCTGAACAGAGATGTCAGATTCTTCAGGGGTTGTTTCCTTAATGAGCATGCTAGAAATCTCGGAGTTTGTTTCATTAATGAACATATCTAATGTCTCAGTATTCGTTCCATCAAAGAAAATGTTAGATTCTTCACATTCTAACGATAAAAATTCACTAAAATTATTAAATTCAGAAGTCATCCTGTAATAAAGTCTCTTAAGTGTTTGATTGCTTTGATGTATATTATAAAAGTAATAATAATTTTATTATTGATATTGTTAGCTGTTTTGATTTTAGCAATAGGAGAAATAAAATAAAAAGTGTGACATGAGCAATTGTAATTAATTTGAAAATAATAGGAACCTACTCTTACTTTTATATAATTTAAAAATTATTAATTTTAATCAACTATCATCTTTTGTAAACGATTAGAAAGGTCTTTATTGAAATGATTTACTAATATCTAAAAGGTGTTCGAAAGTGTCTTTTCATAATATCTTTCGGAGGAAATCATATAAAAAAACAAGGTATTTTCTTTCTTTTATTTAAGATTTTAAAAATTTACCTTCAATTGCCATTTAATAAAAAGAACTAAATCTGACATATTACTCTTTTTTTTACCTACAAGTGAATCATGCATAGTCATCGCTATCTATTTCATGCGACTCACGAAAACTAATTTAGGTACCAATAAATGCTATACACATCAAAAGGGTATTTGGGTGTCTACAAAATGGGAGTAGGATGTTTCCATATGAGTTATTACTAAGTCACTTTAGTCATGTTTCAGTATATCTTTTAGCAATGGGCAAGAAAATTAATATGATGGGCTGAGAAAAGGTAGTACAAGGTATTATAAAAACCGATAGAATATTCTTAAAACACACCTAGAATTCATGATGCCAAGCACTCCTTCTACAGAGATTTAACATCTTTTATGTTTACCTTTCCATATGATGTCACATTTCCAGGTCTATAGGATCTACACATTTTTGTTTATGTTTTGTGTCATATTTTTTAGCCCCGCTGCGGGGGATAGGGTCTAACCAAAAGTATACCGAAAAAAGGTAAAGAAACACGAATAGAACATAGTAAATGAAAATAGTCACCAATTGCTCGTTAACTGTCTGGTGAAATAATCGTACTCATATTTTAAATCGTATATTATTAAGATAGTTGTTGTGTACACGAAAACGTGAGTATGAAATGCGAAATTGAAAAAGGTGTATTTTGTGCGAAGGAGTATGAAACCTCTCTCTTTCACCTCACAATGTTGGCTCCAGAATGTATTCTTATAGGATACTTAATACATGTGGTTATTAGGATGTATCAAAATTATTAGGTTACAGTTAACGCACCTGTCAATTAAGCCAGCGTGTTTGTAACCACTATCCAGCTTTATTTATATCTGTCAACATAGTACTTTAATATTAAAGGTTTGGAATTGTGAATTTTTTTTTTGACTAGTCTTTCACATAAACTTCAGGTAGAAGGATATTCTACCATTAACTCTCTCTTCCAGCATTTTGAACTTGTTGATTGTAAATTGATTTGTCCTTATTGAAGGGTAAAAAATCTTTGTTGCGCATTTTCTTAATCTTTATGTAAATTTTTCAGTTGGCAAAAAAAGAACTAACGCACAAATAGATCAAGACATTGAGGTACTCTGAAAAACTCGAGACTAGATTGTTTTGATTGAATGTGATATCAAAATTCCTTTCTCCTCGGTAACGGTTAATAAAATGTAGGAAAAACACACAATAAGCGGTCGGAAGCTCGGAGTCACTCTAAAGTGTATAACTGTACAAATCATTGCTGAGGTAATAAGAAGGCCTCTAAAGCAGTATTTTTACATGTACCTTCTTGGAAAAGTTTTGTAAACACTAAAATTATCCTTACTACAGAAATAGAGAAAGTTAATGTAAATATATACTTAACACCTGTCAGTGCTTAATAGAATACCACGGAACAACATACATTAACCATCCGAGATTTCGAAACACAAATATTAGTGCTACCATTGAGTGAGAATTATTAATGACTGTGACAATAAACTAATAAACGTGTAAAGAGGCAATTATTTTTGTTTCCCATTCTTCCAATCACAACTTTTATATTTTATAGACCAATAAAGTTAAAGGTGTCAGAAACTAAGGGTAACTTACTGTGACACTTAGTCCAAAAATATTGTAAGAGACCAGCAAAAATATTTAAACCAGCACAAAACATAAAAAACAAAAACAAACCAGCAATATATGCAGGTGAGTTGTTTAAGAAAAACTAATGGTATATATAAAGCCATTATTGTAAAATAAGAAATATTTATGATTAAGTAATTTGAAGATTATATAATTTAAAATAACCGATCAATTATCATATTAAAAAATGTCCGAATTACATTTAACTAACAAACAAGAAATTAAAGAATCAACTGAGAGAAAAAACTTTAACTCAGATTCTCTACAAAAGGAATATACGTTGAGTACAATAACTTTTAATATGTTTAAGAAACAACATAGATTAAATTATATTCCAGAATAAATGTCGCCTCTAGTTGAAAAAAAGAAGAACCCAGACGCCAGTTAAAGTAAAAGAAGAGAGTCTCAAAAGAGAAAATCAATAAAACGAATAATCTCAGGTCAAACTCATGCATATGGCCAACTCTATCATACTTATAATAATTTCTATATTTTATGAATTGATATCTGACACAATTAAATATTAAAGTAGAAGAACAAACACTAATAAATCGATTAAAGATCAATAATACACACAAATTTCAAAATTAATGTAATTCTTAGAATAAAAATTACAACAACAAATTATAAATAATTTGGGCGTGTGGCGTAGTTGGTAGCGCGCTCCCTTAGCATGGGAGAGGTCTTGGGTTCGATTCCCAACTCGTCCATTATTTTTGGTTTCGGCGGCTGTCGAATAATTTTTATTTTTTTAGAGTAAAACTAAAGTAAAAGCTTTATTAATTATTTAGCAAATTGAAAATATATTAAATAAGGGAAAATTATCAATATTTAAGAACTACGTATCAATTTGCAAAACCTAATGTACAAATATCTAAATTTTTCATTTGATTTAATAAATTTTCAATATTTCTATCCAAAGTACCATCCATATAATTATTCCTCGACTGTGGATCAATATATTGTTGAACTTGAGATAATCTTGTATATGATTCTGTACTAAATCTATATTGAATTTTTACAAGAGCTTCAAATGATGCATCAAAAAATGGTACTCTTAATTGAATTAATTGTGGAAGTTCTTGTTTTAATTGATTATTAAGTGATTCATAAATTTCTTTACTTAATTGCAATTCTTTTTCAGATGTTGGTAATTTATTAACATCCTTTGATGGTTTATCTGTTAATCTTCTAACTTTAGCCTTTGCAGCTTCATAATCACTTTTTTTATGTTGTCTTTTCTGTACAGCTTCATCAATTTCTTTAAAATATCTTTCGAATTTTAAACTTGGGTTCATTACAGTTTCGATATATGGTTCATCCAATTTTTTCATAACTTGAGAATCTATATCTTGAACAGTTTGTAAATAGTAATCATTTGCATTATGTTGGGATTTATTACTATCATTATTTAAATTTTGAATAACTTCTGCAATTTTTAATTGTGATGACGAAACAATTCTAAAAGAATCCAAATAACCTTTTGATTCAGTGACTAATTGTTGACAATTTTTCTTTAATGTAAGGTATTTTCTTTCTTCAGATTCAAAATCTTTATCATTAATTTTATCAATATCTTTAATAATTACTGTATTACTTGCTCTTTGAACGGCTTTTTTAAAACCACCCCAACTCATTTTTTTCTTTTTCTTCTCTCTCTCACATATATGTAATACTTTGTTTTTAAAGTAATAGATGGGAAATTCGAAATATTTTAAAATTCCTCTCGAAACAACTCATTTATATATATCTAATGAGATACATTAATAAACGAAGATTCGTTTCCCCTTTTTTTTTCTTTCCTTCCTTTAATTTATTAATTATTTTTGAATCATTTTTGTCAATTCTTGACATTGCGCCACACATGAATTAAAAGGCGCGCAAACCAATGCTACTGCTACTACTTTAATAATTAGAGGATTATACTTAATTTTTCAAATAGCCACACATACAAATAATATAATTCAAGAAATAAAATAAAAAATTTATATTTTTTAAAAATTGAGTATATATGTCATTAAGTAATTATTATTTATATTCATGTTCTATGTTTTTTTGCTTTCTTTTCGTTAATGTTATTTTTTTTTCAAAAAAAGACTTTTTCATTACTTGGTAAAGGAATTGGATGTGATGCAATATATGAATTTTGTTTATTTGCTACACCTGCATAAGCATTATACCAAGCAATAAATGAAACAATTGTACCAATAACACCAGAAGCTCTTTTAACATTATCATTTCTTGTAAATTCACTAATTGATAATAATAAAAATGTTAGGCCTAATAAGAAAAATAATGCAAATAATGCAATTGTTGATTTCATTGTACATGTACAAATTCCCCAAGTGAAAATACACCAACCAAGTAAGTAAAATCCCATTGCATTTGCTAATTCATCTTCTTTACCTTGATAAGCGTCAATTATACCAAACCATGGTATATTAATTGCACCAAAACTTAGCCAAAATCCGCCAAATGAGCATAAAGCTGTGCCACCAAATGTATTTTCTAAAGAAATCTCCCAAATACCTGCAATTAATTGTGTTAAACCACCATAAAATATTGCTAAACCAACAACAATGTTTGGAGTTTCAATACCTTGAGCTCTTGCATTACACATTGATAAAACAAATGTTGTTAAAGCAAAAGCTGAAAGTCCTAAAGGAGCAGGGTTTGCAAATCTATGCACAGGAGCAGGTGCTAAACCAGGTTGCAAGGTACCACCAAATGCTTCATATAATTCACTTCTTAAAAATTTTTGTCTACCAATATAAACATATTGATTATTTTCACCTGTTGTAAAAATTCTTAATAAAGATCCTTCACTTTGTGCTTCACTGTGTAAATCATTATTTGAATAAGTATCAGATGTATCTTTCATTGAACTATTATTTGTTCTATCATTAGTCTTTTTTGAGATTATATCTTCATGTTTTAAATATATTGGATTATTTTCTTCTGAATCAACAGAATTTAAAGCTGTTATACCACTACTTTCCTCTATAGATGATCTAGGAGAATGGGACATTATATTGTGTGTGTGTGTGTGTGTTTAATATATATAAATGTATTTTCCACGTGTATATTTTGACACATATAAGAGAAATAATAAATTAATAGAAAGAATGAAAATCAAGAAAAAGGAAATCGAAATAAGAGAATAAATGTTTTACATATCTATATATATGAGATCTAAAATTCTAACAGGATTTCATTTTACAGTTTATTCAAGTTAAATTAAAAAACAAACAAACAATGAAAAAATAATCAGACAATAGAAATATTGTTACTAGTTATAATATAGATAGATAGATGACTATAATAAGTGGAAAAATAAGAAGAATCGTCATCGAAATTAAACTTTCTAATAAGGTGTTTATGAGGAGGGAACTAAAGAAAGTTGAAAAAAGTTTATCAAGACAGGTTTAAACAAATTGAAATCATCTTAAGGTACAACAAAACACCGTTAAGCATACATCAGAAACAAATAATATTCCACGGTAATTATTACCTGCCATTCACAAAATATCATTAATTTGTGTGCTTAGTGCACTACTAGTACATATAATAAGAAATAAGAAGCGATTTAATCATTAAAATAAAAACAAGTGAGGGTTAAAAAAAGAACAAATATAGAGAAGTACAGCACGTTTAATATTAAAATATTCTTTAATATTCTATTAATTAATAAAGAATTAATAATATGTTCTTCTCTCTCTCGAAGTCCCCTCTATAAAATTTCTCTTCCAATCAAATATAATAGATATTTTTTTTTTCTATCTCCCTTGTTTCTTTTGTATTGTAATAACATATGTAATGTATGAGCCGTTCGATGATCATCTCTTTTCTTTTCAAAAGCATTTTTTTTTCGAGTTGCGTTAAAGTTCGGTATAACGGATCAATTGTCTCATGCTATTTTGCCTCAGCGAATTTCTGGAGGGAGGAGAAAAAAAAATACCCGTTCTTTTTTTTGTATTTCATAATTAATAATATGTACGGCTACTAAAAAAAATGTACTTCCAAAAAAACCGTGAATTTGTTTTAAAGTGATATATTGATCGGTTGATTTACAAACAATTTTTATGTGTTTTTTCTTCTAAAAAGAACCTGTATAGACACAGACAGAGACACATATACATATCTTTATATTTAAAATGACATATTGTTGCTTGATTCCATTCAACCGATGCGGGGGGAGGAGGTACCGGAGGGGGAAAGATAGGAAAATCAAATAAATACATAGTAAAGTGATTAATTGTTTTAAAACTCCGGTTTAATTACAATTAAAGGAAGAAAACCATTCTAAAAATCTGATAAATTTACATTGAAAAAGGATATAATCCCGATTTTAGTATTTCTTTAATGGTTGGATATACGCAATTGAAATAATTTAATTAAATTGTATATCAATTTATGCAACAGCAAAATTAAAATATGACACCACGGTTCATATATATAATTTTTAATAATTTCATCCCGCTTCTCGATATTAAACTAAATTATTTTTCGTGGTCTTCCCTGTTGTTTTTGGGTGTGTCTGTATGTATGTACGTATGCGAAAGTTATTTAATCTACATGAATATATATGTCGGTTACTATTGCGGAAAATACCACATACAAATTAAATATGAAGAAATTAAGACTGGGACAAATATTTCGTGAGAACGAACTGTATGTCTCGTTTTTATGCGATAATGAAACATGGGATATTTTATTTGTGCAGTCTAAGATATGTATGTGTGCGTGTGTCAGATTTTTTTTTTTTTTCAATTTTTCTCGCTCTTTTCAAATTTTATCATTAACTACGTCGACCCGGTTTTATAAACACTTATTGAATTTTATTACAATTATCTTTTTTTCCAATTAAAAGGGCTTCCTCTAATCTGTGTATGCGTAGAGAGAAGGAAGGAAGCAATATATAAAAAAAAGAAGAATCGCAGACATTCTAACCGTACGTAACGTACTTTGAATATTCTCACAGCATTTTGTTTAAACCAGAAAAAAAAATGACTGAAGATTCCTTGTGCCAAGTTTAACACAGTCAATGCGCAAGTAAAAGTATGAATATATATATGTAGGTACGTATTTACTGTGGGCTTCCTCGCTTATATACCATTTAAAACGAAAACAAACAACATTCAGAGGAAGAAATAAAGGTACCAAAATAATGTATACATTTGCCTAATAGTTTTGTTTTTTCTCGTTATAAATGCACAGCACTTGTGCAGTAGTACTTACTATCATATAGCATCCACAAACAAAATACGTTTAAAAATTTATTTAAGAGGAAAGAAAATGACGCACCTTTTAAAAACAACTTCTGTAATCTTAATTGACTACTTTTAATTCTTTTAAAGGGGGAGTCAGGTCGTTAGCTCAATAAATCTCTCTTTCTTTTATAAGCACGTACATACAGATTAGGGAAGCCCGGACTTCTCATAAATAATAATAGTTTCAAATTTGGAAGTCAATCGCAATTGAAATATATCTGTACAAATAAATATTTTACATAATGTCATATGACACCCACCTATCTTCATTCTAGAAACATCTTTTCTTACACACTAAAACCATTAATAAAAAATTTCAATATATCGAACAATTTTTAATCTCAAGATGACATAACAATTTAATATTTTGTCTTAGTTGTGTGGTACGTGGTATATTCACAACATGTCTTGTCTTTTCTACGCCCCTATTGAACAAACTATATTCTTATTTATTCAATAGAATCCCCTTAATAATATACATACAATTGCATATATTTATATTTATATATATATAAGTAAGTAGGTGGAACAATTTATATTGAATTCAATCAATTAATTTGTTAATCTGTTATTTTTTTCAAAGTTGTTTTTTTCTAAATTTTTGGTTTTCAATAAATCATCAAGAACTTTTATTCCCAGTAAAATGTCTCTATCCAATAAACTATCTGTTAAAGATCTAGATTTAAAAGACAAACGTGTCTTCATTAGAGTTGATTTCAACGTTCCATTAGATGGTAAGAAAATTACTTCTAATCAAAGAATTGTTGCTGCTTTACCAACTATCAAATATGTTCTAGAACATAACCCAAGATACGTTGTTCTAGCTTCTCATCTAGGTAGACCAAATGGTGAAAGAAATGAGAAATACTCTTTGGCTCCAGTTGCTCAAGAGTTACAAACTTTATTAGGTAAGCCAGTCACTTTCTTAAATGATTGTGTTGGTCCAGAAGTTGATGCTGCTGTTAAGGCTTCTGCTCCAGGTTCTGTTATCTTATTAGAAAACTTGAGATACCATATCGAAGAAGAAGGTTCTAAGAAGGTCGATGGTAAGAAGGTTAAGGCTTCTGCTGAAGATGTCACAAAATTCAGACACCAATTGTCATCTTTGGCTGATGTTTACGTCAACGATGCCTTCGGTACCGCTCACAGAGCTCATTCTTCTATGGTTGGTTTCGATTTACCACAAAGAGCTGCAGGTTTCCTATTGACCAAAGAATTACAATACTTCGGTAAGGCTCTAGAAAACCCAGAAAGACCATTCTTAGCTATCTTAGGTGGTGCTAAGGTTGCCGATAAGATTCAATTGATTGAAAACTTATTAGATAAGGTCGACTCCATTATCATTGGTGGTGGTATGGCTTTCACTTTCAAGAAGGTTATTGAAGGTACTGAAATTGGTGACTCTATTTTCGATCAAGCTGGTGCTGAAATCGTTCCAAAGTTGATTGCTAAGGCTAAGGCTAAGAACGTCGAAGTCGTCCTACCAGTTGATTTCGTCATTGCTGATGCTTTCTCTGCTGATGCTAACACCAAGATTGTCACCGACAAGGAAGGTATTCCAGCTGGCTGGCAAGGTCTAGACAGTGGTCCAGAATCTAGAAAACTATTCGCTGCCACTGTCGCTAAGGCTAAGACCATTGTCTGGAACGGTCCACCAGGTGTCTTTGAATTCGAAAAGTTCGCCGCTGGTACTAAGGCTCTATTAGATGAAGTCGTCAAGACTTGTCAAAATGGTGCTACCGTTATCATTGGTGGTGGTGATACCGCTACTGTTGCTAAGAAGTACGGTGCTACTGAAAAGATCTCCCATGTCTCTACCGGTGGTGGTGCTTCTTTGGAATTACTAGAAGGTAAGGAACTACCAGGTGTTGCTTTCCTATCTGAAAAAAAATAAGTAAAATAAGATGTAATTCTTTGAGTTAAACTTATAAACGTTTGTGTTTGTTCTAAACAAGAACAAAAACAATCTTACAATAGAGCAGAAGAACAGTTTATAGAAAAGGAAAAAGATTCTCCTGTTTCGTCTTTTCATTTTGTTTGATTACACACTTACATATGTTTGATTCTTTCTATCTTTTCTTAACTTCTTTATTTCGAACTTTTAGTATATATAAACGAATATATAATGCCTCTTTTAATGACATAAAAATTTTAAACTTTCTTTAAATGACTTTTTTCATAATGTATTACTTTGTTGTATAAGTGTAGTTATATCATTCCAGGTTTTGACAAGGTATGAAAGATTACCATTTTGTTTCTCTACAAGTACCAAGGATCTTAGATCTGAATCATTCATGAAATTGTTTATGATATCGATTTCAAGTCCCAATATATCCATTGTCAATTTAAGAAATTTCTTCTTATCCTCTTGAGGATCTAATAACAATACCCCATTAACTCGAGGATTTAAAATACAAAGAAGATCAGTCTCACTATCACCAACATACCAAAATTTATTGAGATTTTTCTGATTTTCATTTTTATCATCACATAGCTTATTTAATACTCGTATCTTATCTGATCCAGTTAATAATGATTTGGAAAAGTCACCTCTATATACATACTTCGTGTCTTCTTTTTGATCTAACAGGAGATCATTACAATAAATGTTTGAAGATGAAATATATTCTTTTGTAATTGTATCCTGGATAAATTCTCTAGACCAATTGATTGATATTACAAAAAGATTATCGATATCAATCTTTAAGGTCCTTAAACATTCAGTAAATCCTTTTCTCATAATGGAATTGACTTCTCCATTCAACAAACTTCCCACATAATTTGATACATCACGTAGACTAATACCTTTGAATAGATCATATTTTTCCATCTCTTGGATACTATTCAACTCTATATTCCTACATAGTTTTTGATACTCAATTTCCAATCCGAACAACACGTTATAATTTTCTTCGGTAATTCTATTATTCGAACCAAGGTTTTTAAGCAATGGTAAGGTTCTATTCTGAGAATATTTAGGTTGTAAACGATTGTATCCTTCCATATACGTTGTTTCAAAATGAGACCAATTTGGAAATGTGGGGGGTTTCACAAGATATGCCAATCTGGCAAATGCACTAATAGTATCTTTAATTGAAATTGTTTCATCAAAATCACAAATTAAAATATTCCTGAACATCTTGATCAAGATGAAGGGTATTAAATAACAATACGAATTTTAAATAAATCTTGCAAAATTGATTATGAAAATGACACAGTTGGTTACGTTGTTATAAGATAAAAGCATCAGTTTCCTTTATTATAATAATATTGTACTATACGTTTTTTCATTTTTGTTATCCCAATATTCCTCTTGAATCGCGCAGACTTGAAATTTCACGGAAGAAATAATTGAAAAATTTCAAACTGTGAGCTCATCGAAAATTTTCATTGCTTAACGAATGTGATAATTATTCATTTAGAGAATATCTACAAAAAAAACGAAGAATTCACATATACATATATGTATCCCCGATAATCTATAACTAAAGACATACAACGTTAATCATTTTGTTTCCTTTTCTCAAAGTATAGTTCAAACAACAAAAAAAGAAATGGAAAATACACATGTTCCTGCTTGGAAGAGGATAGCAATTAAAAAACAAAATAACGATGCCACTGATGACTTTAGTACGGAAGACCCATTGAATGTGACTACACATCTTTCCACTGGGTCCTTATCCAGAAAGGAGAAGAAGCGTATCATTAACAAAGATCCTGATCTTGGTAAGAGTAAAAATAAAGTTACAAAGACAAAGAAGGATAAGAAAAAATTAAAATTATCCAGAGAAGAAAGACTGCAAAAGAAAAATGTTGTATTGAAGGATCAACTGCGTTATTTGCTGGATTTTTATAAGACAAAAGTATCCGAAGATATTCCGAAGAGTGTATTAAATTTGGAAAATGTTAAGATGAACTATAGCCACAATGTTGAGGATACGGATAAAGAGCCACAAAGTTTGGTTGTCGATGTCTGGAAATTTGCCAAATCAAAACAAAACTGGTTAATTAAACATTTCTTTAATATCGAAGAGATCCCAATAGAGTATGATGATATATTGATTGAATATTTTAAAGATTTAAAGGGCAAAATGAAAGATGATCTAATACAAAAATGTCTAGCACAAATAAAGGACTGGAATGTTTATACGGTGGCTGAAGAACAGAAAATTAAAGACATGGTAGAAGGTAACGACAATAAGAAGGAATCCAAAGATGAAGATAAAAAAGGTGAAGATGGAGACAAATTAAATGATGATCCAGATAAGGATGGAGAAGATAAGGATGAGAACAAGAAAGAAGAGCAACCTGAAATTGTGCCTCCAAGTAAGTTTGTCGTTTCTAGGAGTCATAAACTATTAACGAGGTGGGCTCAATTCGAAGATGAAAGCATTGACAAGTCTAGCATGGAACTATTGAATTTCAGTCTATGATAAAGATATTATTCAATATACACTCTGTACATTATTTAATTACAAGTATTAGATAATATCATATTTAGATTCTAAATTTCTATATACATATTTCCAGTACAAAAGATAATGAAAAAAAAATATATAGCGGAAAAAGTTTGAAGACAGAAAAAAAGAGATGCCTCTAAAAAGTGGTAATTAAAATTGAAGTCATATTGGCAGACCATCAACATCAATAATCAGATAAAAAAAAGCGATACTCTTGAGAGTATAATGCTCAAACAAATAAAAACTGAAATATAGGAAATAGAATGGTAGATGAGCGAAGTGATATGAATAATAAGAAGTTAGGCACTGACGGATACAAATATATCGGAGATTTCTTAACGATGACTAGGAAATGGAAAACTTCATTTACCTCATTCTTAGAATCGCTAGATAACTATGAAGAGATTAGAACGATAATTTTAGATGAATGCAAACAATACTTGCTAGACTGTAGCCTTGATTCATCGATAACATCTCAAAATAAAATTGCAAGATGTAAACAGATACAGAATCTTCTTCAAAATGAGGAACCTAATACAACAGTCTGTTCAGATTCGAATCTAATCATAGAAGAGATAGATTTGAAAAAAAGTACATTTGGTACCACATCAACTAAACTGGAATTTGATTCGACTACTGGAAAATTAATCGAAGACCCATTAGAAAATTTGATCATCGAGGAATTGGATGTTGCAGATTTTAGCTAATTGCATTTGAATTGCTAGCTTCCGTGACAGTTATAATATCAAGAAATGAAGAAAATAGCAGCATCCTGATATATAACTGTGAGTTAAAACGTTCTTTTACTGTATAAACGGTAAAATACTTGATGAATAGATACAGCGATAATTTCGGACGAAACAGTACTTTCCATTCAATTTCATACCATAAAATCGAAACATTAAAAAGTTTATTTATCAATAAAATCAGTAACATAAGTAATATAAGTATCACTTTAATAAAAACAGTATGTGAAATATTTATGGCAAAAAAAATACAATACATAATAGGAATAAAATATTCTGAAATTTTGTTAAAAAAATAGCCCTGTAGGGGGCTCGAACCCCTAACCTTGTGATTAAGAGTCACACGCGCTACCGATTGCGCCAACAAGGCCTATTTTATTGAAAAATCCGACCTCTTAAGAGATACATTACATACTGAAAAATGTAGTGAAAAATCTATAAAAATCTAATTATTGACTTATTTGGGATAGCTACGCCCCCAGAAACGGTAGTATCTTATTAAAACACATAGGCAAAAAATTTGAATAGAAAAATCAACAATATCCTGTGGAAAGTGAGAACGTAATTTAGTGTTTTGACTACTCATTGTTAATTATTTAGCATACAGTATTTTTATTCTGAAAGGTTTAGACTGAAATTTGTCGTCCCTTTCTTTTAATTCTAATTTACATAATATTATACATTTAAATAATAGAAATTATTTAATTCAAGTCTGAATTATCATTCCATATATATTCAACATTTCATTGATTGGTAAGTGTCATGATCATGACACTTACCAATCAATGAAATGTTGAAAAATTTTCTGTCTTTAAAGGTTTCCTTTTTAGGAAAGAGTTAGATTTATTATAGTGCCTCAAAAACATAGTTAGGGTTAGCAATGATGGCTTTTGATCTTTGTCATTATCAACGACTACTATATTTCATAGTATAGTCATATAACTCCGTTACCTTATTATTTCCGACAAAAAAGTGTCAGAATTTAATGATAATTTAAAATTAAATTCAGCAAATAATATTAAATACACGAAATCATACAGAATAATTGTTGGATTTTGGAATTATTAGAGGAATCCACTTCTTTAATATGGTACAAAATTTATTTTATTAGAAATCAACGTATAGTCGTCTGATTTCTTTAGTATACAAATTATAAATAATATACAAAATAATCAGGGAAATAAAATATTCCAATGCATGAAATATTGTTCCCTTTATATACCTTTGGATTGGGTAACATTTCGTGATTATAAATCTCCAATACTAGCATTGTAGAAATTATGCATGGTTTCTAAATGCGTCTTATTATTATCTTTTCTCATTTTGATTGTTAAATATTGAACATTATGAAATCTGACAATCTTTATTATTCTTTTATTCTTATATTTTATATTCTTGACGTCATTCTTCTATCATGTAAATTCCGACAATAATTGCACCACGAGTTACCTGAAAACAATTATTACTAAAATCAAGATATTTTCCCAATCACGATAACAGAAATTCAACATACATAAGGAGGTAACTAGTGCTAGTAAGAAATAATTTGTATCCTATTTTTAGTCACTTCATTTATTTTTATTAAACAAGCAAACTAGACGGTTACATGTTAAATACAATAACAGTAATGCCCTAATAAAAAGAAAGAATTCCAATCTCTATGATCAAAATATTATTGACAGAAATAATATGATATGGTGTATCTAAAATGTTTTACCAATAACATAGAAAGATCACGAGAAAATTACGCAGTAGAAAATTACCTAATAAGATGTTACATAATCACATTAATAATGCAAAAATAGATGCGTATTACTAATGAACCATCACGTAAGGAAGATTACCTAATAGATGAGAAGGTAATCAAAAGAAATTAAAATTATATAAATACGAGTTAATCTGAACTCACAATTTGAGTTTAAATTTATTCGTTCTGTATAAAAAAAAGAAATAAGAAATCACTTACAAATTTAGAACAAAAGTAACACATACATTTGCTTTACAACCTACTATCACCGTAATAATCTTCATTACTCATCAATACTTATTTAATATGCAAAACCAATCCGAATCTAACATCAATATGTCTGATTCAGCTCAATTATTACTAGGTTTATTATCACACGATGAACAACGAATCATCGTAATATGTATAAGGATATACATGACAATATAAAGTACCAATATTATCTCCAATTTTTTTTGTTTCTTTAGCAGTGCAAATTGTTTGCTATATTGTGTCATCGTGGAAACAAAAAAAACACAAAACTTTAAAGACTTAAAAAACGGATACGAAAAATTGACCTCAATATAATGACCTCATGGTAATAATAAATTGAATAACCGAATAGTCTTTTTTGTAATGAAGAGAGAAACCGAACAAAAAAAAGGTCGTACCCGGATTCGAACCGGGGTTGGTCGGATCAAAACCGACAGTGATAACCACTACACTATACAACCATAAAATGGTTGATTTTTTTTGCAAAAATAGAGTATATCATTAAACTGAAAATTCAACCCTAAGATGATAGTCTTGAGCTTATTCATAACTGCCACTCCACCCTTGGTGTAGATGGAAAGAGGTTTGAAATGCTGTGTAAGAGGAGTATTAAGTATTGCACTATTTGAAAAATACTTAGTGAATGCACTAAATTATCGCTTGTTACACTGCCTCTAAGTAGTAATGGTTTCTTATTGAATTCATCCAAAAAGTACTGGAAATATTGTCTATAAAGTGGATGATGAAGCTAAATTAGATAGCATAGTGGGTAAAGGAAGAGAGAATACTATAAAATGATGGTACTGGGGAATAGAGGTTTAGTGTGGTGGCTCAATTATAATTTACATTTTATTTGTTGACCTTTTAAATCTTGTGTGTCATGTTTTGTTTATTGTTCATTGCACAGAACGAATTGGGTCAAGTCCAAACTAGCACGTCAACTTAATCACATTCATATAATAGAATGGGACGAGATTACTTTAAAATAGTTTAGGCAATCGTCGTTTCCCAATATTGTGAAACTTCATATTATTTACAAAATATTTTAGATATTCTTGTTTCCTATAGTTTCCCTCAGTCAATACAGTACAAAATGTTGTTTTGAGATAGTGACTACTAAATTATGTGTAATATATGTATTCGGTATACAGGTTCAATATGGTATGTAAAGTTTCGACCTTTACATAGTTGATTCTTTTCCCCTGGAAGAAAGGGAGGGAGGTGGAAAACTTTGCTATGGGCTACGGACACATAATTCTGGAATACAATAAACTTATCAATACCTAATATAATTCTCATATATTGCAGTCCTTTAATATCTTATTATTTCTATATAGGTATTATCATGAAATCGAAAATGTTCCCATAGTCTTTCATTTTATAGTTTTCTGGAAAGTTTTTATATTATAATATACAGTCAAGCAATGAACCTTTTCCATCAACATGGATTCAACATTTAAACAACCTGTTATATATACAACTTAACAGTTGAAAAAATGTGGCTGATTATTTGTTTTACGTAGCATAAATTTGTGAAATCTTTTGTACCAGACAAAAGATATCAAAAATATACTACATGTAACAATTGTGAGGTAAACATATAACTAACGTCTTTGTATAGCTGGCTAAGTTTATGCTTATTCAATCTGTCAAATAAGTTCAAAGTACGTAGATTTTATCTTAAGTTATTAAATTATCTTTATTTTTTAATCTTTATTAATAAGTATATAAATATACAGATACGCCAATATCTATGTATATGTATATGTATATATCACATGTGCCTAAGGTGACAGATCTATGCTGTCCCTACTATTATTTTTATTTTTATTTTAATTTTCATATGTTTTTTTGTTCTAGTTTTCTATTAGAGTACGCATATTATCTTTCAGAAAACAGTTTGATCCAGCAAAAGGGATACGAAAAACTGGGGAACATTACTCCCTTTTAATGTTTTATTTTTTTAATTATTTTAAGAATTCCAAGATTTGTTGCGTTATGTTGTATAGTTCCAAACTTGCATCTTCAACAGGTTCCGAATTCCGCGAATCTCCATCACCATGTTGTCCAGTAGAATTATTATTATTATTATTATTGGTGTTTTCATCATTGCCATTAATATTAATTCCTGATTTTTGTACTCTCTCTGAAGTTATATCTGCCATTCTTTTAACGCCAGCTATTAGTTGTTCATCATTCTTCACTAAATCAACAACTTTCACATTGTGACTTTCTAATAATTGTAAAATTGTCCATAATGCAATATGTTCAAATGTAGCATAATCACTCTTTAGGAATCTAGATAAGAAATCACGTATACCACCTTTTGGTTCATTCCAATAATCAATTATCTTATTATAATTATTGATTCTTGAACATAGATTTGCTAAAGCGGCAGCAGAATTACCAGAAACTTCTTGATTTTGAGAAAATGTCATAGGAATTAAAGCATCTAAGATATTAGCATTTAAAAGATCTAATTTAGAAATATCTGCTAAAGCCAATATGGCGAAGCATGCAGAAATTTCACTTTGAACACTTATTGGAGAACTTAAAGCAAGTTCTTTACATTTTTCAATAGCACCACTCTCAAAGAATTCCTTTCTATTCTTTTCTGATGAAGCAGCCAAGTTTCTTAAAGTAGATACAGCATGACATTGAATTTCTTCTGAGTCTCTATAGTCTAATAGTTTCACAAGCGGCTTTAAGAAACCAGCATCAACAATCAACCCTTCATTTAATGGATGAATAGATATGTTTCTAATACACGCAACACTAGCCAAAATCAAAGGTATAGAATCACTTTGAATCAATTTCACTAAATGTGGTAATCCACCAGCTCTAACAATTTCTAATTGATAACTTGGATCCGAAGCTAAATTTCTAAGAGCTAAAGTAGCTTGACATTTTACACGAGAAGAAGTTGAATCCATTAAAGCAACTAATTTTGAGACTAAACGAGGTTCAGTTTGCGATAATTTTTCTCTATTTTCTTCATCAACAGCAATATTAGATAAAGCTGTAGTACAATAGTATTGTACATCTGGATCAGCAGATGATAATAATGATACTAGGACAGGTACTGCACCTGCATTAACCAATTCTTTTCTATTTTCATGAGAATGGGTCATATTTAATAATGCCCCTGTAGCATTCCTTTGAACCCTAATATGTTTAGATTTAGCTAATCTTGTCAACGGAACTAATGCACCGGAAGTTGCAATCTTATGTTTATTATCATCACGTGTAGCCAGATTTGTAATGCAGCCAACGGCATTACATTGAACTTCAACATTATTACCCATCATTTCATGAATTAAAGGTTCAAGACCACCCATTTCCACTATTAATAATTTATTATCATTATTCACTGCAAGGTTACCTAATGCAGCACATGCAGCTATTTGAATTTGAGGATCGTTGCTTTGTAATAAAATTAATATTGGTTCCAACACATCCCGTGATACAGGTTTCACATACTTTTCTGTAATTTCAGCAAATGCTAAAGCTGCACTTCTTTGTAAATTTAAATTATCTGAATATACTAAAGTAGTCAATGCTTTTAATGGACCACCAGAATAGAAATCTAAATTATCTTTATCTTCTAAATAACCTAATAAAGAAGTAACTGCTTCTCTTTCATTATCAGCAATCGGTAAAATTGAAGAGTCATCTTGAGAATTTATCCCATTAGCAGAACCACCTGTGGCAGAACCTGCTGAGGAAGTATCCCTCATACAACTACAACATGCACCCATAACTATATTATTACTTCAACAATAAACAAAGAACCTCCTCACTTTAACCAAAAAAATTTAATCAGTAAAAACAACAACAAATAAAATAAAATAAAAAAAAGATGTATAATTGTCTTAATCCCAAGATAAAATAAACAAATACAACTTTAGTAAGTATCTTCAAAGTCCTCTTGTTACCTTCTTTTTTATATCTTGATTTTTTTTTTGTTATCTATCTAGTGATAAACGTGTTTACTTGTTGACAGCTCTTTTATAGGGAACAAAACCAAAAAAAAAATAGTAAATAAATACAACAACAAACAATATTTAATCGTTCTAAAATTGATCTCCTTTCTTATATTTTAAATAATAAGAGACAATATATACTATACTTCTAAACCAAATATTGATTAAGTATGACTTCTTACAAAATATGTCAACCTTCTGCAATTGGAAAAATCTGTAGCGTTTCTCTCACCCTAATTTGAATACCCAAAAGTCCCTTTCCAGTTTCTATAATTTGCTTTGCTGCTTTTTCCCTTTCTCGCTTAGTTCAAATTTATCATTTTCCTCCCAGAAAAAAAGCCGTGTATCAATAAAATTTCATCTAATCGCATACACACGAAAAGGATTATTTTAATATGGTGAAGGGATTATCACTGTGAACGAATTTATGTTACCCTCCCCGTATGTGCGTGTGTGAAACACGATATGAGGGTGCAAAATGATAATACCGACTTGAGCGGCTAATTATATAGAGGTACACACATATATAATTGATATGATTTGGAACTCATAACTTAATGATGGTATGTTCAAAATATTTGATTGATAATAATACTTATACTAATGGGGAGGTATTATATGGCCAATGCAGAAAATAAATACATATGTTGAAAAAGAGTAGTTTACATTGTTAGACCTAGAACACCAGAACTGACGAAAGTATCAACTGCACTGAACTTTCTTAATGAGTTCTTCTGTGAGTATACATTGGCTGGGATACCACAGTCTACAGTGACAATAACACTATCAACTGCACCGTTACGGCTATTACTACTACTGCTACTTGAACCGTTTTGTAAGGATGCTGTCTTACCATTATCCAATAATATTTTATCCATAAACTTCAAACAGGTTAGAGGCCACGAATAGGAGCACAAAATCTTATCGACTTTATTGATACAAACGTCAAAGTTTTGTAGACCTGAACTGGAATCATACCCAGATGGTAAGTCGATAGACCAAATTTTAACATTCTTGTTACGTTTGGTTTCATTACACCAATTAACAATCTCAAGAATCTTTTGATGTGCACCTCTTGACAGTGTAAAATCACTTAAATTAGAATCAAACCCTTGCATAGCATCAATGATTAATTCAACGGGACTATTCAATTTAGCCAATAATGCATTCAAATTCTTTAAAGAATTAACAAGTTTACCCCCACTATTTTTAAAGATTTCAATCTTATTCAATACATATTTATCCTGAATATCATTCAATGGACATGAAAACATTAATACAACACGCACTTGTTTCAACTGACATAGATATCTAGATAATGCAATAGCTTTAATACCAGATCTATTCATATCAGAAACAAGTACCACAATCAGTGGCTCCGGGTTAGTATTCTTTACAGTGAGTCTAGTTGGACCACCCAAAGTCTGTTTCACCAAATAAGATGCATTATTACCAAATATTTCATTCATTGTACCAGTTGTAATTCCGAATGTTTCGTTTGTTAAACGTTCAATCTCTAATAATTCTACTGGAGATGCCATTGGAATTAATTGTCCAGTCTTACTATTTTTCAACGTTGGTAAACCATTCGATACAGAACCAGATCTTGACGAGTTTGAAGCATTATTTATTAACATCTGTTCTATTTGAGATAACAATTGAGCTTTATTTGCACTTTGTTCTGTAGAATTTCCATCATCATCAACAGCGGAATGTAACAAATGTGTAATATTAATAGATTTTGTAATTGGATAATATTCACTATCTTCGTCTTCATCCTCCACTATATCATCATCTTCTGTATTATCTTCATCATCATTTGTGGCAATATTACTCTTCTTTCTATTACTATTACCACCACTACTTATTTCGTCTTCTTCCTCATCTGTAGCGGATTCAAAATCCTCCACATCATCATCACCATCATTATTATGTTGTTTGGAAGATTGTTTTTCTTTGTTAAATTCTATACCAACTTTATTCCATGAATCCTCCTTGGCATTAGGGATCACCATTTCATCGTATTCATAATTACCTTGAGCACGACCAAACGAAGTTCCACTATTAGTAGTTGTATCGGGACTACCTTTCTTATTAAATGAAACCAAACGTTTCTCTGGATCCACCTCATCTTCACGTTTCAATTGCGCAAATACATCCTTCTTATTGAAACGTGTCAAATTTGATTGAAAATCAAAATCAGCACCATTTTTGATCCTCCCAACATCATCATCCTGCCAATCCATACCTTCCTGTTCTCTAGTACTGCCTTTGTTACCACTGTCATTACGTTTACTAGTATTACTACTGCCATTATTATTATTATTATTATTACTGCGGTTCATTTGTTGTTGTTGTTGTTGCTGTTGCTGTTGTTGAGGAACACCTAACACTTTCAAGTCCTTTAACCTGGAAGACCTAACTTTAAATGCTTGAGATGTACCACCGTCTCCAAACGTCACATCACTCAATGTAAGCCCCTTACTATTAGCTTTAACAATTTTACCTTGAATAAGTTTCCCATCCCTGAGTTCTAATTGAACTGAATAACCTGTGAATTGTGAATGATCAGACATTGTCCTTCTTTCTTCTAGAATTACCGTTTGTCTTTAGATATTTGGATTCACTTTAACTTATAGTTGGGGTACAAAAATCTTTAAACAACACTAGTAATTTAAGCAAAATAAGGTGACTTCAAAATGTTCGTTAATTGGAAGAACATGGTTCCAGTAACATTTACCAGTTTGTTAATTTTTTTTTTCATTTTTTCATTTCCGCCTCTTTCCCCTCAAAATAGACAAAAAAGCGACAGAAGAATTGAAAAATATTGAATTAGTTAAAGTAATAATAATACAGATATAAGTGAATATATACAAAATAAGTATATACAAATCCACTTATAATTTAGATTAAATAGTAAAAGACAAACATAATTTATGAAATGTAGTATACCTGAAATTAAATTGAAAAAAAAAAAACAGAAATAAAAAGAAGGAAAAAGGAAGATATAATACATGTCCTATCCGAATAGAATCATAGGAAGGACCAAATAGATACATATACAAATAATAAAAAAAACAAAAGAATTAAATTGAGTCTTTGTATGTCTTTAAATTGAACCGGTTGTTATTGAAATACGAAAAAAAAAATAGGATTGTTCTTTTCATTATCGCTATCACAACACGTACAATGTGATCAATGAACCAACTAGTGCGAAGATAAATGGTACATTGCCTAAGATAGAGCTCATAATACCTAGATACTTCATTAGGAAACATTCACAAATCTTAGAGTGTTTGGCAGAAGAAACATCAGAAGAGAAACTATCAATAATATGGTTTGTTGATGTAGTGTTAATGTGACTATGTTGTAATAATAAGAATAATAAACCTTTAGTAATATTCATCATCATTGGATCAATTTCAATCAATAAATCATAACGAATAAAATTGAAATAATAAGCAAACAACATTGGTAAACCAACATATGTGGCTCCCCATACAAGTAATAGTAAAATTAGATTATAATCAGTCTTACGATTATTTTGGAAAAAATCTTGAATTAATAATAATGCTTCAATAATTTGGAAGATAATAGTAATTGTAATTAAACTGGAAAAAAAATCTTGTACATTTTCATTTAAAATCTTGGTAGATTCAACAATATCACAGAATCTTTCTTGTAAATTAAATTTGAATGGTATCATATTTCCTTCACCAGAGGCATCATTATCTTTAAAATTTAAAGTATTATAATTCTTTTCATCACTATTTCCTTCGGCAGCAAACTGTGCAACGCGTTCCTCAAAAACACTAGGCTCTAAAGAATCAAAATAGTCCTTTAATTCAGGGAATTCAATTTCTGTGTCTAATGGTTCTGTCAATGTAGATAAATGATCTTCAAGTATTTCAAGTACAGTATTCTTGTTAGCGGAGGTAGGAATATCATCTATTTTCAACTTTTCACAAAGATCCAATAAGTCTATTTTTTTCCAACGACCAAAGGAATACTTCTTAGCCTTTTTGGCAACTTTTTTGTGATTCTTCTCTTCAGGATTGGCAATGAATTCCGAAGACATATCGACGACGCTTTCTTTCAGAGGGCTAGATTCTACTGACATATTAATTGTAATAAATCTTTTTTGTTTTAATTTTCACGAACAGATGTGCTTACTGTTTTTTTTTTGCCAATAATTAAAAAACTTTAACAAAAAACAATAAATGTGTTTGGATAAACATAAGCTTATATAATCTTAACTGATCTTTGTTTGTTGATTTGTTTGTTTCCCCTTATTATTTATTTATTTTTTTTGTTTTCGTTTCGTTTTGTCGCTTCACGAAGGAGAAGAGCAATCGTTTCCAAATTTTTTGTTTATTTTTTGCCATTTATAGATATATGCGGTCGTGAGAAGTGATACATCTGAATATATTTATAAGGGCAGTCTAACCATTAGATATTGATAATATAGTCAAATATGAATTAGTTTGATCACTCAAGTGCACGACGCATAAATTGAACAGTATCGTCTAGTTCAGTTTGCATTTGGCGGGCAATAACCCATGTGGTACTACCTGTTGGAGTACCCATGATCCCGTCACTGACAGATTTTTGTAAGATTAATTGTAAATGGTTAACACTCACAGGTGTGGTAGCCTTTATTTTTTCTAAGTTAAGTAACTCACGTACCGCAAGCCTACTAGTGTTTGCACTGTCGCTATTATTACTACTTCCATTGTTATCCAGACAATTGTACAATTTGTCAAGGATCTTGTTCTTGGATTGTAATTTATTCAGCACGGTATCTCTATACAATTGTAACAACTTTTCACGTTTGGGATCAACGTTACGCATAGTGATCGATCCTTCAGGTGTGCCTGTTCTACTCTTAGTGGTAACAGGTGATTGGACCTTTGCATGTTGAGTATTATGTGTATCTAATGGAACACTAGAAGTGCGTTGTTTCTTATTCTCATGCGAATCAGTAGTGGTGGTCACTGTAGTAGTATTCGCAGTTGCAGGGACATTACTGACTTTCTCCAATTCTTGTAATATATCGTTATCTAACTTTTTAATATATTGAACTTGTTGATTTCTATATTGTGAATACTTTTCCATTATTAACATTTTCAATTCTGCTACCTTTAAATTATGGAAACTCAACTGTCCATCAGATATTACAATCCGCTGTAAAGGAAATAAATCATTCACTGTCTTTAATACATCATGGATATTTAACTTATTAGTTGGATTACTCACTGCCATAATTTCATTCACCAATACATTATTTTGGATTTCATTAGTCAGTTTCACCAGAGATAATTTGATATTACCGCTAATAATAATGCTATCCTCTCCAGAACTTGTTTGATCTACTCTTTGTCCATGTGTATCATTATCTGTTCCATTATGTTGGTCGTGATGGTTATTGTCGTGAATATGAGGATCCTGTTTGATCTTCGGAAGTAAGAGTGCATATATTATCTGTAATACTATAAGCTCCTTGACTATGGGATCCACCATCTTGACCATTACTATATTATAATCAGTTAATCAGTTCTTGATTTATCTAATTTATATATTCTATTATTATTATAAAAATGACATTGATTTGTCTATGCCTTTCTTTCTCCTTATGTTATACTAACATTGTAAATGAAATGGATGAACAAATGAGAAATTTATTTGATTTTAATTTTTATTTGAAAAAATAACAGTGGATTTTCTCATCGCTGAAAAATAAAATAAAAACATACACGTAAGAACAACGTCACATAATTTGACATAACAGGAAACAGTTAAATAAAATAGAGAACTATTCATCTTTTTATAGTGCATATCGATAATATGCCAAAAATTATACCTGATCAACTACCGTTGAATAATAACGCCTTGAAGGAACTCCAGCGTCTGAGGGCTACCGAACAGTCGCGTTTGTTTAAAGAATGTGGTGAAGAATTAAAAGATACTATGTACCAATGTCTAGAGAGTGTTCAAGAGGCGAAAGAAATCGCTCCATTGTTGGAATCTCTTGCTGAATGTGCAGCTACCTTAGAGAAACAAGAAAACCAATATAACAACATGGCACTAAATTTGGAACTTGCTAAGAAACAATATACCACCGAATCAGAAAACTGTAAAGAAGTTACCTTAGAAACATGGGATGAATATGTAGATAAGACTCTAAATGCACCAAATTTGATAGATATTCTGAAAATGGAAAGATCAGAAGAGATAAAATCTCAAACGCGGCGTTTACCAAATTCACGTATATCTGATACGAATAAAACTTTAAGAATCTTACCGCAAATATGGGAAAATCCAAGGTGTGTTCTACCAGATGATAATGATAATGAGGATGATCTGATGATTGATGGTGGTATCATAGAGCTGACATGTCCCATCACTTGTAAAATGTTTGAGAAGCCATTAATATCGAAACAATGTAACCATGTCTTTGATGAAGAAGGGCTCAAGAGCTATTTTTCAAGAGAACCTCGTCGTGATTGTCCACAAACTGGTTGCAGTAAAATCCTAACTTTTAGAGATTTTATACCTGACCCAGTGATGGCATTACGTTGTCGTATCGCACAAATTCAGGAGACCAAACACCTTGAAGTAGGTGAACATGAATCGTTGGATGTGTTATAGAATTTGTGTATTTATGTATATATTTTGTATTCGGCCCGAATTTTTAACAAAAATTACATACCTATTTTCCCCTTTCACTTAAGAAAGCCCGGCTCTTCTTCAAAAGTATATAAATCGAAAAGATAAATTTGGCTATATTATTTTCAGTTTGGTCATTTTTAAATTTCTCTTAACAACCACTTACAATAATTAGTTTGCTTTGCAAAAATCAGATACCTATATATAATCAACAATGAACTCACAAGAAAAGATTCCCTACGCAAAAAAATTCGCACGCTTACTGAAAGCTTATAACGTTGATGTTGTATTTGGATTAGTCGGAATACCTATTGTAACCTTCGCCAATGATCTTATCGATGAAGGTATTAAATTTATCTCATGTAGAAATGAACAGGCTGCCTCCTATGCAGCTTCTGCATACGGTTACTTAAACAATAAACCTGCGGTTCTTCTAGTCGTAGGAGGTCCAGGCTTAATTCATGCATTGGCTGGTGTTTACAATTCTATGAACAATAAATGGCCATTAGTCATCATTGCAGGTAGTAACGACAATGGTAAGCACCAATATCAAGGAACTTTCCAAGAATTGGATCAAATCTCCTTATTAGGAGAATATGTTAAATTTAAAGGAAAATTGAATAATGAAAATATGGATTTTGTCACTTATAATGCATTCAACCATGCTATACAATCTCCACAAGGTGTCTCCTATGTTGATTTCCCAGGTGATTTAATCGAGAGTGGTATAAAGGTAGATGCTACAATTACAGATATAAAACCGCCACAGGCAATTAAGTGCTGCCCAGATCCAGATGTAATTAAACGAGTCACTCATTTAATTGTTGATGATTTTCAAACAAAAAAACAAAATATATTGATAGTTATTGGGAAAGGTTGTGTTCATCATGCTGACTCTATAAAGTCTTTCATAGATAAATATAATTTCCCATTTTTACCTACTCCAATGGCAAAAGGTATTATCCCAGATTCTCATCCTATGAATGTATCTAGTGCAAGATCTATGGCTTTGAAAAATGCTGATATTGTCTTAGTGCTAGGAGCTAGACTTAATTGGATCTTACATTTTGGACAACCACCTAAATGGAAACCTAGTGTGAAATTTATTCAATGTGATAATGATGTTGGGACCCTTGGTGTAAATAATAACTCAAACGCTCATTTATCCTTATTAGGAGATATAGATTTGACTGTTCAACAACTAGGTCAAACTATAGATAAATTATTACCTGGAGGGTTCAAATATCCAAAACTACCTCAACCAATGCAATTAAAGATTCAACAAAATCATAAGAGGATGCAAACACAAGAATATACATCGAATGCTCAAAATGAACTAAACTACAATACGGTTTATCGTACACTAAGAGAAATAAGAGATGATTCAAGGACTATACTGGTGATGGAAGGGGCTAATACGATGGATAAAGCCCGTGTTTCATTCCCAACAGCATTCCCATTAAGACGTTTAGATTGTGGTACTACAGCTACAATGGGTGTTGGTTTGGGATATACAATGGCCTCTAGACTCACATTCCCACAACTTGATACAGTATTAATTCAAGGAGATTCTGCATTTGGGTTTTCAGGAATGGAAATTGAAACCTTAGTGAGATTAAAACTGGGTTGCGTATTAGTAGTCATGAATAATTCAGGTATATATCATGGTAACAATCCACATAGTTCTACCAAATTGAGTGAAATGTGTCGCTATGATCAAATGGCAAGAGGTTTAGGCGCTCAAGGGTATGTGGTTACTAATTTAATTGACCTAAAGAGTAAATTCCAAGAAGCAATAATTCAATCTCGTAAGAATAATGTTGTTACATTATTGAATGTAATCATTGAACACGGAAAAGGTGCAACTGTATCATTTGCATGGCAAAATAAGACCCCTAGTAAGCTATAAATACTAAATCATGTAAAAAAATATATAAGAAAATGGGATAGAATGCGAAAAATTGTTTGAAATTATTAGGCCGTTTAGCTCTGGTGTGAGAAAAATTTGTCTCCATCAGAGTTCGAACGCCGCAAAATTACTTCTCTAATTAAAGCTGAAAGCTTTTGAGAACAACACAGCTCCTACGAACAAGACCTGCTTACACAAGGAAAATTAACAAATTTTCAAAAATTATTTAGCAGGTGGGAAATTCGGTGGAACTTTATGAACGCGCAAATTAGCGTTATTTGATAAAAAGAATTATGTTAATTTGTTGGCCCGCGTATTCTTTTATCTGAAAAGGGAAAGAATATGCGCCCAATTTTGCCCTTGAGGGTCTGTTTTAAGCGGGGAACCGTAACAGTTAAGGGTGCACCGCAACTTACGTATGTGGTGCATGGCTGCTACTATCAGCAATGTACACAGCGACAGTCACGTGTAAAGAGCGTGACCGTCGCTGAATGGGAAAGGTAGCTGTGAGTTTGTTTGACGCACTTAATATACATGTTAGGTGTGGTCTGTTCAGTGCAATCGTAGGACAGAGTTGTAAAAGAGTCACGTGGCTGTCACAAGTTACGACGACTTTTAACTTTGAACCCGATACCGATTACTGTTGTTGTTCTTTGCCTATACTTAAAAAAGAGAATAATATGTAATTTCATTATTATAATTTTCATTTTTTTTTTATTTTATTACTATTATTGATTGTTTTGATTATATTAGACGTAGTAATTATGTATATATATTTACATGTTATATGAGAAAGGGGTTCTCCTTTTGTAGGAGCATGCGCGTATTGAGACTATTCTCTAACGACCTAGACCTTGGCTCATCGCAGCATTTTGTTCTTGGAAACGTTGACCAACACGTTCACTATGCTTTAGGAACTTTTCAGAACATTTTAAAATACAGGTTTGTTCTCTGTTGGTCAATTTTGAAGATGTGAAATCATTAACACAATCGTTGAAACATCTTTCTACCAAAGATGAATAAAGACGCATGAAATCCTTCATTTGTTTTTGTTCCACCAATTTTTGGAAATCTTGTTGTTCTTTAGCGTTTAATGCATCCATCTTGTCCTATATTCTGTTCAATGTTGTTGTTCTTACTTCTATTATTAGTTTATGTTGATGGATGATTTTAAAGTAGCCAAAAACCTTTTTATATTAAATTGATTCAACTCTAATTACTCATTCATTGGACGTAATTTCAGTTTTTCCTTTTTTTTTTTAATTTAAATTCCGTCCGAAAAACTCACACAGAATTTTGTGTGGGTAATGAGCTAGAAAAAATAAGAATTAAAAGTCACGTGGTTTTTAGATATATAACAATGAAATTATATATATATATATATTATTATTATTTATTTTAAATTAATTTTCCATATTTATTGTAATCTTTTCAAATAAGCATCCCAACCAGCTTTCTTATAACGTTGACTCTCTACTGCTGGGTCTCTACCTTTACCAAACAGACCTCTACCGACAATGATGATATCTGAACCAGTCGACACAACATCGTTTACTGTTCTGTATTGTTGACCTAATGCATCACCAGTATCATCTAAACCAACACCAGGTGTCATAATTAACCAATCATATCCTTCTTCACGACCACCCATATCTCTTTGTGCAATGAAACCAATAACAAATTCTTTGTCACTCTTAGCGATTTCTACTGTTCCACGAGTATATTCACCATGTGCTAATGAACCCTTTGAGGATAATTCTGCTAACATTAACAAACCACGAGGTTCTTTGGTATTCTCTTGAGCAGCTTCCTTTAAGCCACGTACTATACCTTCACCAGTAACACCATGTGCATTGGTGATATCTGCCCATTCAACAATCTTATAGACACCACTAGAATATTGTAATTTAACTGTATTACCAATATCAGCAAATTTTCTATCTTCAAAGATTAAAAAATTATATTTAGCGGCCAGAGCCTTCAATGGTTTCACAGTTCCTTCCATTGTGAAATCATCTAGAATATCAACATGAGTCTTCAACAGACAGATATTAGCACCGACTTGCTCTACAATTGCCAGTAATTCAGCAGTAGTACGTACATCTAATGAAGCACAAAGATTTGTTTGCTTCTCTTCCATGATCCTTAGAAGCTTTGAAGCGACTGGACTGGTATGTGCCGCAGCTCTTGCACTGTATGATAAGTTGGACATTTTATTAGGTGTTTTATGAGTATTATTATTAAGGGAGAAGTAATGATAATTTACTTTTGGTTACTTGAGATATAAACTTTGTAATAATTCACGATAATAATACGATGAGGTGATACTCCCTTATATATATATACATAATGCAACGTAAATGGGATGGTCATCAATACAATTTCAAGAATTTTTTTTTCAGTTTCGGCGATCTCCGAAAGGAGGAGTCACTTGAAAAAAAAAAAAATGGGGTCCTCTATATTCTATACATACCGGTTCTTAAGTTAATTTACTTTTATTATATTCATTAATATATTATCTATCTTTACTTACTATACATATCTTACTTTTCACTCGATGGTTCAATTGATGATGGTACTGGTGACTGAGTTCTACTATCTAATCCAAGATCTTTCTCAATATTTTTCTTGTCTAAAATCATTTTTTGTAATTGAGCTTCTATCCCTTCTGTCTCGAGATATTCATTGTAAACATTCAATACTTTCATGTATGTCTCATTGGTAACTGTTCCTTTTTTTAAATAGTACAAGTAAACAGCTGAAACTACTTCCAGAATCTGTTTTACAGGGATGTTGGGTGAGATATTCTTGTCTTCATTTTTATTATTATTATCACCATCTGTTGTCGATTTTAATAAAGTTAATAAACCATTATCTAATAATTCTTCAACAGTAGTGATACCACCAATTGGTAATTCAATATTTTCAGTCAATGCAACTTGTAATGAACTTAGAGCATATTTACGAATTTGTTCACATGGATTGATACATTGATGGGCTAACGCTTGAACGATTGCAATCACCTCGTTATGAGTCAACGTACGTTTTTCAACTAAATGTGCAGTGATGTTAATGGACTTCAAAGATAGCTCAACAACTGCTTGATATGGATTATCATTATTTATTTTATGACCCGATTTTGTAGATTGACTATATTCTTGTTCCCACCTGGATCCAACGGCTCCAATAGAGGATATTTCATCCAGCAGGCCTAATACTAACATGAAATTATCATTATTCATATGAGCATCAGAATTTATTATCTTGTCCTTCAAAAAGTTGAAAATTAAACTAGTATTCTCTGCCATGGCGGCAACCATTCTAAGCACTTTCCAAAAACCTTCATTTTTTAGAACGTATGAACTGTAATTTGGAATTTCTGTCAACTCCAATAATCTTCTTAATAGTTCTTGCCCTTGTTCTGTAGTGAAATATTTTCTTGTGTAAATTTCATTTTTACCCAATAATTCATCATTTATTAATACATTCAATTTCTCTTCTTGGCCTTCAATAACAGATATTAATAACAATTTATATGTGACTAATCTTCTAACTGTTCTCTTTGTAATACCACTTGTCTTGGAAAATTCAAACAATTTGTTTAACATAAAAACACCAGATTTCTTTTCATCTTTACAGAACAATATTAATGCGATGGATAATTCAGTTAAAAATAACATTTCGGCTTCAAAATATCTACCATTTTCTGCAGTCTTTTGTGGTTTAATAGCTCCAATTAGAGACTTAATTAAGGCCGGACGTAACAGGTTTTCATTACCAAAAATTGATCCAGCAACATTACTTGATTGTATACAGTCAACAGCCTTTATTGATGCATTTATTTCATCGTCAGTAGGTTCCTCATCACCTTTCAAATATGAAGCAAAAGTTGAGAATAAACCTCTATTTTCATGGTGCTTTGTAATCGAAATTTCGGATAACGGTTTTGGTAGATTGCCAATGACTAACTGTTGTTGTAGATCTGGGAAAATATCAGGCGTGATCAACAAGTTTTCAAATAAATTCAATAAAATCTTAATAATATTATCCCACAATTCAAGTGATAATATTTCTGAATCTTTTGTTTGAGAGACGATTCTAAAAAAAATAATTGTACACAATTGGGCCTTAAACGATCTACCTAACTTGACTGCATGGTTGCTGACAGGAATCTTCTTACCAGTCTCTTGATCTATAATTTCAACTACGGGAATACTGTCAACATCCAAGTAAGAGTTTTCAATATTACTAGAATCATTAGTCTCATATTTAATGTCATCATTAGATTTATCATCATTTGATTTATCCTCAGTATCACTGTCCTTTGAATTTGGACCCGATACCGTATTACCAACTAGCGAAGTTATCTTAGCAATAGAATTTAGAATATCATTGTAAAGTTTTTTGAAGTTGAAAAAGGAAGCAATATACGCACATTTATCTAAACTTGTTAACATACGACTGGTGATATGGTCGTCAGAAGCCACTAAATAAATTTTGAAAAATGTATTAACAATATTAGCACCTACATGTTTGAAGATTGCTCTATCGAAACGCAATAGTTCAATATTATCCAAGTCCTCAATTGGATTTTTGTTGATAATTTGGCCTTCAGTCATGACTGCTGTTGCTGAAATCAAATTATTCCATGCATCTTCGAACCATTTTTCATTACCATGATGTTCCTCTGGCATAACGATTTCCTTGTCTCTAATAGATATGTATATTCTATCTAAATACCACTTAGGGAAGTCCTTTTCATTACAACATCCTTTCAAATTACCAGAATAATCAGCAAAGGACATATGCTCTTTAACTTGTGGGTTATGCAAATCAGTATTTAGCATGATAATGGAATAACTTAAAACAAACACAGAATCTGCATCCGGTTGTACGGAGGCAAGGTCTTCAATTTCATCTTCCTCCTTTTCTTGTTCAGTTTGTTCTCCGTTATCATCGTTATTCTTCTTCTTATCAGAAACCTCGATTAGTTTTGAAGGATCATAATTCTGACTTGTAACATATCTTTTAGAAAATGCTTCAACAATTCTTTCAATCTGTTGAGATTCACCTGGTAGTCTGAATTTTGTTAACAAAATTCTTATAGCTTCATCTACACGTAAATCTTTAAAATCGAACAAATCAATAAATGCTTGTAATAGCGATGTCTTCTTTGGATCACATAACAATAGACCGATTGTCTTCTTATTAATTAGACTGTTATTTTCAAACAAAAATGAAGCAATATCGCTATCAGAATCCGACTTGATAAATTCTTTTTCAATCAATAATGGAATACCAACTTTAGCTTTCTCATTAAATGCTTTTGAACATTTTATAAATTCTGTTTTACGTTCTCTTTGTTTCAAAATATCATTTGCTGTAACAATTTTGTTCAAATAATCTTGCTTACTAACAGATTGCATGTGATCGTGCATATCATCGATAAGAGATACCAACCCTTCAAGACAAATCGGTGGTACACTTTCTGTTGTAGAAATTGCAGTTTCTGGTAAAGATAATTTAGAAAGTGCTCTTAAAAAGTTCAAAGATACATCTGCTCTATCTAAGTTACAGTCAAATTTAATGAACGTAGAAGTGAAAAATGATGGGGATCTTGTCCATAAGATCGAGATTTGTTCAATAAGTAACTCTTTCACTGCGGCTGGAATATTTCTTTCTAAATCTTCACCGCTTTTAGAAGTATCTTTAGCCTGGTTTCCAAGTAACATTGTAAAAATACGAGTTAACGTTAACTCGATTTGCATTGGTAAATGATCACCCAAAATAATAACCAAACTTGTAAACAATTGCAATGCAGGTTGTAAAAGAGATAATTTATTAGTGTTTTGGATGATAAATAAGACACATTTAAAAATTGGATCGGAAATCAAACTGAATAGACGTGGGTTTTTTGGAAATTTGTCACCAGATATTTCAACCGCCGTATTTATAAGTTGCAAACCAAATATTCTGGTAGAATTAGTATGTTTTGCTTGGTTTTCAGGAACAATCAAGGATAATAAAAGATTTAAATACTGTTTAACAACAGGTAGGCCATAATCAGGGTCCAATCTGTCGAGTACCTTTGGGTCCTTTACCTCGAATTCTTCAATTTTTATCTCCTCAACATTTTGAACACTACCTTCTACTTTGTTAACATTAACAGTTTCTTCTGTGGTTGATGTTTCGGAAGCAATAGATTTTGTAGATGCAATATCATTTTCGGTAGTACCGATTGTATCGTCCATCAAGTTATTCTTGGAATAACTTTCATCGTTGATATACTTTTGGGTGGCACTTTCAAATTCAATATCCTCTAGTCTTGCAAATATCTTCGTCGTAATAGACATCATAGTAGCTTCTGCTGCTTTCCTCAATACTTCCGTTCTTCTTTTATTACATGCTAGGGACATGATAGTCTGAACAACATCATACATAATAGAATCAGAGATGCATGATCCATTAGGAGAGTTGATTATAGAATTTAATAACATGACAACTTTTAGAAGAACAGAATCATCGGAAGTTTGTTGGGATCCCTCAAACCTACAATGCGTTAATGAATTTACAGCCTCTCTGTATGCGGCCACGTAGTTTTTAGATTCATCATTGAAGATATTGAGTGTGAAAAACCTTTGCAATGAGTCTAAGGCAAGAGAAGTAATGTAACCCGAGATAGAACTTGTGCTGATAATTAGTAAAAATGGCTGTAGCAGTGTTAATGAATCTATATCATGAAGACTATCAAGCTTGTTCAGCATCAGACGAAGTTGTATAAACCCTGATAGAAATGGATCATTGTTCTTGTTCATTGACAAATTATTGAAGGTACTAGCTAAAGAATCATCTTGATTGCTGAAAACCTCGCTACCACCACTTAATAAAGCAGCTACTCCAGATTGTGATGAATATTTAGTATATTTTCGTATAGCTGTAGATAGATTGATGCATTCTTTAATCACAATAGTTACCGGGTCAACAGCAGCTATATGATTTGAAGACATTTCTCTACAGGTGTATATCCTTGTTTCAACTTTGGTTGTTCAGGTTTGGGAAGTATTGGTATTTTGTTGGAACAAATGATTATCCTTGTATTCAATTTTAGTATATTTAAATTTTTTTCTTGAATGAAATAATGGTTATTCAAATAGTAAATTGGGTAAGTTGTCCTTACAAACACTTTTGATTTTTTGGATATATGAGGAGAATACAACTATGAATCGTTAAACAGTAGAGCTCTTCTTTGAGTTACCACATCTTTAACTTAATACTATTTTGATCTATTTTTTCAATTCATATTACAGTTCGTGTTATTTTTCTCTCACCGCTGTAAACTTCGGCTACTAAGATGAGCGAAATCTGCCCACCAAATGATTCCAGAATCTAAATTATTTGTAATTGATGAGCACCTCACACAAGAATATGTTACTTTACTATAACATATAAACATAGATGAAAAGGAACTTTAAGATGTTACAGATCATTATTAAAAATAAGATCAATTTATATAACAGGTATCGTTTTTAAGTTATTAGTTGGTGCGTATTCCTTTAACTTTTCTCGAAATGTAATATTTACTGTCGAAGGAAGTAACCAACCTTGAAATACTAAAATATTCAAAGTAGGAAACCACTTGATTGCTAATTGAAATGCTTATTTTGAAAAGGCTTTAGATTTTCTAACTACCCTCTTGTTGAAAGGATAACCCATGTAAGCACACTGGTTAAGTTCCAGGAAGTGTAATAACTAATATATAGTAAAAAGTTCAAAATGTTGACTAAAAACAATAATTTTTTATTTCGATCTTCAATATCTCGAGTCTAATTATAAGATACCTTCAATATAATTTAAACAAATATTTTTCAAAATAGCTACCAATTTTAAATATGAATGATCCTTATTGCCAAGACAATTTCAAGTAACTGGACAGAATAATATCTCTACTAAATGTTACTAAATATGGTTAGAGTCCGTTCGTTTAAAATAATATACTATATAATCGTATGAAACAGGCCTGATGTCAAAATTAGGGTACAATAGCCTGAACCATGGAAGTTCAAATTTAAGTGACACAATGAATTGGATCGGAAGTTTAGAGATAGTTAAAAAAACTGTCGTTCCTCAAAAAGTCTCAGAATTAAGAGGCATTAACAGAAGTCCCGCTCTTGAAAGAAATGATAATTTAATTCCAAAATACTACATATGGTTCCAATCATGATAATCTATAATATTATTTATTTAACAAGTACTAGGTGATGCGGGCTTTAATTGTTGGATATTTGAATTATTAGAGGAATCCATTTCTTTAATATGGTACAAAATTTAATTTATTAGAAATCAACGTATAGTCGTCTGATTTCTTTAGTATACAAATTATAAATAATATACAAAATAGTCAGGGAAATAAAATATTCCAATGTATGAAATATTGTTCCCTTTATATACCTTTGGATTTGGTTACATTTCGTGATTATAAATCTCCAATACTAGCATTGTAGAAATTATGCATGATTTCCAAATGCGTCTTTTTATTATCTTTTCTCATTTTGGATTGTTAAATATTGAACATTATCAAATATGACAATCTTTATCATTCTTTTATTCTTATATTTTATATTCTTGACGTCATTCTTCTATCATGTAAATTCCGACATACCACCCATAATGGAAAGATTTATAAGATCCAATTTTCTGTCAGGTGAATAAAGTCTTTCACCTGAACAGGTTTTGTTAATATATCTGCAGTGTTATTTTTTGTTTCAACATAAGACATTTTAATATTTTGTCTTTTGATTTCTTCTTTTGCTCTTAATAACCGAGTTGTAAAGAATTTTGCTTTCATTCTTGATTCATCAATTGCAGTGAATGATGAAATGCTCGGTTTACTATCAGTTATAATTTCCTTTTCAATTGGAGTTTTATTTATCTCTTCAATAAGTAATTCAAATATTTCAATTCTGGGAATTGATTCACTAATGGCATATATTTCAGCCTCTGTTGATGATGTACATGTTAATGTACTCTTTGAGGACTTTCCACCTATGACATTATTATTTAAATAATAATAATTACCATATTGAGACTTGTAATCGTCTTGTGAAGCAAAGGCAGCGTCGGCTATAACCTTCAAATGATTTTTACCATGTTTATCTTCTTTGAACCACCTTAACATTTTGTTCCTGGTACACCACAAATATTGAATTAATTGTTTGGCCATTTCCATGACCGTTTTACTTGGGTATAGGGTGTATCTTGCTAACACATTAATATGATATAGCAGATCAAATCTGTACTTATACCCAATGTA